ATTTACGGCACAAGTACCGTAAATTAATAGATATTCAATTTGAAAAAAAAACAAATAGAACCTGATTTATCATAATCTGTTCTCACCACGAAACAATATCACAAATGTGTCAGTTGATTTTTCTTTTAATAAAAAGATTAATATTAGGTAAAAAGAGTACCAATTGTGATTACTGTAAGAAATACGGAAATACTTTTTTTCCTAAGGCAAGAAATGCAATTTGGTATACACCTCAAAATCAGGTACTGGAAACAATTCGGAAAAACCCAAAAAGTTGTCTATCTTAATAAAATAGAGGTTCCATAAGCCAGACTCATCCTAATCTTCTATACCTCAATAAAACCTAATTTAACAGATTTTCTCATATGCATAGCAGATGTTATATTGCTTTAAAAGCAAAAGAGTATTTATTTACAATCAATGAACAACCTTTTGCAAATAAAGGAAAAATCCATTGGGAATTTGAAGAATTTATCTATTTTTTTTTTACTAGCAAAAACTAATCAAGGAACTAATTCTACATAGATATACAACTAGAATTGTATAGAAACCAATAATAATAATTGTTTATCCACAACACGTACAATTTGCTTGTTAACGTTTCCAATTATTTTCTCTCCGCACCTAAATCCGCACTGAACAAGAGAGTATATAGTAGTTTCGTGACATTGTTCGCCAAAGAGTGAAGCAAAATAAGAACCCTTGATATGCGGTCGTGTATATGCATTGCATCGTATATATAAGAAAAGAGAGGGATCCTTTTCGTGGTGGTGTCGTCTCAACACACTGGAACTCCACGGTCCATATATGGTTACTTGCTGTATAATTCATCCCCCCAACACATGAGGCGCCCAAGCAACGAGTATTTAATACAGAAAAGCTATACCCTTACACTAGAATATATATATATATGGTGCTGATACGAGAACAGATGTATATATATATACGCCTCTCGGGGATCTACTTTTTTATAATATATATAAAAAAAGGTACTCAACAATGTCGACAGATATTGCATTATATAGCGTTGGAATTCATCGAGACAAAACATATATATATATATATATACTACACCCAAGAGTCGAAACTTTATATATATTGAATGTAGAATTTAATTGAGCAAGTTTGGAATTTTTAAAGGCATATAAGACAACCGCAGAAGAATGAAATTCCCTTTACGCACGTGTTTGTCATACAGAAATAGCGTTTACGGTTTTTAATTCTTCGCGAATAAAACTTTCAGATACAAAGGGGAAAGGAGGTAATTACTTCAATAATAATTAAAAAAAAATTACTATTTCAAACCCGAAAAAATTAATAATGTTTCATTAAATTCGTGTTGAATTCTTAATTCAAAAAATTCATCATTCCCATTCTCCTTCAAAAAAAAAATTATTTTATAGTAATTAAATTACAGGGTTACCACAATTTTTCCATTTCCTGATACAATAAATTTTTAATTTTCTTGAAAAATAGGTAAAAAAGAGAGGTGAATTTTAATTAAATATTAATTTTAGCGTTCTGAATCTACTGTAGTATTCAGATTTAAAAAAAAGAGGTTCCAACCATTGACGTAATCTCAAACTAAAAAGTAATTTTTAACAAACTGAAAAAAAATTTTATTTGATTTAAATACTCGATTACTTGACTATTATCAAATAAAAATTGATTTGAACCAAATATTTTTTATTTGAATTAAATAAACTGTCTTTGAACCAATAATTTCTGTATTTGAAACAAATATCATCTCAAATAATAATTATTTGATACAAATAAATATTTATTTGATAATAGTCAAGTAACCGATTACTTGAATGAAATAATTTTTTTTTTTTCAATGCAGAACTAAAAATATATTTAAAATTAATTTCACCTTAATTTGAATGTACAATTTAAAAAAAAATTATTTTGAGTTAAAATTTGCTTTAATAATAATTAATTAAGCATTTTTTTTTTTCTTTAAAGTTACTTAACAATTCTAATTTTTATAAACAATAGCTCATTTTATTCACTGAAAAATTTTCTACAATCTTGTTTGTTGAATTTTATTTAATTCAAAAGTTATTAAATAAATAAAATTTGTTTTTTTAATAATTTGACAAAATATTAATTAACTAAATTAAAAAATAATTGTAAATAACTTTTCATAGATTAAAATAGGCAATTGTTTATAATAATTGAATAAAAATTAGAATCGTCTATTAATATTTAAGAAAAAACACAAAATGTTTATTGTAATAATTATTTAACAAAATAATTAAATTAGGGCCCGGAATGACTAAAATCGAATTTTTTTTGAAAATTATTAATAAATACTCTATTTTGAATTGCTAGTAATAACGTGGTTTGTATTTTAATTTTAGATAATTAAGTAATAAAAAAATAAATTCAAGAGCAAAAAAAATTTTTTTTTAAACTTTTATGCAGTTTAAAAAAAGAATATTTTTTTTTTAAATTATACGAAATTTACAAGCGTGAGAAGATATTATATAAATGTGAAAGCCACACAAAGCTATCTGTAATGTTGTTGTCATTAGATGAACTCGGTTAGTGGAACCTGTGAGAGATGATAAACTAACAACAGGTGTAACTGACTCTTCTTATTATGAGTAGCGTAAAACTTGAGACCTTATACTAAAAGACGTTATGATAAATCATTTCTGCAAGCTGTCATACTGAGATAATGCGATTTAATATTTTCTCAAGTACATGTTTCTTTCATATATATATATATATATATATATATATATATATATATATATATATATATATATATATATATATATATATTAAATTACAACTAATAAGTTCCTATCTGAATAATTAAATCGCTAATAACGAACCGTTAAGAGAGAATCGCATAAGGAAAAGTTATATAGCGGTAGCAGACTTTCTCTGCATAAAAAAAATAAGATGAAGGGGGGAATCGATTAATTATATCAAACTGTGATGAAGAAACCAATATAAACGCGAAAAAGATAAGCGTTTCTTCGATCGACGCCTCATTCCCAGAGTAACATGTAATTAGGTGATTATCGTGCTACCAGGTAGTCTGACACTCTCTTTCTTTCTCTCTCTTATGGCTGCAACCAACTGTAAGCAGATGCATATTTTCAGTATGCAGTCCATTAATTCGATAATTATTGAAATTCCCCCGCGGCATTAGTTTTATAATTACTGTGAGCTTTTATGGAAATTAAAATTTCTAGCCAATGAAAAGAATGAAAAAAAAAAACATTTTCTTTCTTCAAAATCTTTAGATTAATTTTCTAAAAATTGATTTTTCTAGATATTGAAAAAAGAATTTTAAATAAAAATTCCCGAATTCGACTTAAAATCTAAAAAATTCTGTTAAATCTTCAAAAGATGGAATTAAAAATAAATTTCTTTTTAAATATTTAACAAACACTTTTTTCAGTGTCCATTCATTAATATTTATTAGAATTCTCCTTTTCAGTGCGTATATATAATTAATGAAAGCAAAAATTATAAATTAGCGGTGAAAAAAAGGAGTTAAATTTTTTACACCTTATTTGATTACTTGAAAATAAGTCCACGAATTCTATCAAAAATTAATTGACGTTCAGTTTGCTTTGTCGGTAAAAGACCAGGTGTTTGTCTTTTGATTTTGATTTAGAAATGGGGGAGATTCAGCTTTTAAGAAAAGACCCAAGTCCCAAGAATTGCAGGAAGAATACACCCTACTATTTTATATCATGTTTGCGAGAGCAAAAAAAAAAAAAAAGAATAAGAAGGAAACAAAATGAATCGAGTCTTTTAATTATCCCGTCCCGGTGGCCAAGCAACGAATAAAAGAGAGAGAAAGAGAAGAACATGAGGCGTGAAGCGGGAGGAGGGACCGATTAATTTTTGTGGTCGAGAGAGAAAGAGGTAATTGAGCGGGAACGAGTTGGAAGCTTCCATATTGCAAGTAGTCCCATCTCCGGAAACAATAAAAAAAATTATCAAATATAACTTCAATTTTTATTTTCCTATCAATTTTATTTTTTTGCTCAAATTAATATTTTCTCAAACTGTTATTGCTATTAATTTTCCTATACATTTTTTTAATGAATTTTATCCAAATCAAAAAAAAAACAAAGATTTTTGGAATTTTCGGAGAAGAAACAAAAAGAAATCACGAATAATAAATTTTTCTTAAAATGGAAAAAGCTTGTAATTTGGCTTCTGTCCTGATAAAAATTTCTAGAGAGAAAGAGAGAGAGGGATTGGAACGGTTGAACCGGTTTCAAGGATGTGGGATCAGCGATCGTTTCTTTCGAGATAACCGGATTTTTCTCATCATCATCATCATCATCATCATCATCATCAGGTGTATTTCTAAGTCGTGTGTGTGAGTGATCATTGTGGAATGATTCTGGATCGAATATATATATATATATGTATAATGGAATTAGTTGCGCTGGGTGTTGGCGCCGCTTGCCAGACAGGTGCAAGTGCCGTCACTCGAAACCACAAGAGAGGAAAGACGAGCGAGTTCTGAAACATATACATTCAAACTTCTTCGAAAACCACTAACTTAATATGTATACACATATAAGAGAACTTCAAATACGAATGAGGACATGTATATGTTCATAATATCTACATCTTTCAATTCTTCTTCTCGAGAAATTGAACATCTTCAAAAACTTCTCACTTATATGAGCGTTATAAATATTTATCATTGAAAGACAATATACTACTATCGAAAACCGAATTTTAAAGATGTTTGTTCTCTAAATGAAATTAGAGATGTAATTATTTATTTTTTGTTTGACAATTTCTTTCTCCAAATTCGGAAAATATTTTCAAATTTTTTTTTATGCATCTCCTCGTCTATTGAGGATTTTATTATGATAAAATGATAATTTTCTAAGTTTCAATAAATTAGTTAAACAATTAACATTTTATCTAATTAATAATATAAACAAGTATTAAAATTTTTATTCAATTTCCCATAAAATATATAATGTTTCATGCAATAATTAAACTCTTACCTTTTTTTCATTCCGCCATAGAAAATTGTGTCGATTCATTTTTATCAAAAACTTTCAATTTATATAATATTTTTCCAATTTATAAACTTCTTCACTCATTTTCTCGATATTTATTCTCAATATGCAATTTGGACTTTCAATCTGAAAAAAAATAATTTTCTATTTAATAATTTCTAGATAAATTTTAATTGTCAGAAGAAAAAATTCTTCGTAAACTTTATATTTTAGTATTTATTAATTTATTTATTGATTTTTTACTATCTACGCGGAAAAAAATTTATAAAACTAACCTCAAAAAATAAAAAATTGATGTTAATTTTTTTCACTCAAAACTGATAAATTACTAATATTTTATTTGCATAATTAAACACTTCACTATTTAGTTTTATTTTAAAGATTTTTTACTATTAAACGAATAAAAAACAACTTTTTACATTGAATATTACAACTGCGTTTGTTAACATTGCAAATGGTACATAAACAATGAAACAACACAAAAAAATCAATAATCGATATGAACAAATTTTTACTGTGAACTTTTCACTATAAACAATTATCAATGGAACTTTTTTATCATATTTTTTTATAACAATCAGAAATAGTTTACAAAAATAGTGAAAAAATAACAAAAAACGTTAGGGAAGAAATCAAATATCAATATTGTTGAGGAAGTTTTTGCAAACAATGGAATACGTTTTTAACTCACCTTTTGTTGTAATTTATTCAATTTATACTTGAAAATAATATCAAAAACGTGTTGAAATATGTAAAAAGTTGCAAAAACAAATGAAAATAACTAATAATTACTTATAATTCACTGAAGAAACCAAAAAACAATAGGAAACGATGGAAAACGAAAACGACGAATTGTCCATGTCGAGCACCGCCTAGCGGACAAAATCGGAACCCTTTTTTGATTCCCGCGAAATTTTAAATTCATATCAAAATATTAATTTTAATTACATAAAATTAATTAACATTTCGAAATAGAAAAATAAATAAATAAAAGTAAACAAAATTTTTTTTATAAAAAGCTTTAAAAAAAACCTGTCAGCTCTCTTGTTTTGAATTAGATAAAAATAACATTTCTTTTAATATTTTCATCAATAGAAATGTCTTTACGTACATTATACAAATTTATATTTTAAAATATTATTACTAGCTTATTTTATTATCTAATTCCAAAGTATATAATTAAATTTTTTTATAAAACCACATTTTTAAGGCTAAGTTGTTATTGTTCTACTATAATATATAGTAATTTTGCAATATTTTAGAAAATGATTATAACTAAAATACTTACTATTTATGGAACATATTATTTTAATTTCATGTTTTTAATTAAACAAACTTAAATTAAAACCACTAATTGAGTTTAATTACTAGATCTATTAATTAATTGTTTATCACACTTTCTTCTATACTTTCTTTTATGTATCAAATATTCATGAACATAGACAATGGTCAAAAAAGTGGTGAAGTGATACCAACCATTAAATAATATTCACTTCCGGTTTCTTTTCAAAAAGTGAGATACATATATTAAAATTCGTAAATAAAATCTATTTAATTTTTTATTCTGTTATAAATTAATTTTATATATTTATTTAAAAAAAAGATTAATTAAATATGTGAAGTACTTGTAAATAAATTAATAAAAAAAAATGCCAACCTTCATTTTGATTTGATTTTGTTTTTTGTTTGAAATAAGAAATAAAGTAGAATGAGAATTAAATCATACAAAAATTAGACAATGTCAAAAATAATTTAAATACAATTTTTTTATATTTAATAGATTAGAAATAAAACAAAACATTCAATTTGAATTTCTCCGATCTCCCGCTTAGAGTATGTAATTTGAGTCATGTCGTACCTAACCTGACATCTGACGGCAAAATAAGAAACCAAACAGTGTCAACCACAGTCAACATCGAGAATTTGTAAGTAGCGTCAAAATAAACAGAATTTATCATTTTATTTATCTGCAGTTAATAAAACAATAAGTGTTTTATAATTTTTCGATTAACTGTGTGTTTCTTCAAACAAATATCGTTATTTCTATTTAATTTATTCGTATTTGTAAGGTTACAATCATTCTGAAAGTTTCACTCCTGGATAACCTAACCTAAATATAACTTTTCGATTTCCATAAAGTAAAACAAAAGAATTTGGTTTAATGTGTGAAACTAAATTATTGTTTTTTTTGTCATTTTATTAAATTCGGTGATAATGTGGAATAAGTGAAAATTTTCTAAAATTACCGACAGCAAGTTTTTGGAAGGAAATTTTTAGGTAGCATCAGAAAAAATTTAAAGTTCTCGAAACTTTTGCAAGATGGCAGCTCTTAGTCAATATTGGCATTGAATCGAACAACACAACCAAAAGGGGGAAAGGAAAGAAACACAAACCTCTATTATACCAGTCGTTCAATTCCTAACCAACTCCTCTCTCGACCATTCGGTTTACTCGCTTCGTAACAAGCTGGTTTTTCGTTGTGTGTGTGTTCTCCTCGGCCTCGAGCATGTGTTCCATGTTTCCTTCCCTTGTTCATTTACATTAGTGTGTGCGCGCGCGTCTACACTCTCTCACCGTAGGCCAACATAAAGACAGTCGACACGTATACATATATAAAATTCATATAATCGTGTGCGTTCCCTAACTCTCTATGTAAGAGTGTCGTCGTCGTCGTCCTCATCATCGTGTGTGCAGCAGTGCGCGAGAGAAAAGATTATTTTCCTCGCGGCTCGCAATGCTCCGAGCATGTTTTTCCGACATTCAGGTAAATCATATTAATATCTTATTCATTTTTCTATATTTACAATTTTCTAAATGCAAAAAAAAAACCATTATACCTATGCACCCAGAGCCAGATGAGAGAGAGAAAAAAAAAACTCGTCCTCCATTACTCACTGGCAAATGGTGGCCTGTCGACTCTTGTGTGTCTGTAAACCTTTGTTACTTGTTTGTCTCTTATAGTTTATATTTTTGTGAAGGCCTCAAAAAAAGTGTTTCGTTTCAATTTTTCGAAAATTTGACCCCTAATGAAAGTGTGTGAACCTAGTGCAACGTCAATATAAATACTTTCATGAACTGGAAAGTTCGTGTGGCTCTCCCCCAATATATTTCTCTCTCTGTCTCTGTTTCCAAGTGTTATGATTCTCGGTGGGTTTACTTGCTATCGCTCGATGACGACGAAACACGAATTGCGCATCGCTCTTTTCGTCAATTTTCTATATCGCAGTTTTATTTATCGACAAGATAAGCCAAAAGCAATTCCCAAGGGAAACAGTTGTGAGATTTTTTATTTTTTTTTTCGTTGGGATTTAAAAGTCCAACGCTAGCAGGGGGGGAGAACAATTCCAGTTTGTATTTTTAGACAAGTCCCGACAAGTCGATCGGTTTTTTTTTCTCACAAGTTTACATTTTGACCTCACAAGGCCCTTTTTCGTTTTTTTTCCCTCTCATGGTGCAAGATTATGAAATGTTGGGATATCACAAGATGATGAAAATGCATCATTCATATTTTTGTTTTTTTACCTCTATAGGTTTTTTTTTTTACTCTTTCTTTTGTATATTTATCTTATCAAGTCAATGTTTGTAGCAGTTTTTGTAACAACGTCACACAAGTTGTCTTGTTGTCAAGTTTGTTTGATTTTTAATCTCTTTTTTTTTCATTTCCATTGTCTCAATTATATTTTGCTTTCGAGTTTATATTTTATTTTTTATTACACAGAAATTTTTATTTATTTTTTGTATCAAATTTTATTGTTAATTCGTAGGTTTTTTTTTAAATTTTCAAAAATTATGTTTAATTTTTCAGCTAGGAATTTTATTTACATTTGATTTTTAGGAATATTTTGAATTTATTTTTATCACTTGTTTATTTTCTTTCTAGGATTTGATTTTCTAATTTTGTATTGATTTTATTAAAGTATTCATCGTTAATTCATAACAGAATCATGAGAAATGATTTAGAAATAAAAACAACGATAAATGTTTAAAATATTTGCGACTTAATTAGGAAATAAGTCTTTGATTTTATTATTTTGTGCATTTGTTTTTTAAAATGGATAATTTTTCTAAAATCTCGTGTATGCAATTCTAAATTTGGAATTACTGTTGTGACACTTTTATTCTTATAGTTTCAGGTGTAAAAGTACATTTTATGTAATTTTCACGTCTTTAAATTGATTGATAAAAAAAAATGTTTTCTTTTTCAGAAAAATTCTCACTGTTGGTCTGGTAGTATTTGAAAAAAAATGTGTTTAGAAATATAAATAGAATCATAAAAACTGAAATGTAGTTTTCGTTTGATAAACTTGGAATTATTTTTTTTTTTTGTAATTTTTTTTCTATTCGAAGGGAATATTTTTTTTACTATTGAAATTTATAATAAAATAGTATTTTTTACATGGAATATTAAATTGTTATTTTTAGAAATAAATAAATAATAATTTAATTAATTTTTTTAAAAAAATTTCTTTTTTTTATAATTTGTAAATTTTTGGAGAAAATTTGCAGGAAAATTGAGAATTTTTTCCATTTTTCAGGCAGAATAGTGGCATGAGTCGATTAATCTATGGCAGATCAACAAGATCAGTCGTTGTCTGGGGGGTCTGTAGAGAAGGCCAATGCTTCAGCAGACACCTCTAAATTAAGGGGGAAAAGCTCTAGCAGTGGCAGCAGTGGAAACAGAAAGAGACATAATAGTGGTGCCGTCCCAATTACGCTTGAAGAGAAACGTCGTAAGCAAACTGTTGGAGAACCACAGCCATTGCAAATTCTTCAAGGAACTTCTTCAACTTCATCATCATTGTCATCATCATTAACATCATCGCAACGGCGATCTATTGATAATTCTTTAAAAGGTGAAAGTCGAACCCGAGGAGAGCGTAAGGGACATGGCACTGGCTTAGGATTATTATTAGGTAACAAAATTAATTTTCAAAATAGTCATTACTCCAAAAAAAAGTATTCTTTTTAATAAACATATTTTTGCAAATGTTTTTTTTCTGTCAATTTTTTTTTCTTGACTCAATTGTAATTATTTTAGATACAGATTGGAGACAGCGACAAAAGTCGCAGCAGCAGCAGCAGTTGAGCACTATTGGAGGAAGCAACGTTCGGATTCGAAGTAATACAACGAAAAATAGCTCTTCCGATTTGAATTTGGCAGTTGATTGTGTCGCATCAAGGACTCGATCACGTGCATTGATAAATACTCCATTTTCATCGAAACCAAACACAGGAATCGAACTGCCCCTATCAAGTAATCTCAATAATAAAAAAACAATCACGAGCAATAGTAGCTTGACACCTTCATCTAGCAGCACTTCTATTTCTAATCATCCGTCTACATCCAAAGGCAGAGGTGAGGAAAAGAAATTTTTTTTTCTTTTATTTCCAAAAAAAAAACCTATTCAAATCATTCTAAATTTCATAAACATTTTTTTTTTAATTTGCCTTTAAAAAAAAGGAAGAGTTCACATTTCTCTGTTTTTCAAAAACTGAAAAATCATTTCTAATTGTTTACCTAAAAAGTAAATGTCCCAATTCTGTAATTTTTTTGTGTACTTTAAAATTATTTTTTTTATCCCTTATTTTTGGGAAAAATTGTTTTTTATTTAATTTTTACCGTTATCACTGTTATTTATTAAAATGGTAAATTCTGTTCCTTCTTTTATTATTATTCTTTACTTAAGTTTTTGATTCGCGTATCTATTCCCGAAATTGGCGTTAATTGTAACAATTCATATTTGAATTGAAATCAAATTGCTTTAGTTTTTTTTATCCCTTATTTTTGGGAAAAATTGTTTTTTATTTAATTTTTACCGTTATCACTGTTATTTATTAAAATGGTAAATTCTGTTCCTTCTTTTATTATTATTCTTTACTTAAGTTTTTGATTCGAGTATCTATTCCCGAAATTGGCGTTAATTGTAACAATTCATATTTGAATTGAAATCAAATTGCTTTAGTTCTATGTTTACTTTTTTGCTCTAATTTGTCCACTTTCTCAAACTGGTTTCAATTGTTTAAATCGTTTTTGTCAATCACATGCCAGTAATTGGGACATTTATCTTTTAACCCTTTAAGGCCCAGTGGCATATATTAAGAATTTATGCCAAACTTCAAGTAAAAATATTACTTGAAATTAAATAAGGGAATTAAAATTTTTTTTTTTACAAAAACGAGTTGGAAAAGGATTAATTCTAATATCAAAAAGGGAAAACAAAACAGCTTTTATTAAATAAGAAAGATAATTGAAAACTAATCGGAAAGGGATTAATTTTAATATAAAAATGGGAAAACTACATTAAAAAAGCGATATCTAGAATTAAATTTTCGTTTTGACTGATAAATTTTAGAAATTATTTTCTAATTAATTCAGAATAAACTTATAAGAGTGCAGTCTGCAAATAAGCAAATAGTGGAAAAAAAATTGGTCACTAGATTCGTTTTCTTTCTAATGATTCTTTTTTTTAAATGAAGAATTTTTCCTTTAATTGAAATTGACGCTTCTGTGGGTCCAAAGTGTCGAATTAATTTTTTTGTAATGATTATATAATTTATTTTATAAATAAAATATTTACACATTTATAAAAAATATATTTATATAAAGATAGAAATTTATTGTGAATAAAAAGAGTCATATAAAGACACTGTAATCATAGGCCAGAGGATGAGCGAATGTCTGGATGGATTTGTGTCTGCTGTAAAGGCACTTTTTCCCATATCGACACAAACCTATCATCAAGAAGGTAAGCTCAAGGAATCAGCTGCTTGTCTAGAAAAAAAAAACCTTACCTTCTCTATTTACTTTCTGCTCTTCATCTTGTACATAGAAATGTTTCGCAGAATGCGTATATAATAAAGGACGTTTCCTTATTACCCTTTTTTTGTAATATTGTAAATATATTTGGAAAGAAAATGCAGACTTTATCCAAATTTTGTAAGGTCTAATTTCTCTCGTTAAAATTATACACTTTTATCATTAATCTTTATCGGCTTTTCTAATTTTTTTTTTTTTTTCTTTCAAAAGAACTAGAAGTGAATTCTATTTTTTCGCATTTTGTGTCATATCTGTGTTGCCTTCAATAAAAATTTTAGGACAAACTTTGGCTAATTTGCTCCATTTGCTTAGAAAAATAAGATTTTGATAGGAATAAATATTTATTTGATAATAGTCAAGTAACCGATTATTTAAATCAAATAAATTATTTTTCTGTCTACGTAATTTGTAATTTTCAAGGGTAGTAAAAAATTAACCTTTGGTTGTCTTCTAATTTTCCCTTTTTTAATTAATGATAGTATTTTCTCTTTTTTTTGTAATAATAATTCTTGATATTAATTCATTAATACGTGATGCTTGCAATCTCAGTGAAATTGTGCATAAAATTATGATTAATTTAAGCTTCCTTATGCATCATATGCTTTACTGGGTTCCCAATTCCCGCAAGATTGTTTAATAAAAGGAAGTGTATAACTTGTGCTTAAATGAGATGAACATTTTCAATCAACTAAAAAATTTTCCCATTTTATTATATTTTTATGTGAAAAAATAATTCGCGATTTTGCATTTGACATTTTTTTTAATTGAATGATTTTTTAAGTGATTTGAAACTTTTTTTCAGTTTTAACAAAAAAAAATTCCAAATTTATTAAATGTTCCTCGTAATAAACACAGGTGTGATAACCTGTTCTTAGGCGATTTTTGCACGCATTTAATTATTAATTCATTCAACTAATAAGAATTTAATAATTTTAATAGTGAGAGTTCGTAATAGAAAACTCACCATTTTGTTTTTGTTTAGGGTTTATTGAAAATATTTATTTTTTCATTTAAATATAGTTTTCAATAATAATTTGAAAGATACGAATTTCTCAGAATACTTATTAAATAAGTGAAATAAATAATTAAATTGTTAACAGTAAAATTGATAAATAAGAAAATAATAGAAAAATAATTTTAAAAAAATCTAAATATAAAAGTCATTTTTTGTTGTGTATAATTTTATTTGTTAATGTTATATAATTTTGCTTTTGTGTTATGTAATTTGTTTCCGATTCAAGAATTTATTTTTGTTATTGTTATTTGTATTGTAGATTTTGTTTCTGTTATTAATTATTATTAATCTTCGAATTTTATTCAATATTTAGAAATATTTGATTTTTAATAAAAGAAAATTTCTAAAATTGAGAAAATTTCTCAAAATCAATGGAAAAAAATTATATTCACCTTCCTTCGAAGATAATATTTCTTTTACTTTTTGCAAAAGAGAATTCGGGGTAAAATTATTTGATAAAATAGACGCAAATGAAAAAAATAACTTTCCTAATTATTTTTTAGTCACATTTTTAGTTAGCGAACTAGTGAATTCAAAAAATTAAAAACAAATTCCAATTTCTTTTTTTTTTGTCTTAAATTTTTGTTTATTGTGGACTGGACTCGATGAAAAAAAAAAAATTCTTATTCTTCGTATCATGTATATATAAATAATATTAAGGCACTCATTATTTAAATTGCAGTTCTAATTAGTAATGAATGATAATTTTTTTTTTTAAATTAATGAAAATTTTTTGCTAATTTTGTTTTTTTTTTGCTCTTGTTTTTTTGTGCAGGTAACAAAAGCCAGAGTGGAACTGGCAGTAGTAGCTGCTTAAACAGCAGTACGAGTAGTAGTCAAGCTTTTGGTGTTAAGTCAAGCATCAGAGTGGGTAACGCAGCCAGCAACTCTGTAGAGAGTAGCGGGGGGGCGTTGGCACATGAGGGGGCAGCAGGCACTAGTGGCACAACAGCTACAGCAGCCACTGCCAATCCATCTGTGTCTGCCGCCGCTGCCAACCCTCAGCCACTCTCAAATTCAACGCACAAACATTTATTGCGTTCGCGTGTCAAACTTGTCGGTGAACAAACCAAGGATTGGCCATCCACCAAAGTTTCCGGGAAGCATCACAAGAAAGATTCATCATCTGGTTCTTGTTCCAGCTCAAGGTATAAAATGAGACCAAAAAAAAAAACAAAAAATATTTTGCCCAAAAAATGAGAGGATCAGAAAAGAATTCTTTTTTTAAAAAAAGAAAATTTTTTGTAAATCCCTTCTTGGGGTTTATAAAATTGTTTTTGATTCAAAAACAAATGAACATTATCTAGAATTTTATGATTAAATATTCACTAAAAAAAATAAAAGTTCAAGTTTCGAATTTTTATCAAATTTTCCAAGGTAGATTTTCTATTCAAATTTTCGTAAATCTGAATAGGTTGGAAAATGTTATTTACTAAATTTTTGGGAAATGATGGTTTAATTTTACAAGGTTTTTTGGTAACACGTGAAAAATCCTTGGAGATCTCATGGAATTTTATTTTTGATTTTGAAAATATCCTGCAATTATTGGAAATTTGTTTTAATTTTTTATTTTTACTAAATTTTTATGCAATCAAATTTTAGTTTAATAAAATTTACATTTAATCAAATTTTCATTTTTCCAATCAAATTGTTATTTAATAGAACTTGCTTTTGAACAAACTTAAATTTTAAATATAAATTTTTTTAAAATGAAAATTCGGTTATATAAAAAATTAAATTATTTAAAAATTCTGCTAAGTAAAAAATTTGAGTTCATATTAATTCGATTGAACAACAGTTTTCAAATATTTTATAAAAATTCTGTTAAATTCGGTGAATTGGAAAATTTGTTATAAAAAAATTCGATTAAATAAAATTTCTCTTAATTAAAAATTCTTTAGTGTGAAAATTTGGTTTATTTATCAACTTTGAGATAAATCTGATAATAAAAAAAATATTCCAAAATTCCACAGTATTTTTAATTTAGATTTTGTAGTATCTGGAAAATTTTCATTTTAAATGCTTTTTTTAATTTTAATATTTTATTTTTTTTTTTATTTAATTACAGACATCGATCTTCGTCGCGAGCCCGGAAGGCATTAGAAACAACTTCTGGCGGTGCCAATACTTTAATTTCAGGATTTGATATAGTTACAAATAGTACAACCCCAGCATCAGTTGCATCGTCTGCCCCCAGCAGTCAATTGACTTTAAGCACAACAGGCGAAGAGTCAGCATCAACAGCAAGTTCAGCAACTGGTAAACATTTATTTTTAAGAGAATATGATTTTTTTCCAAATAACTTTAATTTTTTGGATAAATTTATAAATATATATTTATTCCGTGTATATGTTATTGTAAAATTTAGTTGCGGAAATGATTGAGGAAAAGTTCATTTTCTTATCTAATCTTTAATTACAACCATTGCGATAAAAGTAAAATATATAGATTCTAAAGATTCTTTTTGTGTTTTCTTGGATATTTGTCAATAGAAAGATTGTATTTTGTTTTGTACTCGTGATTTTACCGGATTGTATAATGTGACAATTATCCTCTAGAATTTAAAACTCAAGAAGAAATTTTAGTTATTTTCAAAGTGAAAGCAAATGAAGTTTTTTGGAATTTTTAGTTAGTTTTATATATTTTGAAATTCTCTGTTTTTTTTTATAAATAAATGAAAAAAGAATTTGTAATTTCAGCAAGCGGAGGTCCCTCTGGTATGTCAGCGACAACAGGTGACAGTGAAAGTGACGATGGCGAAGTTGGAAGACTACAAGCACTTCTCGAAGCAAGAGGCCTTCCACCCCACGTTTTCGGAGCACTTGGTCCACGAATGCAGCATTTGCTCAACAGAAGTATGGGCGCAAGTTCTGGTAATTAAATAATTACATCAGGTTTGCTACGGTTATGGAAAACTTGAAATTGTGGAATTTTTTTCTGTCATGTATCTTCTTTTTTTTTTAATATCGTTCTAAAAAATAATTAATTTCCTATTTTTCAAATTGACATCATGACATTAGTTTTTGCTTTGCTACTTTGATTTTAAAAAATAGATCCTATTTATAAACAAAATTAATTAAATTAAACGAGAAAAATTATTTTAAAAACATTTAATCTATATTTCATTAAATAGATTGTCAAGGCTTTAGAGAATCTTTAGTGAACTTAAATTTCATTTTACCGAAATTCCATTTAACAAAAATTTCAGGTTTTCGAACTTTTTATTACGAAAAATGTTTGTTTTCACAATAATCTCCACTTTTTTTCTTTTTTAGCCAAATTTTTCATTTGTTCGAATTTTTATTTTTTTTTAGCTTTCGTTTGTCCAAACAAATATCTGTCAGAAAAAATCCACCAATTAGAAATTAGATTTAATTTTAAATTTGCGTAATTTTTCTGCTAAATATTTGGACAATTGAAATTTATGTAAAATAAAAATTGGGCTTATGGAATTGAGAAAAAAAAGATGTGTGAAATTTTAAAAACCGTAGCAATCCTGTACATGAATTTGGCGATATTTAGAAATTTGATTAACATTAAAGAAAATTTAATAATTATTTTCAGCTGCGAAAGCACAACAACTTCTTGCTGGATTACAAGCCGTCGATGATGAGGGTGAACAACTTCAGGCTGTTATTGGAATGGGAGAAATTCTTGTTATGGGCAATGAAGATACACTACCTGGTTTCCCAGTTAAACAAGTTGTTGCCGCTCTTATTAATCTCCTTGGAATTGAGCACAATTTTGTGATAATGACACACGCATGTCGTGCATTAACATATATGATGGAGGCATTACCACGTTCATCAACAGTTGTTGTTGATGCAGTTCCAGTTTTTCTTCAAAAACTCGAATCAATTGAATGTATGGATGTTGCTGAACAATGTCTCACTGCACTTGCAATGTTATCACGTAGACATAGTAAAACAATTCTTCACGCTGGCGGTGTATCGGCATGTTTAAAATTTGTCGATTTCTTTAATATCACAGCTCAACGCGCCGCATTAACAATTACAGCAAATTGCTGTCAAAATTTACATCCCGATGATTTTCATCTTGTCGCTGAAAGTTTACCATTATTGACAACTAGACTTGCTAATCAAGATAAAAAAAGTGTCGAATGCGTTTGTCAGGCATTCAGTAGATTGGTGGATAGTTTTCAACATGATCCAGTGATGCTTCATAAAATTGTTAATGCAGAATTATTGCAAAATTTACAACAATTATTAATGATAACACCACCTGTGAATAGTATTGGAAATTTTATAACTGTTCTTCGTATGTTATCGGCAATATCAAATCGTTGTCCTGATTTGGCACAATTGTTATTACAGCAAAATATTGCTTTTACTCTTAGCTATCTTCTTACTGGATCATTAGAAGTTAAGACAGAGGATGTTGAACTTGTGTCAAGATCACCGCAAGAATGGTTTGAAATTACTTGTCTTATTGAAGAATTAATGCCACCTCTACCAACTGATGGAATATTCAGTGTTAATAGTTTATTGGAAAGGACGAATAATCAACAGGAGACTGTTCATTGGGAATGGCGAGATGAACGTCATTGCTGTCATCCGTTTAGCACAATTGATTCGCGCATTATCGAGGTAAATTTTTTTTTAAATTTAAATATACACAATTACCTGATGTTAATTGAATTTTTTAAGATAATTTAAATTATTTAGTTAATCAAAATTTGAATGAAGATACAAATTAGTTACTTTGTTCGTTAACTGATTTAAATTTAAAATTATCCGAATTTAAATTTTTCTTTGTTGTAGATGGCTTTTCAGAATGGAGAAGACGAAATATGTTTGTCGACATTAGGACGAACTTATACAATAGATTTGACTGTGATGAAACAAATTAATGAAGATATGGGAATGGCTAGAAGCATATTCCGTAGAGTTAACACTAATCCCACCGAGGGTAAAAGTCCAACTTGTTCATCTAGGTTTGTTGATTTTAATTTTTAAAATATTAAAAAAACAACAATAATCACAAAATGACTTTTATTCATCTTTTACATTTGGAAAATTTATTGTTGAACCCTAAAAATTGATCTTTTTTCATTTAATTTGTTTTTTTTTACAGTATGGACGTAGTACCACCAGTGATTGAAACGAATGAATGGTTAGTGTCTTTCATTCGAACATTATTTTCTGTTTTGTACGAAGTGTACAGTAGTTCAGCAGGACCGGCTGTTAAACATAAATGTTTGCGAGCTTTATTGCGCATGGTTTATTATGCGTCAACAGATCTTCTTAAAGAAGTTTTAAAAAATCAAGTTGTCTCTTCACATATCGCTGGTATGTTGGCTTCACAAGATTTACGAATTGTCATTGGAGCATTACAAATGGCGAGTATTCTCATGAAGAGATTGCCACAAGTTTTTGGTGTTCATTTTCATCGTGAAGGCGTTCTTCATCAAGTACGACAATTGGCCGATCCGGAAATTCCACTCGGCGTCTCACCGCCCAAGTGCTCTTCTAGTGAGTTTATTTATTTAAATTTAAAAAAAAAATTGAAAATTAAATTTTCTTTTTTAATTTCAGTTTTATATTTGTTAAATTGAAATGAAATTTTTTCTTTTGATTTAGGTACATCATTGCCGAGTCCACAACCAGGCCCATCGAATACTCCTCTTTCAACTAATAGTCCACTTTCGTCTAGTAGTGCAACATCTCCAATTGCCTCTCCAATTACAAATGGCAATATTCTTTTTGGAACGATAGCTTCGAGCCAATTAAAACCGAATCTTACTGCCACAATGGAAACTCGTAGTCGAAGTGATTTAACCGTTAGTATCGATGATTCCAACACTCCGCCAAACGCTCACTTGTAAGTTTCATTTTGCTTTTTGATAAGAAAAAAATTATTCTCTATTTTTTTCATTATTTAAAAAACTTAAGAAAACAATTTTTTTTTTTGTGAAGGTCAAATTTGCAGAATTTGTCTAAATTTAAATTGATTTAAGTTCAAAATTAATATTTTTTGTGGAAATTGTGAGAAAAAAAATGTGAATATTCAGAGACTTAATGCATTGATGGATTTTTTTTAGAAGAATTGGAGATGTTTTAAAGAGAAAACGTCAGAATAAAAAAAGTCGTTTCTCACGATTGGGAAGTGGTACACCGCAACAACCCCAACAACCAGAATCTTTATTCACGGGATTTGCGCCAAAGAACAGTCGCTTTTTAGGCAATTTGAATCCAGCAAGATGGGGCAAAAAATCATCATCTTCAAGTTCAAGTAGCGATAAAAGGGATTCAAGTTCGTCGACTAATTTGGTTAAACCCCCAAGTAATCCTAGTTTAACAGGTGGAAATCGCGATAAAGCGAAAGCCTGGGTACGCGAGCAGGCCTCACAATTTTTAGCGCGATATCAAGATGATGCGCCATGTACTCATCCCGCATTAACCGTTCTTGCACGACTCACGTCAGCTATTCAACGTTTACAGTCGAACGTAAGTTTTTTTTTTCCTATTAAAACACTAATAAATGATAATTTCAATTAAGTAATTGAAGATAGTTTCAATTCATTTGTTATCGACTATTTGGATAGAATTTCAATTATTTGATTTAAAGTAATTTCAATTCTTAGTAACTTTTTTGGTGATTTATTTCTAAACTAATATGAATGTAAATTTTGTTCGTTATATAAATTTGTAAAAAAAATATCTTGAAGAGGAAATGGAAAGATGGATAAAGAGTACATTATGTTTTTTTCTTTTTTAACAGGACACGGATGAGATGTTTTCAGCGTTGACGGAACTTCGTGACATTGTTTTGGAAAGTGATATTTCCCCATTCGAAATGAATTTCAGTGGCCTCATCAAAGCTTTGTTGAACTACCTCACAACAACGGACGTTCCTGGCAATAGATACGATCGACTTCGTATGTTCTGGAAACTTTTTGCTGAGTCGACTGTAAGTTACTTGACTCAGTCATTATTATTATTTTTTTCTTTTTATTAATTTAAATTTAAACAATTCAATGTTTAAAAGTATTTGATACAAATTAAATAAAAACTATTGGATTATAAATGAATTAGAAATTATTTGCGATTTCTCATAAGCAGGTGTTTAAAAAAAAAAATGAAAAAAATTTTACAGATTCAACAGGAAAACAATTTAATGGATTTAAATCCTGGAGCATTCGGTGCTTTAGTCATGAAGCTTAATAGCTGTGTTGCGCAATTGGAACAATTTCCAGTTAAAGTCCACGACTTACCAGCTGGTTCTGGAGCTGGAAGGGGCAGTGTAAGTGCTCTAAAGTTCTTCAACACGCATCAACTTAAGGTGAGAATTAACTTACGATTTTAAAATTCAATTTAAAAATGTTTTATTTTCTTTTTGAAATATTTCTTATATTAAACAATGAAAGTTATAATATAAAAATAATATAATTTCTAAAATGAAAAAAATTTTAGTGCAATCTCGTACGACATCCGGACTGTAATAGTATGAAACAATGCAAAGGTGGTCCAGTTAAAGTAGATCCACTAGCTCTTGTACAAACAATAGAACACTATCTTATGTTGCCAAAGTGTGAAAAAATAAGAGACGCCGAATCAATGGCGAGCGAGGAAGAAAATAGTGAAGAAGATGCAGACGATCGTTTGGTGAGTTGAAATATTTTAAGAATGGAGAAAAAAAAATAAAATTTAATAGAAAATTATTCTTTAAATATCAAAAACAAAAATCAAATTTCGAATTTTCCTTTTTTTCAGCCTAATCAAAATTCAGGAAAACATAAAATTGAATTACTTATTGGAAATGAAGTTTTACCATTTGATATGACTGTTTATCAAGCGGTTAGACAGTTTGGTTGTGCCGGAAATGATCATTCCGAAGCTGATGCCGACAGTGAACCGCCTTTAGGTCAAGATGCTGTTTGGATGCAAACGCACACAATTTATTACAGGTGAGAGAGAAGAAAAATTAATTTTTACAATTTTTGTGTTTTTAAATTTTATTTTAAAACTCTTGACTTTAATTTTATAATTTGCAAAAAGAAATGATAATAAGAAAAAATTATTTTAGACGCATTAATAAAGACGAAAACTCCACATCGCCAAAACCAGGCTCCAGTTCTCAATTAAGTAGTCGAAAGGGAAAAGGCAAAAGTACAAAAATCAGCTCAAAGAGAAAAGAAGACAGTCTTTGGCAAGATGGAGCATTACCCTCGCAAATTTGTCCTCTTGCTCCATATTTGTCGCCAACTTTACCCTCACTTGTGACGATCTCAGATGCATCATTGGATGGACTTTGCCTACTGAGACTTCTTCATGCTCTTAATAGACATTGGGGTGTTCTTTTTCCACATTTAAAAAGTACAAGTCTTCTATCGTCACAAGATTTTATCAATAATAAAATTGCCGCAAAAGCAAGTCGTCAACTTCAAGATCCTCTTGTTATTGTCACTGGAAGTCTACCCTCATGGCTACAACAAATCGCTACTGTTTGGTAAGAACAAAATTTTCCATTATAATTTAATTATCAATTTTTTAATGATATTAATAATTCAATAATTTGCAATAAAAATTTAATTTATTATTTGTCGAATAGTCAATGGTAGCCATAAGTGGGAGGAAAAAAATAATTTTATCTTATAATAGAAAAATTGTTGATTGCAACACAAAATAGTTGTTAATTATTAAGATTAATTAAATGATTTTTATTTTATTTTCTTTTGTTTATTTACAAAGAAAAAAATTGCAGTTTAACTTTAGAATAAATATATAGTGTGTTTAATTAAATTAATTGCTTGTGATTTAAAATTCACAGTCCATTCCTGTTTCCGTTTGATACGAGGCAACTTTTACTGTACGTAACGTCCTTTGATCGCGATCGTGCGCTCCAACGTCTTTTAGACTCCGCCCCTGAAATCACAGGACCCGATAGTCAAGAACGCGTGACTCCACGCTTACAAAGAAATAAAAAACGAATATCAAGAACTGATATCTTAAAAGAAGCTGAACGAATTGTTCAAGAAGTTGGATCAAGTAAAGCACTTCTTGAAGTTGAATACGAAAATGAGGTAAATTAAAAGAATGTAGTAGTGAAATTAAAAAAAAAAAATTATAAACGAGATTTTTAATTTGATTAAATTAATTGAGCGTATGTTCAATGAAATTAATTTCTTTTTAAATTGTAGGTTGGATCTGGCTTAGGACCAACATTAGAATTTTACGCTCTTGTTTCTAAAGAATTACAACGCGCTGAACTTGAATTATGGCACGGAAGTTCTAATCCAACTCACGATGGTTATATTAATAATCCACATGGTCTTTTCCCATCACCAATACCGTGGAACACGAGGGTTTCACAACTTGCTAAATTAAAAAGCAAATTTAAATTTCTTGGAAAATTCACGGCAAAAGCTATTTACGATTCAAGAATGGTGAGTTTTTTCCACCCCTAATTTCAGGCCTCGGATTATACGACTTTTTTTTGACCGAGGCCTAAATTTTGTTTAATGATAGTAATTAATTAAAAAAAAAAGAATTAAATCTTTTAATAATGAAAATGTTTATTTTCTTCAGTTGGATTTACCGTTTAGTAAGAGTTTTTATCGTTGGTTGTTGAATGAGGAACAATCATTGGGTTTACCGGATTTAGCCCATTTAGATGTTGATGTTCATCGTTCTTTAAGCAAACTTCAAGAAGTTGTTAGACGAAAAGAAGCAATTGAACGAGATCAAACTTTACGGCCGAGTGAGAAAACTCAATTAATTGAAAATCTCAACATGGACGGCTGTCGTATCTGTGATCTTGGTCTTGTTTGCGAATTACCCGGCTATGAAAATATCGAGCTCAGAAAAGGTGGAAGTGAAATTTCAGTCACTATTCACAATTTGGATCAATATATCAAGGTAATTGAATTTTTATTTAAATTAAATTTATTTTTACTCAAGTAACATTTTTAAAAAGTTTTTTTTTAATAAATAGTTAAATTTAATAATACAAGCATCTGAAAATATCAAATATTGGTGAAAAAAAAAATTATTAACAATATAAAGAGAATTGTTTCATAATGTAAAATAATATGATGAAAAAAATTAAAATTTATTTAATTTCTCAGTTGGTGGTACATTGGTTCTTATATGAAGGAGTTTTTAAACAAATGGAAGCATTCCGTGAAGGTTTCGAATCTGTCTTTCCAATTGGACATTTGAAGCTTTTCTTCTCCGAGGAATTTGAGGCCGTTTTTTGTGGTCACGTGCAAAATGGAGGACGATGGGATGTGAGAACATTACACGATTGTTGTCGAACCGATCATGGATATACACCCGATTCACGAGCCATACAATTTTTATTTGAAGTCATGTCAGAATATAATAGCGAAGAACAAAGACAATTTATTCAATTTGTCACTGGATCTCCAAGACTACCTGTTGGTGGTAAGATGCACAAAATTTATTTCATTATTTATAATTTAATATTAAAATAATTTATCTTTATCATTTTATTGAATAATTGATGATAATTAAATTTAATTTTAAAAATAAAATTAATTAAAATAAATTTAGAACTTAAGTTAAATTTGTCAATTTTCAGGTTTTAAAAGCTTGACACCACCATTAACGATCGTAAGGAAAACTCTTGATCCCTCAATGAGAGCAGATGATTTCCTGCCTTCCGTAATGACTTGCGTGAATTATTTAAAACTGCCAGATTACACGTCTCTACGGATAATGCGCGAAAAATTAAGGATAGCATCACACGAGGGTCAACACTCGTTCCATCTTTCATAAAAATTTGAAATACAAATACACGCTGAAAAACTAATTCTTCACATTTTCGCGCCAATGCCGCCCCCTTATCTCTCTCTCTCTCTATCTCCCATCACCGTAAAACCAATACACAGATTGAATTCGACCTATAATGTGATTAGAAAATTTTTCTTTTATTTCTTTCTTTCTCTTTAAAATAATTTCAGTTTAATAAATTTTCTAGTTTTTAATGTCGATTTCTCACGTGTAATAATAAAAAAAAACCCATTTCGATTTTGGGCCAAGCTTAAAAAAAAGGGGTTCGTGATTGATGATGATGATAATAATAAAAATAATAATAATAATAATAATAATAATCTCAAACATGGATTGTGCTTGTCGTTGTGGTCTGGTATTTGTCTTCGGTGTTTTTAGAAATTAATAATAATTAAAAAAGAAAACAAAAAATGAGAGACAGACAATTTTGAAGACAATTGTAAATACCTAGAATTACGTCGAAGCAGTTTGATATACGCAAGTCTATATATATAAATACTTTATATTATACGATATAGGTATGAAACAAAAAAAGAAAAAAACAAAAAAATCAGTACTGCTTTAGAGATCGAGTTACAGAAAAAAAAAAGAAAAGAAAGAAAAAGGAAAATTAAAAAGACACACCCCGATTAAAAAAAATAAAAGTATGAAACGAGAAAAGGGCGTTTACCGTAAAATATATAAGTAAATTTTATATCAGCGATGCTTTTGTCGCATCGACACATGTCTGTTGAATTCATTAAAAAAAAAAAAAAAATTTCAAAGTAATTCAAGAAAAATAAAGACATGTATGGTCGACATGACCAAACTTCTATATATATATATACAAACATAATATATATATACATAATATTAACGATAAACGGTAATAGCAACGCGTCTCGTATTTTTTTTCTTTCCCTATTTTTTTTTTGTTCTTTTTTCTCTTTTTTTTGCCGTCTTTGTATAATCGATCTCTTGTGTTTTCGTTGCTTCGCGCGTCATCGACGCTCTAAAAAAAGTCGTGTGCGACACTTTGTTCTCGTTTTTTTCATTTTTAATCGATGTACCACGTTCAATTTATTATTTGATATTTCTATTTGGTAGGTAAGATAGTCCAATTATCTCTCTCTCTCTCTCTTTCTAAGTTTAAGGGTACCGCCAAGGCATCATTAGACTAAATCACAAAGAGTCGAGCAATCAAAAAAAAAAAAAAATGATTGTTTATATTTATATACTATATATGTATATTATTTTAGTTTTAAGGCCAATACCGTTAAGTTTAATTTTGAAAATGGAGAATATAATTTTTTTTCTTTTTTAAGAAACAAAAGTTCTCTTTAGAATGTGTTATTTTTTTTTCTTAGATTTTAAAAATTTCTAGAAATGAATTTGGTTTTTTATTTAAAAAAAAAAAATTGTGGTGGTTTTAATCTTCTCTCGGTGAGTTTTTTTTTTTGTTCCTTTAGTGATGATGTATTTAGTCTAATGATGAGCAAAGGTGTTTATTAAATTTGGCAATGTTAATACATAAAGAAAAAAAAAAAAACGATATGTTATCCTTGTAGTCTAAAAAAAAGTGAATATATGATTGTTTTCTTTTTTTTTTTCTTGTTTTTTTTTAATATAAATTATAAGGGATATAAAAAATAAGAAGATGGAAAAAACCATAAATGGTTGCAAGAGTCAACACAGAGTTGGAATTTTTTTTTTTTTTTTTTTTTTTTGAGAAAGCATCTTTGAAGCTTGTGATTCGATCTGGACCCGCGTCATTATTCGTATTATAAACAAGAGTTATATTTATATCGATCTTATTAGCATAAATTAATGAAGTTTATTTCAATTCGATTTAAAAAAAAAAAAAAAAAAAAAACACTGTTTCTTTTGAAGTCCTTCAATAAACGCAGTCGTAACAAAATTGAGAAAAATTCATCTGGACCCAATCCAAAAAATAGTAGTAAATTATTATTATATTATTTTTATCAATTATAAAGTAAGGTATATAAATAAATACATTTTATTAAAGTAGAATTTTTTTTTAATTTAAAAAATACATTTTTGAAATAGAAAGTCATGTACATGAAAAGTTTTCTTATAAATTCTAAGAAGAAAAAAAGAACGTAACATTTAAACAATTTTTTTTCAGATGGAAGAAATTAAACGTTTTATGATAATTTGAATCATAGAATTTTTTTTTTTTTTCTAAAGACACATTGACAACCATCCCATAATGAAACAAAATCCTCCGATTGGTGTTAGCCTAGAATATGTTTTGTCTCCAGTGAAAGAAGAATAATAACAAGGCCCGCAAAATAACATAATGCCAGATATAAATAATGTTCCAGCCTGTAAAAATAATTTTTTCAATTATTTATTTTTACTGGATTTTTTTTTCTTTCTTTTTAGGAAATAGTAATAATAGATATTAGATTGTTTTTAATAAAGAATTAATGAAATTATTCAATTTATTTATATTTCATAATAATAGTAAAGAAATAATTAAATATTAATAAATTTAATTTAATAATAAATAATCACTTACTAAAAAGGGAACTCTGCAAAGGGGTAATGATAATAATGATAAAGTGTGAATGAAATGATATCTCGAAGCTGTTTCAAAAATTCTTCTTTCCTCAATTCCTTTTTCATCCGGTGAATATCTCTCTGAAAGTAACAAACAAAAAATTAGAAAATAACAAATATCTGAAAATAATACGATCTGAAGTTTAAAAAAAAAACATACTGTGAGAACCATAGGCGGCTAAAATTACTGCCACTGCACCACTAACACCTGCTAATCTAATATATGGACCCTTTAATGCAGCTAATTTATAAATATCTGGTGGTGACATTGTAATAGTTTTTCCTGATTTACTTACAAGACCTATCTGCAAAAAAAGTATTAATTAATAACAACATAAAAAAAATATAAAACATTGTTTTAAATTCTACAATTATCAACAGAATGATTATAGAGAATAATTTAAAATAATTTTGTTAATATTTATGTCAAAAAAAAAAGAACAATTTCTATTATAGAAAAGTGAGGTTATAAATACATACTTTACTTACAGAATTAGCGGCACTTTTTGCCATATGAAATGTACCGGATGAAATCGGATTATTAAATAAAACATAATTGATTCCATCTTTTAATCCCATCTTTTTTTTTAAATTTATTTAAAAACTGTTCTTTTATTACAATTTTTAATAAAAAAAATTTTTCTGGTCTTTATGTCATACTTTTATACCGGTAATGAAGATGAAGAAACAAATGTACATTAATAATTTTTATCATTCACTCACCTATTAAGGTGTTCGATAATAAATATCTTCAAATATTTTACTTTTTTTTTGTGAAAATATAATATTTAATTTATGTTTTTTAATGAATAATTAATGTTTTGTTTTCTTTATTAGTGACTGTGGGAATTGTCCAACATATATCTCTGACGTTGGTAAATTGTCCAGTGTGACCTATGGTTTCGTTTCCATTATTCATCGATATATCGAATTATTTAAATCCTGATTGGTTAGATAATTCCATGTGGTTTGAATATACCTTTAGGTTTCGAATTTTAAATATTAAAGATCATCTATTAAATTCATACACAATGGACGGAGATTTAAATCCCTTTTGACATATAACCGTTACATTTTAATTTTCCAAACAAATGAAATGTTTTTCTGTTTTTTATTATTGAAAGAGAAAAACAAAATTGCAAACAATGACAACTGATAATAATAGAGTGTCTTATGTACGTTATTTAAAAAAAGTCAAAGGTAATTAATTTTTCTTTTAATAAAACATGTTTGTTATTGAAATTTTTTGTAAATATTTTAAATAAATTTTTTTTCTTATTAGAAAGAGGTCAAGTTCTACCTGGATTTGATGAAATTGTCACAATTCTAATTGATGAAGCGAAATCAAATGGATTAGAAAATGAAGATATTATTTTAATAGCAGATGTATTAAAAGAAGTTCATTTCAGTATGTATTGAATATTTTTTGTATTATTTATTTAAAACAATTAATTAATATTAATGTTACAGGTGTTGCAAAAAGTTGTTCATTAATAAAATGTATGATTCCAAAATACAAAATTTCAAATACTTTATTGAAAGATATGATTCTTTGGTATATAAAATTATTAGAAAATGGACAAGTTAGCCTTTCAATTCTGATGTTACAATGGATAATTGGTATTGTATTTGCTTAAAAAAAAAAAAAAAAATTAATAATAACCATTTTCATATATATTTGTTCGTTTCAGGAGTTTTGGAATATGACTTAGCGGACAGAACAACAGTGAATATATTTTATGAAGTATTCTTTTTTCAACTTCTACAAAAAGAAAGATTGGTAAATATTCTTTTTTTTATGAGAAATTATTTTGGAGTATACTTAATTTAATTTTTTTTTTTTTCTTTTAAAGGAAGTTTATCTGGCTCAAATTATTTATGAATTAACAGAACCTGAGGATGTTACACGCTCACAAGTTATAAAACTTCTCAATCAACAGAAGAATTATAAAAAATCACAGAAGCATCTAACTGCTTTACTTTCGTGAGTATATATATATATTTTTTTTTATAAAAGAAGAGTGTTTAATATAAAGAAAATAATTTTGATTGTTTTGCATTAGATTATTTAAATCCTATAAACCGGAATTTGTACCTGAGAAAATACCAGCAATTGGTATTGGAAATGTATGGAAACCATTGCCGAATGAATTTCTTCAGGGTTTTGGAGATGCAAAATCAAGAGCTGCTCTTCAGGAAAATTTTCAAAAGACAAGTGGAAATTTTAAATGGTGCACTACTTCAGTCTCTGGTAGGGGAAAAAAGAATGAATCCATATTACCATCCGTCGAGTATTTTAACATTGGATCAAGTGTATTTAAAGAAAAAAATAAAACATCAATATTTGATGTTTGCAAGTAAGAATATTTTCTTTTTAGTAAATTAAAAAAAGAAATTCATTAAATTAAATATAAATTAAATTTCAGTGTTGAAGCTTTGGGAAAATATCATGTGAACGTGGAATTGCCTTCTAATGCAACATCATTATTAACAAATACAGCTGGATATCATCTTCTTATGTTTGCTGATTTTTCATATCAAACTCGATTTTGCTACAATTTGTACATTACACTAAGAACGGCTTTTCTTCTTGAGCCTAATAAATATCCAAACGAAGAATTAGCACGATTACTTGATATGACTTATGAATTTTTACGATATTTACAACATGGAATTCCAGTTGTAACACGTTTTTTAGATGATTATTTTTCATTTCGAATGATAACAATACATCAAAGTAAACTTATTGAACTCACACAATGGATTCCTTTATCATTTACTGGTTCGTATTTTTATTTTTTTTTTTTTTAATTAAAATTTTACATTTTTTAATAATCTTTTCTTTTTAGTTTTCGAATTAGAAGAATATGTTTTAAAACATTTGCGATTAATGTTTTTTGAATCATCGGTGAAAGAGAAATGCGAAATTATTCGAACTTTACGTCTAATGTTATTAAATTTAGTAAGTAATTGGAGTTTTTTTAGTAAATTTTTATTTAAATTAAGGGGTGGGACCGGTTTTTGAAAATTTCAAGTTTTAATTTCGAATGGTTGAAATTTCAGCGGTCCCTCACATTAAATTGAATGAAAAATAAATAATTAAAAATATTCTTCTAGTGTGCTAATTATCACATTAGGAATAGTTCAGAAAATTCAGAATCGCCTTTTCTGCATCAGAAGTGTAAAATAAATTTAGAAGAAATAGTCCCTGCAATTACAAAATTTGCACAATCTCTTATAGCATCAGGATTCAATAATCATTCGGATTCACTTATTTTTATGTCTGAAGCGTTACATTTTTACGAACAGGTATTTAACAAAAAATATTTTTTTTTACTCCAATTTTTGTTTAAATTAATTATTTTTCTATTTTTTTTTTAGATTTCTATAACTGAATATCAATTTTCAATGAACACATGGACAATTGCTCCAACAGTTATAATTCACGGTGGTTTTTTATCTAAAAGTTGTTTAATTCTATCCAGAATATGTTCTCTTTTACTGAAGTAAGTAAATATTTAGTTTTGTTAATTGGAATAATATTTTAATTGAAAACTTAAATACAATTTTATTTTAGTTATCGTAAAGGAAGTGAAAAGATTTTAAAAAGGAAATTAATGAAAAAATTTCATAATGAACTTAATGAAATTGAACTTTATGCTTATGATCTGAGAAATATTTTATGGGAAGGAAAGGTAATTATTATGTCTGTGAAATTAGAGATTATATATATATATATTTTAATAATAAAAAATTGTTTTAGTCTTTCAGTAACAGAAAACAAGGAGGAAAATTTTTAATGAGACTTTCTGATAAATCAATTGAAGAATTATCCATAAATATGCTGGATAAAATGTTGTGTCTCAATTATCATTATGCAATATTACCATATAAAGTTATTTTAAATATGAGTGGCTTAAACATCCAATCGAGAGAAGTAAATTTTTATTAGCGATTTTTTTTAAATTAAATTTTTCAAAATTATTCACTAAAAATTTAATTAATTTTATTATTTTAATATTAAGTTATCAAAATTTTTTCCCACAGGATTTATTCAAAGTTGCCGTTCAATTTTTCCCTGCGGTAAGTGAATTTTTACGAATAGCTGCGGGACTTGAGATTGAAGAAACAGAAGAGGTTTAGTACTATTTTTTTGAGTTATTTTTCTTAAAACTGAAGATAAAATACAGAACAAAATTCTCAGTATTATCTATAAATTGTTTAATATTTTTTTTTAAATTTATTTTCTTAACATAGAACCGTTACATTCACATAAACTAAACATGTTTTATTTTTCATATACTACTTTTCCATCGCTTTCTCTACACAATTCACTTCTACATATTGTAACTAATTTTTTTTTTTAATTTTCTTATTTTTTCCTACAAATTTTGAAATGATTTCGTTTATAAGTTGTACTTAACAACGTTTAGTATTATAAATACTTAAATTAAATAAATATTTGAGTTTATTTTGTTTTTATTTATTTTCTTTCTAATTACTGTGCCATCGAGGAAATAATATTATTTAAAGAAATTCTCACAATTTTAAATAAGGAAAGTCGCATATCCAATAAGAATTGTAAAAGTTTCTTCTTTTTTTAATAATTTTTTATTTTATATATTAATAATAATTATTATTAATTTTTTATTTTACAATTAAAATAATCTTCGATTACTAATTATTTGGTATATTACAAATGATCGAGTATATATGATTATCAAAGTCTTTATTTATCTTTTTTTTTTCTTTTATTGATACGTGTTGGCTAAAGTAACAGTTTAGCAACAAAATTTTTTCAAGAAAAAAAGAAACGATCAAAAAAAAAAAATGTTTGGAAAATTTTTAGGCTAAAAATTACACGGCATTTGTGTGAATATTGTAAAGATTAAAATTTTATTTTAGATTTAAGTTGTACAATTATCTATTTCTACATTTCACGAAAAAGAAAAAGTTTATTCTTTTAATTGAAAATTTTTTTTACGAAAATATTCGTATTTTCTATCTATATATATATATATATATAAATAAGAATTGCACGATTACAAAAAAAAATTGAACTTTTTTACTCATTAAAAATAAATTGTGAAAAAAAATTGTATTCATTTACCTCTATAGAAAAAGAATGTTAATTAGAAAAAACAAATTTTATAAAAGAAAATCTAAAATCTAAAAATTGTAGTCTCTTGAGAGTTTCGAGTAAATTAAATGAACGAGGCAGTGAGTTTAGCTTGAAACAGTAATAAAAAACTGGATACAAAAATTGAAATCTACATTTTTGTTTTTTTTATCATTAAAAAAGAAAATTACAATTTTTTTATGGCACAAGAGGCAAAGAACCGTGTGACACAAAAATTAACTTTTCTCACGAAAAGAAAAAAGAAATGTACAACAATAATTCGCATGAGAATGAAACAATAAATTTAGATTTATCATCAATTAAATTAAAATTTAAATTGCAATCATATTTAATTTCATTAATTTAAATATCGACCTGATCATTTTTTTTTTTTTTAAGGAAATTTACTGCGAGAATTATACTTATTATCATTGTACAAATACATAAATTGAAAATATCAATAATTTTTTTGTACAATCATCTACATTTAGAAATACTAATCATCATTAATTATACAAAAAGTGCATCAAAGTCTATTTCAGTTGCTTTCATTGATCAGGTGCTAAAAAAAAAAACAAAAGAAAAAAAAATACTTATTTTTAGCAAAGACCAAAGCACGAAAATTTCACACTTTCTTAAATATTTTTTTTTTTTTTTTTTTTTAATTAAAAAAAGAACACAAGTTTCTATAAAAATTTGAGCCTTGCACGAATGTCATATTTTTACAAAAAAAAAACACATTTTTTTTCGAAAACAATGCAAGTGTGCTTTACACTAATTCTAACATTTTTTTTTCTGTTTTCTTTTTTTTTTAATCGTCGCGACACTTTTTTTTCACGGAGACGCTAATTTAAATAATTGACTACAAAATACTCTGGGTGAATTATTTTGATCAACGAGAACACGCCAATAGGTTTTGAAAACTATTTGACGGCAGTGTGACACGTGCGAATTACAGAATTATTATCTGCTTATAAATTCTAATATGCCCTTTCTAGTGACTTTTTTTCTGGGCTGCGCTGTCAATAATAAGAGATTTCCTGATCTCAAAGTTTATAAAAGAAGGAAAATTCTTTGTTTTTTCAGTGAAAAATTACAACAACAACAAAAACAACAATTAATACAAAATCAATTTTCGAAAAATGAGTTTTTTTAAAAATTTGATCCTTATTCTTTGAATTTAAATTTAATGTACTATTTTCTTTCCTGATTTTATAAACAGCGAATCTTAAACCGAACAAACGATTATTCAGTTTTAAAAAAAAGAGAATAGTTTCATTTGAGAGAAAAATAATCTGTTACAATAATATTTAATCGTTGTAATTATATGTCCGGCATCGCAATTCCCAGATGTATAAATTATTAATATTAAAAGGAGCTTTAAATAATAATAGTAATAATAATAATAATAATAATAATAATAATAATAATAATAATAATAATAATCATGTAAAACGTATTTAGCATCTTAGGACGAACAATCAAAAGGCATACCGCAAGCTACTCTCTCACACACCCAACAAATCATTTAGAATTAAAAATAGACTAACATATAGCGAAACTAATGCGATGTGACTGCGGTTGTCGCAGCTAATAAATAAGAAAATAACGAGAATTCAAGCTTTCAATATATGGTAAAGTCAAAAAAGAATCGTTTGTTTTTTTATTACTCACAACAAAGTGAATTTGTAATCAATTTGAAAAACTTAACTTAGGACGGGTTAATATTTAATTATGCTTATATTTGGAGAAAAAAAAGAAAAAAAATAGTGTCAGAAAACAGAACGTCTAGTGAGCATTTTAAAGTATTTTTTTTTCTTTTGTTTACAGCTCTTACATTTATATGAGATCATATCGAAATCTCCCATCTCTCGCTCTTAAATTCCAATTTTGTCTCTATTTAAAAAAAGAAAACAAAAATCAATTTGTAAAAATTTTTAATTAAAACTCATTTTGTTTGAAAACTTTTTTTTAAAAAAATTGATTTCCATTAAAATTTAATAATTTATAATATTTTTCTTGAAAAAAAAAATGCTTTACTAGCTTCCTAAATTAAACAAGAAATAAGCTATTAAATATTAAAATCACTAAACATTAAATTTTCCTTTAGACATTTAAAAATGTACGACAGATTCGTATATCTTTAGAAATGTTTTTTTTTTTTTTTTTTGGATTTGACTAAAAAAATGCTGAGTAAATACAAAAAAAAAGTGAAAATCAAAATAGTCGAAACATTCTGTAGCTGACAGAGAAATAAGTAAGAGAACTTAATCTTACAAATGAACAAAATTTTTAGCTTTATAAATTTACTATAATCACGTTTGCTTTAAATTTTGAACATCCATCTTTGGCACAGTGTGTATTTTTTTTTTTTTTTTATGGAAAGAGAAAAAAAAGTGAGGGGAACGTATATCCACTGCCGTTTTCTTAGTATTTCAATACCTGTCACTATCGAGAAATCGCGATTATTAATTTTTATAAAGTTTATTTTTTACTTATATAATAGTGTATGAAAAAATGAGTCTCTTAATAAAAATAAAAAAAAAAAAAAAAAAAAAAAAAAAAAAAAAATGACAACGAAAAAGAATTTTTTTCTCTACAAGTCTTGAAAAGCAATTATGTAATTTTACATCCATTTTTCTAATTTTCGAACACATGAGAAAAGAAAAAAAAACAGAAATTCTTTTCAAAGAAAACGTAAAATTACATATTGTGATTTCGAATATTTTTCGATCAAACAACGTCTACAATCTAAAAAAACTTGTATTCATGTATGCGCTATAAATAGACGAAACTATTCTACGTGCTTGAACGAGGATGCACGAAACAATCGTCAATTAAATCTTTGAGAAACGTCACTCATGTCAATGATCACGAGCCTAATTGTGTGGTATTTTTTTCCATTTTCTTTCTTTAATAATAATTATTAACTTTTTCTCGTTAAATTACTAGCACTTACGCGTATTAAGCATTATTTATTTTTTTTATCACACACGCATCCACGCACTCTTTCTCTTTCGTTTTTAAAGTTTCCCGTGCAATAACGCATTTTTGTTTATTTGTTTTCAATTCTTTTTGCGCGAAACACAGGTTAACACTAAAAAAAAAAACAAAACAAAAAAAAACAATGTACCTGTTCATTGGGGGAAATAAGAACACTTTCACGGAAAGTGAAAACAGATCAGATGCAGTCAGAATCACTGTCAATATTTTCATCTGGACCAGAGATAAAATCTTCATCCATTGGTTCATTCTCTTGTTTTATGAGCTCCTCCTTTTCAATTTGAACAGCTAAATGACGTTTCCTCAATTTTAATTCAATTGTTTCTTGTTCTGTTCTTTCGTTTTGAAATTCGTGGACTAGTGGATAAATTCTCTCGATTGCTATTCTCACGGACTCAACATTGGGTGCTAAAATTTTTTTTTAAAAAAAACCTCAGATTAATTGACAAATTCTATAAAAAAAAAAAAAATAAAGAAAATGTTGTTTAAAAAGTAATATTTTTTTTTACCTGTTACTGTAACACTGCCAGTGGAGAAGATTTTAAGAGTAGCTTTCGGATCTTTCATTTTAAACGTAACGCCAGGATGAAGTTCAGGTTCGTATCTGATTAAAAAATAAAATTGATATAAATGGGAGAATTTTTTTTTTTTTTCCTCGTCATTTGTGAACATTACTTACTCGGCATTTTGTCTATAACGTTCGGAAAATTTTGTAATCATTATATTCCATGGCATTGTACAGGAACCAAGAACATTTACTACTCTATAATTATTAAATCGCACTTTAAATCCAAGTTTTTGAAGTGAACGCGCAAATCGTCTTGCCGCTTTTTTCGCTTCATCTTCACTTGTTGCACCAGTGCACGAAATTTTTCCCGACGACCAAATTGAGGCAGTAGTTTTAGGCTTTCTCAATTTCATGGTAATCATCTTTAAAAAAAAAAAAAACTCTTAATTAGTTTTTACAACAAACAAAGTTAAAATAATTTAATTGAAATCGTTAAGAAAAGAATTTATTTTTAATTTGAAACAATTAATGTAAATATGAATAAAACTTTTATAAATGAAACATTTTTTTTGTCAATTAAAATTTCAAATACATGTTTTGTTTCTGTAATATTATTTTTTGGTTTTCTTTATCTGAAATCTATGTATAATTGTTGATTCTATTTTTTTTTTTTTTTTAAAAAAACCTAATAACTTACCCCATTTTCTCTTCTGTATTCTACATTAGAACCATTAAGAGCTATTTCACGTAAATTCAGATGACATCTGACACTAAAGGTACAAACGACATTATTAATATAAATATCAAGATCTAATTCTTGATCTTTAACTGAATCCTCTATTTCTTCCTTAGGCTCGAGTTTCACTTGAAATAGATCATCATTATTTGTCGATGAGAGTTCATTTCTTAAATTGTTTACTGTACCATTAGTTAATTTCATCCCATTATTTTGCAAAATAGTCGCCATAATACTATATACCTGAAAAAGAATAATAGTCTTAATTCTCTTTTGTTTCAAGAAAAACACAGTTAAGGCACAGTGTTGCCCTTAATAATAATAAAAAAAAACATGATATTCAATTTTATGTGGATGATAAAAAGAAACATTTCAAGAAACAAAACTATTCCATTATTTTTTGTTATCATCATGTAAAACTGGAATATGCGTTCTAGAACTATCTTTTTAGTTCATACTTATCATTATGATATTTTTTATAGACTAATAATTCTATTCTTAAAAAAGTTTATTTACTTTTTGTATGTATTAAAAATAAATAAATTTCCAAAGAAAAAGAATAATTTCTAATTCTTACAAAGAAACTTTTTTTTCAAATCACATTTTTATAAATTTTAATTTCTTTGTCATGTTAAATAATAAATAAACAAAAATTAATTTACAATCAAATGTTTTTATAGCGGGATCAATAATTTTACCAATAGAGATCAATGAAATATTTAAGATGAAATTTATTCATAAATAATAATTGAAAATTAATGATAAAACATAAAACAGTCTTTGTGTGTATAAGTGAATCAGAAAAATGTCAGACCGAAATCTGAGACTACCAACCAAGGGCAAGTGTGTGAATCAGTTTCTAAACTACTGGATTTGGATTTGCCATAAATGAATAGCGACCGATATAATTTAATTATGCCTACTATTGATAAAATCATTTCATCAGAATAGATCTTTGTGTTAATGAATAATGCGACGTTTTGTCGAGAATCAGAAAGAAAGAAAGAAAGAGAGAGAGAGAGAAAGAGAGCAAGAAGCGTTTTTGTGACTAAAAACTCTTTCATTTTGATTTAACAAATTGCTCTCCTACTGAGATTAATGATAAAAGAAAGCGTATTTTATAAATCAATCACAATTAGAGAAAATCCTGACCCTTACAAATTAGAACACGCTGTGACAGCGTTTAGGGGGAGTCAGGGATGACCGCTACGTCGTGGAGGAACGCAGGAAGTGGAGGTCAGCATCATTTTTAATTCAAAAAAACTTTAAAAGAAGAATGTAAATTAAATAATTCAATACTCACGATAAATCAAAAGAAATAATTTCGTTCATTTACAATAAAATTTACTATTATTGTTGACAACTAATAAAAAAGAATGCACGATTTAACAGCCACTGTCATTGTTTTCAGCCATCTTCACTTAGACGACTTACGATGCGTGCGGGTCGTTCTGTGTTGGAAACGTTCATTGAAAACGCCATAAAGGACCAAATTAAATGAGTCACGAAGATAGTAAACTCACTGGGTCAAAAGGTGAATATATCCGAAATTTTTATTTAACACACATTTAATTATATCTATATATTAATTATTACCTATATAATAATTTTTTAAACACAATTGACACTACATTCCGTATTCGTCGTCTTTTGTTTATAAAATGAATTCTGTCATTTTGAGGTTAGAATAAACAAAATTTTTTAAAAATAAACAAAAAATGTAAAATAACTTACAGATTATTGTTTTTAAATTAAATAATATAGTTCCATAAGAGAATAATTGTTTTTCTTTTTAATTGATGTAAATCAAATACTATATTAAAGAAATAATAATATTTTTCAATTAAATTTTTCAATGAAAGAGTTGTTCGTGTAATTACTAAAGAGATCGAGAGATGTCACTTGTGAATTTCTTCTATTTAATTTTGATTGGCGGACAAAATATTAAACAACCAATCATAAATAATTATTTTTTACTTTTTTTTGAGTAAATCACGAGAGATGGCACTACCTGTCTTGATAAAAAGTAGCGCGAACTTGAGGTATTTAATTTTACTATTTTGATTTTGATGATGTTTAATCATTATTTTATTATCAGGTAAACGATAATTTACAATTATTTTAATACCTAAGTGGTAGATTTATTTGGTATTATAGATGTTTGATTATATTTCTATTATTTACAAAGGTATGTATGTTTTGCAAAAATAACCTCAAAAAATTTTTTTTTTCTTATAAAAATCAAAACAATATTGCAATAATAAAAAAAACTTAAAGAATTTTAAAGAAATCTAAATAATTCATATCGATATTTAAAATAAAAAAATTGTTATTATTCACTATTGTAATGCAATTTTTATCTTTATTTTTGTTTCCTCTTTATGAATATATAAATTTACGTAATCCTGGAAGAGAATAGAAAGAGAAATAGTTATGCAATTTACATATTTACAAATGATTACAATCTCTCATGGATTTTCCATCTTCGTGACCATTTTATTAAAAATTAAAAAAAAATCGCGAAAATATTACTTATGACACTTCCGGAGATTTCAATGAATGGAAAACATAGAACTTTTCCGCTCTCTGAATTCTAAATTTAAAAATAGAAAAACTATATAATTGATAATTTTAAATCAGGAAAAACATTTTCTAAGAATAAAATTGTTTAGTTAGCGAAATTTATACTATTTGTTATTTAAATGAATTTTTTAAATTATTTTTTTACAATAGTTTCATGTATTTGCGTTTTTTTCTAATGTTAATAAAACAAATAGATTTTTTTTGGAGCTGTGGTAAATAATTTCGATAATTGAAAAGATTTTTATGATTTTTTTTTTAATAAAATTTTTATATTTTGAATAGTGATATGTTTTCTTTTTTTCGTAGATTTGGAAAAAATGAAGAAATCACGAAGAAATACCAGGACGTTAAATTATTTTCATCCTGAATACCAAGAAATTGTTGTAAAAGGAGTGCGTAGGAGTGAAGGCGTTTGGATACATCCTCCTAGTTAGTATTTTATATATACTATATATATATATATACGGAGTTGTATATTAAAAGCGGTTCTCCGGTCTCGCATCTCTTTTTCTACGACGCATTCAAGTGATCTACAATATATGCTCACAAAACACGTTTTCCATTGGCTCTATAGAGAAACTAACAATTCTCTTCTACTCTTGCATCTCCCGAAGCAACTACAGTGGTGGTATCTGATCGAAGTGTGTTGGAGAACCTACGGTAACGGTATAGTACCTCAGTTTGCTTATATTCACATCGTGTATAGATATACCAAATACAAAGAGTAGGAGAACTTCTTTTTGAACGCCTCATCCAGTTTTCTCATATACCTTCAGAACTACCTTGATTGGTAGTGTTCGCCAGTATTGAAAAGTTTGTCGCGAAATCAACATCGTGAGTTATATTTTGTTTGTTTTTTTTTTACATTAGCCCGCGGTAAACGTACCGCAGGCGTTTTTCATAGTTCTTTTTAAAGTTTTGGGTTTTTTTTTTTTTTTTTTTAGGAAATTGGTGAAAAAAATTTCTTTTAAACGATCGCCGGCTTTGAAGCCGAGAGATCGGTAAAATAAACCACCGGTAGAAAGTGCGATACGCGCGTGGAACCGTAAAAAAAAAATTTCACGCGAAAAAAAGAAAACGTTTGTGAGGTGTGTTTGCATTCAGGTGAGTCATATTCGTCGAAAATAAATCGTGATCGTGAGAGAAAAGAAAAAAAAATCACCTGTGCTCTTCTTATAGATTGTCGACATCCAAGGTTAAATTTTTCATAAAAGGATTGAGATTAAAAGTTGACTCTCGTTTCATGAGAGATGAGAATTTTGCACGCGCGTTTTTTTTTTCAATTTCACCGGCACACATTCTCTGTTTATTCCAATTTTGTCTCTGATTTTTATATAATAATTTATTCTTCAATTTAGTCCTTTTTTCCAATTCGCTAATTATTTGCAAAATTCAATTAAATTTTTTTTTTTTTTTTTAAATATTTTAATAAAAAAAAAAGTCTAAGAAAATATAACTGATGGAAAATCATTCGCATTAATTAATATTCTATATGAAACTTATGAGTATATGTGACCTTACTTTCATTTGTATGGGCGGAAGGGCACCACCTACATTAATGTTTTGGCGGACCCTGATGATGATGAAAATGCAAACGAAGAATTCTCATTTGAATATAATTTACGAATTTTATGGGAAAAAAAAATTGAAAATTCAAATTCATTATTCACGCATGACTCAATAAAAGGAAAAGAAAATGAAATTAGTTCATGATCTAATCGTTTCAGTTGTTAAACTTTCGACTTATTTGGCGATGATGAACTCATAAAGGCCTTCTTAGCTTTCTTTTCGTTTCTATTGACAGTCTGTTGCACTTCCGGAAATCGTTGCAAATTTTACGATTGCGGTTTTGAGTCATACGTGTAAAAAGAAAAAATGTCACTATAGAAAGTTGTCGTTAAAAAACAAATTTCAAATTGCATTTAAAATTTTCTTTTTTGAAATTTTGCACTATTTTCTATTATACTTTCTAAAGTCTAAGGACTATACATATTAATTAATTAATTAATTATCCTAAATACTGGGTCGTCTGAGAAGAAATCTTGACCTTATTATTTCAAGACCATTGCTCTTCATTTGTCACAATTAGCATTGGCTATTGTATTCTGTAAATCGTGGGAAATGTCTTATTATTCTTGAAAAGTTGTAATTTTCATCACTGTATTTACCACGAATAATTGTATAGAATTTTATAATTGTCAAGAGTTCCAACATATATACATATATATAAACTTTCGAGTGTCGTGCATTTGAAAGTGATGAAATAAAAATTATATATATATATATATATATATATATATATATTTAAAATTTTTTTTAAATCATTTTAAATTGTAATATTTATAAAGAAAATATTTATGGAGTACAAATAGTTTGACATTCAGGAATGCTTTGTTAATATATTTCAATATAATTTCTTTCTATTCATGAATCAAAAGCTTTTTATATGGCCACTGTTTTTTAATGAGTACATTGCCAAGTGTGTTGAGAATAATAATAATCAAGTTGTAAAAATAATTATCAATTATCTAACTTTGCAAATATAGATGAGTTTTATTATATTCCAAAATATTTATCCAAAGCATAATATTATGTAATATTATATCATTTTATTTATTATTATTATTATTATTATTATTATTATTAATTTATTTATTATCGTAATTACAATTACTGAAAATATTATCACTTTGAAAGAAATTTATTACTGTTTTTTTTTATTCTTATAGAGATTTATTGACTTGCAGATTCTCAATACCGATAACTTTATTTTTCTTTAATTTTAATAAAATAATTTGCTTCATTAGACTCTTAGACATGTGAAAAAAATTCTCTTAAGTTTTTTTTTCTTTTATAAAACGTAAATACTTCTTTTTGGTTTAACAGTCTAATTCTTTTTTGAGTCATTCAAAGAATGGTGAGCATTATAGAGTCCCTAAATTACCGTACAATTTTTATGAGCAGTCAACATGAAAACATAATTTTTTTTTTAGGTAGATTTCATAAAATACACTAAAATTTTATATTATTGAATAATAATATTAAAAAATTCGGAGTAACAATAATTCAATTAAATAAAAGAAATTCCATAGATTATGAATTTGTAAATTATTATGCAATAAGAGTAATAATAATAATAATAATAATAAAAAAATAAAAATAATAATTGATATACACATGTCTTTGGAGGTAAATGCAAGAGCATAAGATTAAGAACTGGAGGGTGGGGTCTCTTCATTTCTCGAACGGGACACCTGTTGGAAATATATAGAAAGTAGGGCGAATGGAAACAAACAAACCTCCTTGTATATAAAATCGGTATTTTTAAAAGAAATATATTTTTATATAAAGACGTGAAAAGAAGATTTGCAAAGATCTGAAATTTAGAAAAAAAATTGTGTTTTTTTTTCTTCTTCAATTTTTTTCTAACTTGGGATTTCCCCATTCGCTAATTTATAAATACAATCTGACGCATTGACTTATTGGCTTCTTTGATGATAACACAAAAATTATATATATATATAAGAATTTCCGCGTTTATTAAAAGCGAATAACAAATAATTTAATAAACAATTTTAATTAGAAATATTTAAGTATTTATGGAAAAAAAATAATTCTTTTAAAATTAAAGTCAAGGAAAAGATTAATTTTAAAATTTGAGAATAACAATTTGATGTAATTTTTTATTTATAAACGTAAAAATTAGTAGAATGTAAACAAATTTAATCAATTTTGATAAATATTTTTTTTTGTATTATTAACTTTCTTATGCAATCGACTTTGATTATATATTTTCAATTATTCCAGAATTGACAACATGGATTGGTGGAGGAGTTTCTTATTTTTACAATTTTACATATCCGGATGCGTTTTAGCAGAATCGTAAGTAATTTAAAATTGTTTTTTAAATTCAAAAATTAGTTTTATTTTAAGTAAAATAAATGTATGTATATGTACATACAGTTTGTATTGTTTTGCATAAAATTATTAATTTAGAGGCAGAAAAAAAGGAATAATAATAATAAAAAAAAGTTGAATATCGTAAATAATAAAGATGAACTTTCTTCTTGAAGGTATTACACGGTCATCGCTCCGAGAGTGGTACGTCCTAATTCGGAATACCATGTAGCAGTAAGCACCGCAGGCATATCAGTCCCATCTATCATATTGGTTGAATTAAATGCTCGTCAATATGATGGGAAAGAAATTAAAATTGCTTCAAAATCAGCGAATGTTGCACCCTATTCAACAGAGACGGTCGTTCTTCAAGTAAGAATTCATTTTTCAATGTTTTCTTTTTTTCACATTTCAAAATGTTCTCGATTTTCAAATTTTTAATAATTATATAGTTTCAATTAAAAGGTGAAAAAAAAATTAATTATTAAAAATAAAATTTCTTGCCAACAAAAACTTTTTAATAAAAATAATAATTTTCTTTGATATTTTTTTCTAGATTCTGGACATTGGTCCAGCGGATTATCGTTTAATGGCTCGAGGAATAGCTGGAATTGAATTTGAAAATTCCACGGACGTGAGATATGTTCATAAAAGTTATTCTGTTCTTATTCAGACAGACAGAGCAGTTTATAAACCGGGAAATAAAGTAATGTTTCGATGTATTTTATTGAATTCCGGTATGAAACCTGCAAATCCAAAACAAGTGGAAATCCATGTGATGGTAATTTTTATGAAATTAATATATTGTAGAATAATTAAAAAAAAAATTATAATAGTAAATTATAAAAAGTTATTTATTGATATCAGGATGGAAAAGGTAATAGAATAAAACAATGGGTTCGTCCAACACTCACACGAGGTGTATTCGGTGGTGAAATAGAATTATCAGAATCTCCTGTATTGGGCGATTGGAAAATAGTCGCAATTGTTGATGAACAAACAATTGAGAAAGAATTTCAAGTCGCCGAATATGTGCTACCAAATTTTGAAGTTTCAATTGATTCTCCAGCGCATATTGCATTTAAAGATGAGAAAATTCACGTCACAGTACGAGCAAAGTTCGTAATTGATTAAAATTAATATTTTTAATTATTTGATAAATTCAAAAAATAGCTGAATTACTAAAAAAAAAAATCATTTTTAGATACACGTATGGAAAATTTGTAAAAGGAGAAGCAACAATAACAGCTTATCCGGATATTATTTCAAGTGTTTTACAACCTCTTTACCAGCCTGTACGAAAAGTCGTTGATATCGATGGGAAAGCATCTGTTGATTTCGATATTTACAAGGAATTAAGGTATCTATTTTTTTTTCATTTTTTCAAAATTATTTATTAATTTTTTAAATTGAATTTTCAGACTGAAAGACGACGACTATTTTCGACCGGTGAAAATTGAAGTTGCAGTTGAAGAAGCATTAACCGGACGTCGACAAAATACATCAACACAAATATTTCTCCATAAACACAGATATTCAATGGAATTAGTACAACAATCGGGATACTATAAACCAGGATTAAAATATACCACATTTGTAAGTATACTAAATAAAAGTTGAAAAATTTCAATTCTTTTAATTCTAAATTTCCTTGAGGTAATTTAATTTTAATTGAGATAATCGTTAAATTTTTTAATACAGATCAAAGTATCAAGTCATGATGGATCACCTGTACAGGATTCAAAAACACCATTACAAATTTCCAGTACTTATGATAATGTCGAATTTAAGAATTTTACAAAACTATTAGATCAAAATGGAATGGCTGAATTAGAATTTTATCCACCAAATAATGCCAGTGAAAGTTTAAAAATTGAGGTAATTTTAAAATTCATTATTAAATATTAATTTATTTATTAATTATTACTAATATATATATATTTTTTAGGCAAAATATTTTAATCTTCATGAACAATTTCCTTATGTTTATCCAGTTGCAAGTTCTTATAAAGCTTACATTCAGGCAGTGTTAAAAAAACCAATTCAGAAAGTAAGAAATATAATTTTTTTTTTAATCTACATAAAATTATACTTTAGAAAATAAATTCTTTTTTTCTTTTTTTTTAGGCTGATTTATCATTTGTAGAAATTGAAGTAAATTCAACAGTTCCGATGAAATATTTAAATTATCAAGTTTTCGGTCGTGGAAATATTCAAACTGCTGGCACAATTATGGGCGACAATAGAAATTCACTTACGTTTAGGTAAATTTTAATTTTTTCAGTTATCTTATTCTCTTGTTGTCTCTTATTTTTCTTTTATATTTTTAGGTTTAAATCAACACCACTTATGGCACCAACAGCTCATTTATTGGTTAATTTTATCAGCGATAATGGTACAGTAATTGCTGATTCAATTGATATTGATATTGAAAATTCATTGCAAAATTTTGTAAGTTTCATAATGTTTTTTTTTCTTGGGAATGGAAAGAATAATAAAATTTATGAGAATTTCTTTCGAAATTTTTAAGGTTGACGTGAAAATGAGTTCGGAAGCAGGTCCAAGTGATGAGATCAGTTTAACAGTTTCCACAAATCCAGATTCTTACATCGGACTTTTGGGAGTTGATCAGAGATCTCTTTTGTTAAAATCCGGCAATGACATTTCCCACGTAAATTGTTTTGTCAATCATAAAAAATGTTTTTTTTTAAAGAAATTGAAAATAAAATTAGATTTTTTAATTAACAGGAACAAGTGGAGAATGAGATGAAATCTTACGACAAGGCCGATACATATGAACTATATCATAGAGGAGGCGCTGAAACTTCTAGTGAAGTTTTCACTGTAAGTTGAATTTTATACACACTTCAAAGAATATTTTGAAAAAATAATAATTTTTTACAGAACGCAGGTGCTGTGATTATCACAAATGCTTACGTCCACTATTCATTTCCAATCGGTGAGTATAATTAACGAAAAAAAAAGAAAATACTAAAATTATTAAAACAATTAATCACAATCTTATTTTTACTCACAATGGAAAAAAATAGATAATTTCGAATTGGCACGCTGTTAATATGAGTTAATCAAGAATCTTTTCTCTTCTAATAGCATATAGAATAAGAAAAAAAAATGACATAACAATTTTGTCTTAAAAAATCAATCGTTTTTAATATTAGTATTTAAAAAAAAGTAATTTTTAACGAAATTCGTCGCTGAAGCCTAATAGAAATAAATTTATTTATATTTAACGTTGCTTAAATTTGCCTCTATAGCGTTCTACCGTTCTCGTCTAGAAGAAGACTTTATTCCAGTTAATGCCTTTGCCATGGCGGCGGGAGCAGCACCAAGTCCAAATGCCATGATTCCACCCGAGAAGATCAAATTACGCAAGAATTTCCCCGAAACTTGGCTTTGGCAAGCGCTTGACGCTGGGTAATTTGAGAATTAATCTCTTTCTCTAAAACACTCTCTTTCTATGAGGTTTTTTCTTTTCATGATCTTTATTCTAAAAGCTTTTTTTCTAACTTTGCGCTTAATGCACCGGTCAATTGTCTCGTTTTCACCTATAGCTTTTATTTTACTAACATATTTGGCAAATGGTGCGATAGTTTAATAAAAAAATCGTAACTATTCTCTGTAATCATTGTCTAATATTTTCGCCCTTAAAAAAAAGTCCTTTTCAGTGGATCAAAATTTCTTTTGAGATCGAATTTTTAATTAGGAAAAATTTCATTATTTAAAAATTCGGACTTGGAAAATTCGATTCTCTCTCTTGGAAAAATTATTTAGAATTGTATTTTTGAAAAATGGTTTTTTTTTTTTTTTTGTTTGGAATTATTGTTTATTATATGAAAATGGACTTGCAGAGAAACCAGGTATATTGGAGGGTAGAATAACAGGCTCTCCTGAAGGTGTTCCTACATTGCGACCAGATATTGGTCCACCTATTACGCATAGGCTTGCAACAAGACCACCATTGGCAGGTCCTTTCGCCTTCTCACGAATCCCGTTTCCCGTTTGGAATAGACCCCGTGTTTTCTTAATGCATGACATTAAAGACACATGGCTTTTCACAAATTCGTCTTCAGGGTATTTATTTATCTACATACAAAAAAAAAAAAAAAAAAAAAAATTCTCTCCACAATCACGTATACAATATACATTTTTGCTTTTGCAGTTCCTTTTTTTTTGGTGTATATATTATATATTTTCTATTACAAAATGGAATCATTTTTATCTCTCTGGTATTATATAGTCATATTTTCTGGTACATTTCATTGTATATATGTAAATATTCCCCTTATTTTTTTTATTCTTTTGTCATAATGTGTTATAAAAAATTTTCTTTGATTTTAATTCGATTTAGAATTGAGGGCAGGGCAGTTATTCGAAAAACGGTGCCAGATTCTATTACTTCCTGGGTGATTAGCGCTTTTACAATTAATGACGTTCAAGGTTTTGGTCTAATCGAAACGCCTAGAAAGGTTTGTATTTTTTACGATATTCAATATTACGAATTTAAAATTTTTATTTGTAAGTTAAAATAATTAATTTGAATTTGAATTCTAATTTTATTCTTTTTTTCTAGTTGAAAGTTTTTAAACCCTTCTTCATATCTATGAATCTTCCCTATTCGGTGATACGAGGAGAAATTGTTGCCATACCTATTGTTGTCTTTAATTATATGGATAAAGATTTAATAGCTGAGGTGGTATTGGAAAATAGAAATCAATTTGAATTTGCTGAAATTTCCAACGAAGTTCATGATTCACCGAGTAAGAGATAATTTTTCCTTTCGATTATTAAAAATATTAATTATCATCATTAATCATTTTTTATTTTTTTCTTTAGAATTTGAAATGCACAGAAGCAAAATTGTCAAGGTAAAGGGAAATTCAGGAGCTAGTGTTTCATTTATGGTGATACCAAAGGAAATTGGATATATTACAATTGCAGCTAATGCAACAACAAATATTGCTGCCGATGGTATTGAAACAAAACTTCTCGTCAAGGTATATATTTATTATTTTTAAAATATATTTAAATTTTTCAAAAAAAAAAAAAAATCATTTTTCCATAGGCTGAAGGTGAAACGCAATATCGAAATAATGCAACGTTCATTGATTTGAGAACAAGTCGATCGGTTTCAACAACTTTATTGGTTGATATGCCAAAAAATATCGTAACAGGTTCAGAATTTGTCGAAATATCTGCAGTAGGTAATGAAAAACAATTATTTCTTTTTTTGTTCAATAATATATTTATTCATTATAAGCTAAAAAATTTTCAATAATTTTCAGGCGATATTTTGGGACCAAGTATTCCAAATTTGGCAAATTTAATTAAAATGCCTTCGGGATGTGGAGAACAAAATATGTTGAATTTTGTGCCAAATATAGTAATTCTTGACTATTTGACGGTAGGATTTATTACTATTTCAAAAATTAATAAATTATTGTAACGAATAAGGAAAAAAGAAATAAAATTAATTATTTGAAAATTAAACATTTCAGAATACAAATCAATTGAAACCTGCTATCGAGAGTAAAGCCCTTAATTATTTGCAAATTGGTTATCAACAAGAATTAACATATCGTCACAATGATGGTTCGTTCAGTGCATTTGGAGAAGCAGACGCTAGTGGAAGTACATGGTTTGTAATAATTGTTTTGATTTTCATATTTTATTTTTTAAAATCAAATTAAATATTAAAACTTGTTTCAGGTTAACAGCCTTCGTTGCAAAATCCTTTTATCATGCAAAAAAATATATCGACATAGAGAAACAAATTATTTTTGATGCTCTACAATGGCTCGCTGATAAACAAGATGTAAATGGAAGCTTCCCGGAAGTGGGAAAAGTCAGTCATCAGGATATGCAAGGAGGTGCTGCAAAAGGACTTGCCCTTACAGCCTACACCCTCATAACATTCCTCGAGAATAAGGTAAATAAAAAAAAAAAAACCTTTTAAAAAAATAATAAAGAAAAATGTTAATTTTCATATATTTATAGGAAACAATGAATCGTTATCAAAATACAATTTACTCGGGTGTTAAATATATCACTGAAAATCTTGATGATTTGGATGATGTTTATGCATTGAGTTTATGTACATATGTTTTGAATCTTGCAAAAAATATGTACGAGGACACGGCATTTTATGCATTGGAGAAAAAAGCAATGGAAGATAAACAACATGGTACAAAATGGTGGAGTAAACCAGTTCCAAAAGATGATAAAAATCCATGGTATTCATTACCAAGATCAGTTGACGTTGAAATGACATCTTATGTTTTATTGACATATTTGCAAAAAAATCTCGTCACCGATGCTATTCCACTTATGAAATGGCTTGTTACGCAAAGAAACAGCGAAGGTGGTTTCGCTTCAACACAGGTAAAAAAAAACAGATTTATACTTTTTTGATAGGCCAAAAAATTATTTGTTTTTTAAACAATAAAGTAAAAAAAAGAGAAATTAATAATTATTAATTATTAATTATTACAGGATACAGTAATTGGAATTCATGCTTTAGCCAAATTAGGAGAAAAATTGGCAACCAAGGACAATAATGTTGCAATTACTTTCACATATGAGAATGGCGGACAAAGTCAAATAAATATTAATCCAGCTAATGTAATGATTCTACAAAAGCACGTTGTAAGTTATAAAAATTTATGACTAAAGAATTTTTCTAGACTAATTTTATTAATTAATTGGTTTTTTTTATTTATTTAAATTTTTACTTTTTTAGCTGCCAAAAAAAACTCGAGTCGTCAATATAACGGCAAGTGGAACTGGTTTTGCTTTTGTACAAGTGTCATCGCGTTATAATTTAAATGTAACTGGGGCTTGGCCACTTTTCACGCTCGATCCACAAATTACAAGAGCCTCAAATGAACATCATCTTCAGCTTACTGTTTGTTCTGGGTAAAGTTCTATTAATAAAATTTAATTTTTTTTTCCACATAAAATAAAATGTGTAAATAATTTAAATAATAAAAAGAACATTTTAGTTATTTATTTTTTGTTAACAGCTTCGTGCCAACAAACGAGACAAGCGAGAGTAATATGGCAGTTATGGAAGTGAGTTTACCGTCAGGTTTCACGGTCGATATGGATTCGCTGCCAAGTTTGGAAGCTTTTCACAATGTTAAACGTGTGGAAACGAAAAATGGTGATACCATGGTTGTACTTTATTTCGATAAGGTAAATTAACTTCTTTTTCTTTTATAATTAGAAACAATGAACAATTTAATTTTAATAATAATTAATTATAAATAATTTTCAGATGAATGTTACAGAAAATTGCCCGACAGTTTCTGCATTTAGAACACATAAAGTTGCAAAACAAAAGCCAGTACCAGTATCCGTTTACGACTACTATGATTCAAGTGAGTATAGAATAATTTTTCCTTATCCCTAGAATTTCTTTATTTTAAATTAAAAATCCATTTACATTCCAAACAAACAAAAGCAAATAAATCCCTAAAGATTTTATTTTTAATTTTCATATCTTTTTTTTTCTAAAAAAAAAATAGCAAGAAGAGCACGTGCATTTTATAAACCAACTTTAACAACTTTGTGCGATATTTGTGAGGAGGAAGATTGCGGTAATGTTTGCAAATCACAACCCCATCCTGGCTCTATTAGATCAGCATCAAGTGCTATTCATATCCCTTGTACATATTTGGCCCTACCTATATTTAGTGTCTTTAAGTTATTTTTACTTTAGAAAATAATATAAAGATTTAGAGATCTATTTTTTCCCCCCCGTAAGAAGTAAACATAAGACTAAGGATAAATTCAGTGCCTTGCACCAGAAATGATAACCAAAGCGTTTTTTTTTTAATTGAATCAATATATATCTAGAATTAACGACGTATTTTTTTTTTTTTTGCAAATACAGAAGTGACTTGTGTTTATTTTTTTTATTCCTCGAAAAATTGAGGTAAAATTTTTATGCAAGAATTATATATTACATAATGAAAAAAAACACGTGTATAGACGCAACAATTTAAAAAGAAAAAAAACGAATGGGTACTGTATATGTGTGTATTTAAGTATGTTTTGTAATATGAACTATACTAATAAAATGTATTATTGTTACCTATAAACATATATTTTCTCTTCTCTATCTCTTAGGATAATATTTTGATTTTGAGGTTAAAGCGTAGACTATTTTTTTTCACATCACAATTATTACTGCACATTTTATTTTAATAATTCATTATTAATTGAAAATTTTATAACGATAAAACCACCTTTTTTTAATATATAAATTGAAAATAAAAACAATTTGCAATGTTTATGTTCATCTGTCAAATAATATTTCATAAATCAAACAACATAGAATGGTAACTGTATTGAAGATCAAAAACTTGTCCACGAAAATATTTCTCAATATTGTCGACAGAGGGCTCTTAAATTGATTAAATGTTTACCTAGAGTTTCGTCTCTTTTTCACACATCATTGTCTCGGTTTGTCTCTACGAAATTTTCGTCTGGTAAGTAGTTCGATTGTTTTCTATTTTTTTTAAGTAAAAAAAAATTGACTGTCTTAATCAATTTCTATTATTAATCTTTTATTGTTTTTTTTCCATTAAAATTACATTGTTTCGGGTTTCAAAGTGCAGTGATTATTAATTGCTCCTACTTGCCACGATGATTACATAAATGGAGCCATCACCCACGGTTCTTGTCCTCTTTACTGTAATAATTATTGTTTTATTACAATTTTTTGAATTAAATGTCTTTATTATTTCAATATTCTGAAAAGTAATCTGTCAGAATTTATTTCTCATAGAATGTTTTAATTAAAATAATATTAAATGTCAAACCTATCGATTGACAGTTCAAACTTTTGACCTCTCTCTACTTTACTATTCGGAAAGTAAAATTCAATGTTTATCCAATTTCTCAAGAAGTGCTATAAAAAAGAATTTTATTTTATTTTCGATATGTATTAAAAAAAAAGAATTGAAAAAAATTAATTTTTAAATTATATAATTAAAAATACTTGAAGCTATTAATAAAAAATTTTTACAGGGATAAAATTCACCGAACAACAATGCTGCGAACTAGTAAAAATTTAATTCAGCTGGTTGCTGCACCACAGCAGCAACAGCAACGAGGAATGGCAACTTTAAAGTCAATTTCAATTCGTCTAAAATCAGTGAAAAATATTCAAAAAATTACTCAATCCATGAAAATGGTGTCAGCGGCAAAATATAATCGTGCCGAGCGTGATCTTAAACAATGTCGTCCACTTGGCGAAGGAACAAAAACATTTTATGAACAAGCAGAAATTCAACCACCAGAAGGTGAACCAAAAAAACTTGTCGTTGCCGTAACCAGCGATCGTGGACTTTGTGGTGCAGTACACACAGGTGTTGCACGTAATATTCGTGAATCATTACTCGCAAATCCCGTCGAACGTGAAAATACAATGATTGTTTGCATCGGTGAAAAATCACGTGCAATTCTCTCACGATTATTTGCTAAAAATATTTTATTCGTTGCATCTGAAGTTGGAAGAAAACCACCAACATTTAATGATGCCGCTAAAATAGCCAATGAAATTATGAATAGCGGGTAAGTATTTAGAAAAAAGAATTATTGAAAAAAAAAATTATATGCAATGTAATTTGTTTTTTTTTTTTTTTTTGCAGATATAGCTTTGGAGGTGGTCGAATTGTTTACAATAAATTTAGATCAGTTGTTTCATATAAAGTTGACGATTTACCGCTTTATGATAAAAATGCAGTAACTACAGCGCCAAAATTATCAGTATATGATTCATTAGACGAAAGTGTAATTCAAAGTTATTTAGAATTTTCTTTGGCATCGTTATTATTTTATTCGATGAAAGAAGGTGCATGCAGTGAACAATCCAGTAGAATGACTGCCATGGACAATGCCAGCAAAAATGCAGGAGAAATGATTGATAAGCTCACATTAACTTTCAATCGTACCCGACAAGCCGTCATTACTAGAGAACTTATTGAAATTATTTCCGGTGCTGCTGCTTTGGAATAAAAAAAAATAAATAAAAAGAAAAATTACTCTAAATATTGATTAGCGTACCCTAGAATACATACATCGTCACAATATCATTCGAGGCATATTGTCGCGATTGATATTAAATTCAAATCGATTCCATCATTCTGTTTAAAAAGAAAACATCGGAAAATTTGCAAAAAAAAAATAATTTTTGTAAATGTGTATCAAGTTCGAGGCTTGGCGATCAATAAATTTTGTTGAAAAACTCTTGGTTAAAATTGTCTTAATCTTATTTATATTTTGAAAATATTTTTGATTTTCTTTTGTCAATTTTTAACCTCAATTATTTTTAAATAAATAAAAAAGAAAGAAATATTGATAAAATGTAAAAAAAAAACTATGTCGACATTGAAAGTAATAAAAAATCGTATAAGATCAGTGGGGAATACAAAAAAAATATCCCAAACAATGCGAATGGTATCGGCGGCAAAATATGCAAAAACAGAAAAAGAATTAAATGTTGTACGTCCTTTTGGTAAAGCAGCGATAAAATTTTACGAAATAACTGAAATTAATCCACCAATTGATCCTCAATCACAATTGATAATAGCGCTCACTGGTGATCGTGGTCTTTGTGGATCAATACATTCGGGAATTGCAAAAACAATAATCATGGATTTTCAACGTTTACCACAACTTTCGACAAAATTAATTTGCATTGGTGATAAAACACGTGTAATTTTATCTCGTGATCATTCGGAGAAAATTTTATGGGTTGCTTCTGAAATTGGTAAAAAGCCAATGACATTCATTGATGCTGCATTAATTTCACAAAAGATTTTAATAACACAATCTAATGATGAATTTCATCAAACACTCATCTATTATAACAAGTTGGTTTTTGAATTTAATCGTTTTTTTTTTTTTTTTAATTATTTATAAAACTAAATTTTTTCTCAAAATCAGATTTCAGAATGCAGCTTCCTACAATGTTTCTTCAATTAATCTTTACGAATCTCATGCACTTTATAAATCGAATCGATTTCTTTTTTATGATGATATAAATCCTGAGACTATTAAATGTTGGTTAGAATTTGCAACAGTTGCAATTATTTTTTGGCTTTCAAAAGAGGGGATCACGAGTGAATATGCAGCACGTATGAATGCAATGGAAAGTGCAACAAAAAATGCTTCCAAAATGATTAAAGGATTAATTTTATCCTACAATCGTACGAGACAAGCGACAATAACAAAAGAATTAATTGAAATTATCTCCGGTGCTAGTGCAGTGGAAAAAAAGGATTAATTTCAAATATTTATTCAAGTGCAAATTATATATATTTATATTCTTTAAATTTCCTTTTGGTTCCGATTTCTTTGTTTTACAGTTTTTTTTTTTTTTTTTTTTTTTGCAATTACTGCAATGTTTTAAGTACCAATAAAAAAAAAACCTACGCTAAGGAGCATTATTTACTCCAAATTTTCTCAACATTTTTTTTTTTCATAACAATTTTAAGACGTCATTTATTTATTTTTAATCGCATTTGCACAAAAAAAACGCTTTTCCAGTTGCCTCATATCTTAATCTATGTACAACACCTTTAAAAGTGAGATGTAAATTATGAATTACCACAATATATTAAAAAACAAAACAAAAAGAAAAATGACTTGAGCTTTACAAATGCATTTTGGCTGACTATATGTGATATAAACACAGATGCTTTGAAAAATAATAATTATTAAAAACATAAGGGGAAAAAAATCAAAGCAATTACTCACAACACAGCTTTTTTTTAAACATATTTCGAACGCGGAAATTAAAGATTATAGCTTATCGAACATTTCCCAAAAAATCCCAGTCATACCGATTCTATCATGACTTTCGCTCGCAACTATCTCTCTTTCTCTCTATCTCTCTTTAAAAGAGTGAAAACATTAGAAATTATGCACAAGTATAGAAAAAAAATAATAATAATATTACGTGGGAGACATATAGTTAATTGGCAATTATAATTTTTGCCACAAAAATCCATATATCGACCACTTCGCATTTTGCTACATACATAGCTCAAGATGAACTTCAATTTATCTAAAAAAATGAAATTTACTTCATAAAAAAAAATTTCTTTTCCAAATATTGACAATGGAAAATAGAGAAGCAGATAAATTTCCATAACATCTCAACGAAAATACAAAAAATTGAATTGAAAATAATTCTGTAATTAAAATAAAAATAGACAAGAATTACAAAAAAAAAAAATATGTAAAAATTAAATTAATATTCTTTGGAATTAATGAATGATTGCAGTTCATCTTGCGCACTCTTTGACAATCGCTAAATTTCATGGAAATTACACATCAGAGACGACTTATTTTTTTCTTTGAACGTCGCTTATTTTTTTTTTTTTCGCGGCGTATGTGTACACAGTCTTTGATTGTTTCTTGGTAAAAAGATTTTTTAAAAACAACGGACGATAAAAGAAGAAGTTGACGAAAAAAAAAAAAATAATAATGAACACTTCACCATTCTGCATCGCCACCCGCTTTTTGAAACACAAAGTCTTTGCCACTTAAGTTCATGATGCCGTCTTTCAAAAAGAACTTCCATTTATTTCTACTCCTCGTAATCTGCAAAAAATAAATAGACTATTTTTTCCGACAAGAAAGAAATTGTTTTTATTTCGATTCTTTTTTTTTTAAAAAGAAAGGTGAAATTCAAAATTTGTAACTAAAAAAATTTCCTTAATTACCTTATCGTATTGGCAAACAACGACATTGTCCGTTTCGAATTGATCAGTAGGATCGTCATCAGTTACATCATCTTCAGAATTGAGGGGTTCCTGAATAAGAAAAAAATATTTAATTTAAAAAAAAAAAAAACAACAATTACCTTGTATTTTGTAATGAAAAAATTTTGCAAACCTCTTCTCGAGCAGCGGCGTCATCATTTTCCTCTTCTTGATTTTCATCAAGATCTTCATCATCATCGTCATTATCATCTTCCTCTTCATCGTCATCATCATCTGACGAGTCTCCATGTTGACCATCTAATTGCGCTATGTTTCCCTACGATAATAAATAGAAAATAAAAATAAATTATATAATTAAAAAGGGAAAAAATTTGAAAATAATTATAATACGTACTTGATTTTGAATTGTGCGTTGAACAGCAATATTATTAGCCGATTGCGAAACAACTTGAAGAGGTTGATTTACCTGCACTGTTGTTAAACCTGCTTGTCCTTGTAGTGTTGAATTTACATGTTGTTGTAAAAGTGTTGTTGCAAATTCAGCAGGTAAACCCATTGCAGCAGTAATAATTGGACCTGTTAAAATCTGTTGTAGTTGATTTCCTGTTAAAATAAAATTGATTAATTACTGTTATGCAAAAGAAATCGTGAGAAAAAAATAAATATTTTTACCTGAGATTGCAGAAGCAGGAACGTGAATTGTTAAAACTCGCTGTTGGGTATCGGCTTGAGCGGGTAAGGTAATCTGTATTGGCACTTGTCTTTCCATAACAGAAACTGGAGTTGTCGCAACTTGTTGCACTATTTGCGGTATTGTTTGTGGATTGAGAATTCCTCTATTATGCGTCAATGTTTGTTGTGGTTGAGGTTGTTGCTGTGGTTGATGTTGCTGTTGTACTATGGAAGAGGTTCCAGTTGAAGATTGCTGTACATTATTTTTCGTTACTCCTGAATTTGCTACAAGAATAAAAAAGAAATTTCAATTTTATTTGAAAAATAAATTTCTTTTAGATATTTTTTAATTCTTTCTAGAATATAATATTGCGAAACGTACCTTTACTAACGTTAACAGATTTATGAACAACTTGAGGTGGTGGTGGTTCCGGTGAATCTGGATTCAATTCAACTGCTTTACTAGATATCAATTTATTTTCCCATATTTGTTTCAATTCCTGTAGCACTTGTTCGTCAACACCTTCATCCAAAAAGGATTCACGCACTCCAGCAATAACATCTTCTATCACCGTATTATACAGTTTTAACTAGAAAAAAACAAAATTTCAATTAAGAAAAATAGTAAGAACAATATCAGAAATATCAAATATAATTTAATCTAATATTTCAAAATTAAATTTTAGACTTTCGTAATAATATATTAAAAATCCATGTAGTTTTTTCTTTAATAAATAAAATGCACCTGAGTCCAGTCTATAACAGCGATAAGCAAATTACACGTGTTAAATACGTTACAATTGTTTACTCAGATAAGAAATTTGGTAATGGAAAATTACGTGACATAATTGTCATACAATGTAGCTAATACTGTCACTTTTTTTTTAATAAGATCTATTTGTGATCGCGTTTCATTGAAATGATGCACATGAGATGGATTTTATTTTTTCTTCTTTAAAATAGATATGAAATTGAAAATTTCCAGTTTAATGCAAAATTTTGCAGAGAATGTAAGAAAAAAAAAACTAAAAACATTGAATACACATCGTCCAGGTAACCATGATATAGTTTGCTAAAAGATATGACACATGTACGATGGCAATCGTTATGAAATGATTTCTCGCATTTGATGTTCTAATTTCATTTCTCTTTACTCACCACGCTGGTTTGACTGAGGGACATTGTGGGATGATTCGTATTGTCAATCAAACGAAAAACAATACCAATAATCCTAAATCAACGTTGCCTCTCAATGCCGATGTCCCCTGTCGTTCACAAGCCTTTTATACTTTCTCATCGGGCAAATACACACCGATTTGCGCCTCTATTTCTGTTAACAAGACTCGCGAGACTGTGGTAGTATTAGCAATTTCCTCTGAAGTGTGAAAAGATCCAAAAATTTTCAGCGTTTACATGCGACGACAAAGAAAATGCGTTAAATGTCTTCGATTATAACATATAGAAAGGGGCGTGAAATATCTTGTAAAACTGAAAATTACCTTGAAAATTGATCAATTCTGTTATAACAACTTCAATTATATGTAATTGAGGAATATTATAATTGTACTGTATTATTTTTTATTTTCTTAAAATTCAGTTTAATTAATAAACAAAGTTTATTTATTATTTTTCTCAACGTTATCTATTTTGACATTTTTATGACTTAAGCTTCAGTCACACGTGCCCACTTATTCAAGTGATTGTTCACACTCCGCATTTTTTAAAAATGTTTTAAAAATATACATTTTAAATTCTTTTATTAATTCCTTAATTAAATTTAACTTAAATTTATAAAGATTTATTAGTAATTTAAATAAATTTATGTATTACACTTCCAAAGATAAAGAAAATTTAAATATTATGTTGGTAGACATGAAAAGTAAAAAATTTGTTAATCATATATTGGTATTCCTGCTCATTGCAAATGGCGTCGTCGAAGGAGGAAGATCCATTTTGTGTTTGAGAAAATTTAAGAGTTTATTATTAGTTAAATCAGAACGTTAATTATACTTTTTTCATTATAATTATATTCAGTACTTTATAAACTTTTGATAAATCATATAAGTTTATTGGCAGCTAAAAAGAAAACTTATATTGATATAAAATTTTTGCGACAAAAATGTAACCTAAAAATTTTAGCATCGCAATGTCAAACAGTTAAATACAGGTAAAAGTATATTTACAAACTTCATAATATAATTTTTCTTTATTAATTATCAAAGAAAATTGAGGAAAAAACAAATTAATAAAAAAAATAAATAAAGCTTCCACCAAAAAAAATTTTTTTACGTTGGTAGAAGTTTAGTTCAGTTTTTTGTTATCTTGGGTTGGCAGTGCGCCTCATTGCAAATTGGCGTCAGAAAGTAGAAGAAACATATTTCGTTCGAGAAAATTTTTATCTTGTTATATTATTTTCATCATAAAGTAAGTTATATATATTTTGTTATAATTAAGTTCAGAATTATATGAATAATTGAAAATATATAAAAGTTTCGTGGCAGCTATAAAGAAAAATAATAAATTTAGATAAAATATTTTCGACAAAAAAAATAACCTAAAAATTTTGATATCCTATTGTTAAACAAAGAAATACAGGTATATTCATATTTCTCATCTTAAATAATATTAAATTTTTATTTTATTAATAATTAATTTGAAAATTTTAGAAAAATTAATCAATAAAAAGTAAAAATTAGTCTTCTGGAGAAATTTTTTTTTTATGTTGGTAGAAGTGGAAAAGTTTAGTTCTTGTTATTTTGGGTTGGCATCCGGGGCTTATTGCAAATGGCGTCGTCAGACAGAGAAGAACCATATTTCGTTGGAGAAAATTTAATCTTTTCATATTAGTTAAATCATAACTTTAATTGTATATATTCTACAGTAATTAAGTTCAGATTTTGGTAAATTATCGATAAATAATATAAGTTTTATGGCAGGAAAAAAGAAAATTAGGATATTTCTATAAAATTTTTTTGACACGGGAATCTAACCTAAAAAGTTTAGCATCGACATGTTAAACAAAAAAAAGAGGTAATATATGAGTAAAATCGTAATAATATAAAATTTTTATTTTATTAATAATAAATATAAAAGTTGCAAAAAAGAACAAATAAATAAAAAATAATTAAACTTTTATCAAAAGCATTTTCATGTTGGTAGAAGTGAAAAAGTTTAGTTTTTGTTATCTTGGGTTGGCATTACAGCTCATTGCAAATGGGATCGTCAGAGTGTAGGAGATTCTTTTTGTGTTCGACGAAAATGAATCTAACAGTATTTTTTTAATCGTAACGCTAATTATATATTTTTTTGATAATTATATACTGTTTTATACAAATAATAGGAAAATCATAAAAGTTTTGTGGCAGTTGCGAAGAAAAATAATAAATTTAGGTAAAACTTTTTTGACAAATATTATAACCCAAAAATTTTGGCATTGAAACTTGTTGTGACTTGTTACATGTATTGTGACTTCACATTGCAGCCATGGTATTTTAGGGCGACTTGGAATTTTTAAAAATATTAAATACTATTATTATAAATATAAATATTAAATAAAAAAATAATTTATTAATAAAATTGAAAACAATAAACAAGGTTTCTGGCAGGTTATTACAATTCAAAAAAGTAGTTAAAAAATTTCTCATTACGTTGGTAGAAATGCAAAATTGGTTGGTATTTTTTTTCGCTGAAGTTGGTATCAGTGTTCACTACAGTAGACATTCTGAAAAGAGCGGTTGAAAGTACATAACAGAAAATTTCGTGAATAACAAAAAACATCTTTCAACATTAATACAAATTAAACATATATTTCAATAATTATGTTCAGCGTGATATAAATTTTCTAGATTTCAACTAATATTTCTTGGTAAATATAAGAATTTTTAATACTTTGTCAAATTTGATGACGCTTTGGTATTTAACCTAAAAATTACTACACAACCAATTTCGTAAATCTATCCTACATCTGTTCTGATATTTGTCCGCCGTATTTTAGAGATAAAATTTAAAAGCAACCTTTATTTATTAAAATTCGTATTATATGTTTATTTAATTTTTATTTATTTATTTACAGTGCTAAAAGATAGTCATCTCAGAAAAAAAGGCAAAAAATTCTAATTCTTTCGGCATCAATTCTTCTCAACTCAGGTAAATATATTGTTTATAAAAATATTTTACAGAATTTTAAATTTTAAACATTTTTTTTCTAAAAATTCTATTTTGTATTTTAATATCAATTTTTTTAACATTGTTATCAATTTTATACTGTAAAAAAATATTTTGCCTGATTTACAGTTTCGAATTGTTAATTTACAGAAATTTATTAATTTATTAGTATAAGTTTTTTCTGCTTTTGATAAAGAAAATGATTATTTTACTTATTAATTATTTATCATTTACAAATTTTACAATTTGAACAATTTTGGATGATAATACATTGAATTTATTCTTAATTAATAACAGAAATATTGTTAATTAATTAAAATTTACAAAAAACTGACATTAAGAAAATATTAAATTTTTATAAAATCAAGTTAAAATATAATTAAATTAATTTTATCTTGAAAATCTTATTTTCAGTTTATTTGTAAAATAATTTTTTTTTCTGAATTTACAGGTGTCCAATCATGAAGGATGGGTGTTTGTTGCGGAGCTGCTCCTGGAGGAGATCTTGCATTGCTGAGTCGCAGTTCAATGTAAGTTGATAAATTTTTTCCCTTAATTTTTGTATATTTTAAGATATACTTTGTTTAAATATTTAGAAATAATAATAATTAGTATTAAAAATATACTTAAAAATTTATAAACAAGTTCCAGTATACCAGTCAAAAATATTTTGTAATATTTTAAAATATTTTGCAAAAATATCAATAGTTAATATATACAATAAAAATTTATTTCAATATTTGTAAATGATGATTAGTACAATATCAAAATATTAACATTTATAGATATTAAAATATTTAAAATTATATTAATAATTATTAGAATAATAAAATAATTGTTAATATTCAGGATTTTTAATATTTGATTTTACACATGTAATATCTATAATGAATTTTTTTTTTAGGCAGTTGGTCCAGTAGCGGAAAGATTTGTCCATTGAAAGAGAGGATATGCTGACATCGTATTTTTTACACAACGCAGAAATTTTCCCTTATAGGTGAGTTTTTTTTACAATATTTTTCTGGAATATCAATAAATAGAATAAAAAAAAAGTTAAAAAATTATTGCAATATTTAGAAATATTAATGTATTAAAAAATAATTGATAATATTAAGGATTTTCAATATTTTATTTTACAACTATAACATTATGAATTATTATATTTTTTTCAGGTTCAAAAGAAGGAAATCCTTTTATAAAAAGGATATGCTGTCATCGTTTCTCTAACACTATGCAGAAATTCCCTCATATAGGTGAGTTTTTTTTTAATTAATAAATTAATTTAACATTAATTTGGAACTAATTGATTAAAAAATAATAACTCATCATTTCATAGTGTTTTGAGAAAATAATTGTATAATATAATTTGTTAATAAATTTTTTTTTTTTTTCAGCTCCATTCCAAATTTCCAAATATCTGAAGAGACTGGGAAGGATGTGGAAGAAGAAAAGTGGCCCCTGCAACATATTTTTTTTATAAAATATTTTTTTATTTTTTCTTATTTTTTTATAATATTTTTTTTTGAGCTCCCGGCCTCACGCAGAAGTGCGTCCAAGAAAGAGGGATCCTCGGGAGCTGGCCCTGAAGCGCTCGAGAGTGGCAATGACGTTATTGTCCCGACGAGGGATGTTTCGCCGATTGGTGAGTCGATTTTTAATTAACCCCTTCCCTGTTTAAAATAGTTATTTTTTAAATAAATTTAATTAAAATAAATTCATAAATTGAAAATGAATTTTTTTAGATATTAATTTATAAATTAAATTGAAAATGATTTTTTTGAGATATTAATTTATAAATTTTTTAATTGTCTTGCCTTTTTTAAAAAATGTAGATATATCAAATTGATCCAAATAAAATATTTAAATTTAAAAATAAACAGGGAAGGAATTCTGACAACATGGTGACACCATTGACAAAATTTATTATTTTGTAGTATTGTTTAGGGGTAATCTAAAAAAAGCGTGTGATATTTTCGGAAATTTAGCCCCTCAAAATTTCTAACACTCCCCACATCCTAAAGTATTACATGTTTTATGGATTACTACCTTAATACTATCTAAATTAATATTATTGTCAATGTTTCTTTTCATTGTTTCTATATATGTTATTTATTTACTGTATGTTTAATATTTTTAATGCTTTGTAATTTTGCTTATTGAGTCAAAGTAATTTTCTATGAAAAAAGTAATTTAAACTAAATTTACAAAATTTTATTAACTTTAAATAATTTAATTAATTAATCTTGTTAAACAATTTTTTCATTTTGCAAATTAAATTTTTTATTTAATTCTTAAAAGTTAATGCATGTGGAATTAAAAATTAAAAGTTTTTGATAATTTTTTAATAATTAACTAATTAAATGTTTTCTTTTCAGAAAAGATCGCTCAGGTGACGGTAACGTCCCGGGACGTTAACCCTAGTGTAGGTAATTGCACCTGGGCGGTATTAGATTCGTTTAGAATATAATTATAGGTAGGAAATTCGGGAAAAAATAGGCATTTTTGTTCGTTTTAAATATAGCAATAGGTAGGGAAATCGGGTAAAAAAATGTAAGTAAAAAATAAGTAACTGGAGTACCAGTGAAAATTTAATTTATTTCTATCTTTTATTTCTTTTGTCACTATGTTGTCTTTTCTATTTTAATGTTTTGTATATGTTTTATAAGTGTTTTGTGTTTGTTTTTTAAGTGTTTTGTGAATGTTTTGTTTAATTAGTCATTATTTTCAGTTGATTCATCGTGGTGAGCAAATATATTTTTTTACAAATGTATTAATCAATTTTTTCAGGATTTTTTAATTTATTATATTATTAATATATTAATATATATTATATATTTATATTTACTATATTTATCATTAATGGTTTATTATTGTTACAAGACATGAAATTATATGCTATCTCTACTCAAATTAATTAACATTTTTATTAATTTGATTTATTTTTTTTGTGACACTTTTAGTACAAATTGTTATTCAAATTAGACAAAATGTTAACTATTTGAGAATTTATAGGACACTTAGAATTTTAAATTGAATTTTAATTGCAAATTTTTTGGGTCTTTTTTTGTAAATTTTTTTATTCAGCATTGCGATCATTTTAATCGCAGCTGTCTTATTTTTTGTATAGTGAGTGTTATTAATATTTCGAGTAAGTACAATTATCGGGTTATTGAATTTATTTCCATATTCTGAGACATTATTATAAATATAATATATACGTTTTTAGAATACGGAGAGGAAATTTTTTTGGAAAATTCTGATGAATGTTTGGAAAAATCTTTCTAAATATAAAAAAGGTGTGTTTTCTATTAAAAAATTTCAAAATATAATTTAATTTTTACGATTATTATAAGCAGGCCATGTCTAAGATACATTATTTTAAAATTTAATATATTAAATCTATTTTCGCATTTCTTTTTTGATTATTTTCTCAAAAGAAGATTTTGCTAAATAAGAATTAAAAATCTTATAAATTACTTTTCGTTTAAACATTATTTCTAAAAAACAATAGTTTGTTTATCTTACACATGGCTTTCTTTGTTTATAATTTTTATGCTCTGAACTCCAAAATTTTAACAAAATATTGTTGAAAATTTTTTTATAAATTATTATTATTGGGTAATAACGGTTTAGAAAAGAAGGTTACAAATTATCATAATTAGTCATTTTTTATGACTTCCATTAAAAATATACAAAAATTAATCATAATTATTAATGCAATTTTTTTTTTTTACTTTAAAACAATCTTTATTGTTATATTTTTATAACAATTTATATTTTATAATTATATTCATCCATATAATTAAATTATATATAATATAATTTTATTACTATAATATTATTATGTAATTATTTTATTATAATTATTTTCATTATAATATTAATTATTTACAAATAATATTACTGTGATATTTATTTTTTGGTTAAAAATATCTTTGAATTTTATTTTTCATAATTTTCATGACTTTTGATAAAATTTCTTCTCATATTTATAAATTATTTAAAAGATATAATTAATTTATTTATATGATTGGAATTGTTTTATATTGAATTTATTTTCTCGTTATTGTTCTTCATTTTAATCATTATCATTATTTTTCTCATTATTCAGGTGGTTTTAAGATAATTTTTTGGTTTCAACTTGTTTTTTTTTTTTGGAAACAATTTTGATTTAGAATAGGAAATTTTTGAGAGTTGTAAATTTTTGCTTCTTATACTGTGCTATTTGAAGGTCGAGGTAAAATCGGTTCGAAAGTTTCAAATGGCCAAAGATCGTGGGTGGTCCCTTAGCGGACGTGGTTGTGTGTGGTCCTCGCTGGGGTCGGGTATGGTTATGCGGGATGATGGCTGCTTTCGTGTCTTGGAGGATGAACGACGCTTTGTGTGCCAACTATAACCTGCGACGCTTGTATAGTCAAGTCGCAAAGTGAAAATTGTGTGTGATTTTTCAAAAAAAAAAAAAAAAAATAGTGGCAAAGTTTCATCGATTATTTTATCGATGGATTTCTTTTTTGATCAACAATGCAACTACGCATGCACTTGTTTGAAAGCCGTTGTTTTTTAAGTGACCACGTGTTGTTTTATTTTCAAATTCCAATGGATATGGAGATAAAAACACATTTGCGATGAGACTGATTAAGTGTTTAAATTAATAATATTTTGGCTTAAATAACATAAGATTTATCGTAAGTTTAACAATATTTTATATTTAAAATATTTTGGAGCACTTTATTTTTATTCTTCTTTTCTTGAAAACTATTTTTATCAAATGGAGTTGTATATCTATATATAAATTTTTTATTCAAATTAATGATTTTATGAAGTTTTTAAGAAACTTGTAGTCGATTTTGTTAAAAGTATTTATGATTTTTTAAAAATAATAATAGAAAAAGAGAATGGAAATATTTGATTTTTTTTTTTTTTTGGAAAATGATTTATATTTTTTTTTTCTTTTTGCAGACGATGTACTTACTATACTTATTTTTAATTTTACTCGGATTTAATGGGAATTTTGCACAAAGATATGAAATGTCCGAAAGTGAATCGTGGAAGGAATTGGAAAAGATGAGTCGCGACAGAGATGAGAGATACAGACATTCATTAATGAAATCTGATTACACACATTCTGGAGAATATTCGAATTGCACGAGAAAATCGAAATGCATCTATACACCGGGAAATTATCTCACTTGTATGGGATCAATGCTTCCTTATGCAAAAACATCCTTCGATCTTATTCCTCAATATTCGTTTGAAATGATTAAGGTGTGTAATAAGAATCAGGGAAACCTTTTATAAATCCTAGAGTCAAGTTTCAAAGAAAGTTTTTAATTCGATTGTAGCTTATTGATTTTTTTTTTTTTTAAATAATTTTATTATTGTCATTTTTGGTTTTTTATATTCTTTTTCTTTTCTACATTTTTGAAAACAAAAGAAATTATTGAAAAATTAAAAAAAAAATAACGGAAAGGTCTTTATAAAATTTCTTCAAGTCTTTTTTAATTTCAAATTAATTATTTTTTTATTTTTAGGACAAATTATTAGAACTCCAGGCATTGAGACACATTCCAAAATGTTGGGCTTTTGCTCAATTGTTGATTTGTTCACTTTTTATGCCAAATTGTTATGATGACAATGTTTATTTACCAACACAAGAAGCTTGTCGAATGGCAATGGGTCCATGTCGTGCAATTTTGAATCATACAATTTGGCCAAATTTCATAAGATGCGATGATACAGTTCTTTTTCCAACGGGTTGCAGTAATTTTCATGAACCAAGAGATATAAAATTTAATAATACTGGAAAATGTTTGGAACCACTAATACCAACTGATAATAAACTTGCATTATTCGACGATATCGATGGTTGTGGTATGCCATGTAATAATCCTCTATATTCAAACGATGAACATAAACAAATTCATTCTTTTATTGCATGGGGAGCTGGAATTTGTTTGGCATTCAACTTTTTTGCAGTGGTAAAATTCTTATTTTTTTGTCAATTATTAATTAAATTAATTTATTAAATTATTTTTATTAATTAAAATCAATTATTACAGATGACGTTCATGGTTGATTGGAGAAGTTGTAATAAATATCCGGCGCTTGTGATATTTTATATAAATTGTTGTTTTATGATGTCGTGTATTGGATGGTTGATTCAATTTTCACCTGGAAATCGTGATGTTATTGTTTGTAGAAAAGATGGAACTTTAAGGATGGGTGAACCAAGGTACTATTTTAAATTATTATTATTATTATTATTATTATTCAAAGGAAAACAAAAATAGAAGTAGTGAATTTTTTTAATTCGCAGCACATTGGTCAGTTTTGCATTTTTATTGGGTACTTTAGATAATGTGTAATTGTCTTCCAAGGATAAAAGACTAGACATTGTTTATTTATTCATTACATGTTCATCATCGCGAGAATTTTTCACCTTTCAATTTTTAATAACTAATTATTTATTCTTTCGGGTCTTTCATGATTCTAAAAATATTTTAATAATTTTTTGTGATTTTAGATTCATTTGTGTATTTCAATTAATTTTAAACTAATTTTAATTTATTTGAAATGAAATTTTTGGAATTTTAGAATATTATTATTTTGAAACGGGAGTTTTTTTTGCATTATTTAATGTTTTTTTTTTATTTGTTTTTCAGTGGAGGAAATCTATCATGCGTGGTTGTTTTCGTGATGATTTATTATTCATTAGTGGCGTCAATGGTTTGGTTTGTTATTTTAACATACGCTTGGCATATGAGCTTTCAAGCATTAGGAAAAATACAGGATAAAATTGATAAACAAGGAGCATATTTTCATCTTATGGCATGGTGTATACCACTTATGTTAACTGTCACTATAATGGCAATAGGTGAAATTGATGGCAATAGTGTGACAGGAATTTGCTTTGTTGGATATTTTAATCATATAGTGAGGTATTGTTTTTTATTGGGACCATTAATGTGTGTCCTATTAGTTGGTGGATATTTTTTAACGCGAGGTGCGTATTTATTTTTTTCAAATTTGTGTTTAAAAAAATGGAAAATTTATGAAAATAAAATTATTATTTATATTTGTTAATTTTCTTTTTTTCAGGATTAATAACGTTAATTCAGTTGAAAATTGGAAGTCAGGATATTATATCAGAACATGCAAGTTCAAAAATTCGGGAAACTATCGTGAGAATGGGATTATTTTCAGTATTTACATTTACTGCGATATTCGTTACAATTTATTGTCATATTTATGAATTTAATCATTCTGATGAATGGAAACAGAGTTTCAAAAAATTTATGATGTAAGAAACAATATTTTTAATGTTAAATTTATAATCGTTTTGTGTTTTTATTGATGTACGTAAAACATTTTTTTTTTTTAGGTGTTCGATAACAACCAAATATTCAAATGTCTCAGACTGCAAAATGGATTCACGTCCAAGTCTCGCGAAATTGCAACTTCATTTATTGAGTCACTTTTTCGCTGGTATTTTAATGTCGTCCTGGGTTTGGACTGGATCAACAGTTGATATTTGGATTCGTTTTTTTCGGAGGTATATAAATTAATTATTATTTTTTATTTAATGAATTTTTAATTAATTAAAATAATTAAATGTTTAGTTAAAAATATTAATTAAATGTTTAATTGAAATTAATTTTTAAAAAATTTAATTAAATATTTAGTTTAATAGTAATAAATATTGGAAAATGGGAACTTGTTTTAATTTTTTTTGTACTATTCAGTCCGACTGTTTTACAGGGTATTCAATCGCGAGTTAGAAGAGCCGATAAAACTAAAGAAACACAAAGTCATTGCACAGGCGTTTGCTAAACGTAAAACATTCAATAATGATGGACGTTTATCAATTAGTTTTTGTAATTCACATGAGGATCCAGTTGGATTAAATTTTGATTTAACATCAGTTGCATCACAACCATTGAGTTCAACATGGGCAGCTGCATTACCAAAATTAGTAACACGTCGTGGTGCTGTTGAAAAATTATTCTCATCTGGTTCTGTATCGAGTAATCGAAGAAATTCAGTTGATTCGGAAATAATAAATTATCGTTGGTCTGTTGAATCGCGACGTAATTCACTTGATTCACAAGTCTCAGTGAAATTAGAGGCAACAAAAACAACAAGAAAAGTTGGTGGTTCACGTAATCGACGTGAGAAAAGAAGACGTGATTTTGGTAAATCACGAACACAAAAAGTTGGTCCATTATTTCGTCGTGGTAGTACAACATCACAAGAAAGTCAATTGGGTGCACAAATTTTAAGTACATTGTCAAATGGCTGTGTACCTGCAATTCAAATGCCAAATATGAATAGACGTCCAGCATTTATTGGACATGATATACCACGTTTAATGGATCCAAAACATGCTGGGAAATTGTTTCCATTTTTATTGCCGAGCAATAGTGGAAGTGAAGAGAATTTAAGTAGTGAGGAAAAAAATTGGAGTTCACAAACAACAAAGGAAATGAAAAGTTTAGAAGTGGATAATGTGCCAAAAGAAGAGGAACAAGAGGAAGAGGAAGAAGAAGAGGAGGTAGAGGAAAGTGAAACTGATGAAGAGACGAAAATGTTGGATAATCCTGAAGAACCACCAATTGAACGAAGTAAAAGTAAAACTAGCGATAGAAGTTATAATCATGAGAGTGGACGACGTAGTATTGAAAGTCGAAGAAGTAAATTTAATAATATTCAAGATGAGACAACATTGAAACTTTATCTTCAAGATTCTAGTGATATTAAAAGTAAAACAGAGACTGAGGTTAAGGATAATAATAAAAAAGGAGGAGGAGGCGCTATTGGTGATTTAGCATCAAATTTAGTTCCATTTTGTCAGGAAATGGGACGTAATCAAAATGAAGCATTGATGAATGCAAGAGAAATTGCAACTCAAACTTCCGTTCCTCTTGATATTCTCGAAATGGAAGAATTAAAACAAAGTATCGATGAGATTATTAATAATCGAAAAAAGACTTGAGAAATAATTTTTAATTTTTCCTCTGAAAAATATACTTTTCGGTAGAAAAGAAAATTGTTATTTTTTTTATAGGAAGTTTTTAATACTCAAAACTCGATTACGTAAATTTACGTAGTTCTCTAGTGTGTCAGGTTAAAAATTTGAAAGACTTGACAATTTTTATCCTTTTCTTTTTTAATAGAAAATTTCTGATTTTTATACAAAAGACCTCTATAGATTTTTATAGGGAGAGACTTTTTTTACAATTTTTTATGTGTAAGATTATGTATATAAAAAAACATGAGATCGAATATTGAATAAAATGTGTGTATTTATAAAAAGAGATTTTTTGAGATCATTTTACATATGTGTAGACAATAAGCTCTTTCTAAATTGATACAATTTAGTTTTAAGAATTATTTTTACTTAATATGATTGGGAATATTTTTTTTATTTTATGTAACAATTAATTTTCTTAATTTATTATTTTTTCAGAGCTTGATTAAAAATTTGCTTTTTCTTGAAAAGCCATAACTTGATTAAAAATATTTCATTGAAATATTGAAAAATTAAGTAACTCAATAATTTCAATTGAACTGCCATTTAAAACTATTTAATACTACTATATTGATGTTTAAAAAAAAAAATTTTCCTGAGCACTTTTTAAAAAATTTGAAATATTTTTTTAAAAATTGAATTATTATTATTAAAATTATTCTTTCAATTATTCAATGATATTTTATTTTATTCACGCAGTAACTTGAATTTGTGTTTTGTATGCAAAATAACTGCGGAGCAAGATTATTATCTTCATTTTGATTTTTTCTTCTTACTGACTTTAGTCAAAGTCTTTCGAGTATTTCCTGTAATAAAAAAAAAAATTCTATAGTTAATAGAAAAAAACACATAGTCAAATGTGAAATTTTATTATAATTTTCAAAATCAAATCTGAAATTCATAATCTATTTGAAATAGAATTTTTATTAAAAAAAATTTTAATTCCTTAATTTGTAATTTTTTTATTTTAAATTTAAATCGAATTTTTGAATTGAAATTTGATTTAGAATTAAATTAAAATTTTTGATGAATTAGAAATTGAAATGTACATAAAATTGAAATGCAATTTTGAAAATTAAAAATTAAAAAATAAAATTAAACATTTTTAATTTATAATTTTGAAAAGAGCCAACACCAAAGACAATATCTAATACACAGGCAAATATATAACAATACAGTAAAAAAAACCATCAACCAACATAGGTTTTTATTTCTAAAAAATAGAATATACATTATAAAAGTTTACTTTCTGAAATATCCCTTTATTTTATTTTTTCTATATATAAATAAAAATTGAGAGCAGGCATGTCAAATTCCTTAATAGTTATTTAACTATTGACAATAAATTACAAAACAGAATATAAACGCAAATTAACAAAGTTTATTATCTAGATGTAAATTATATATATACACATTCACAATGGACATTTATTTTCAACAATTTGTACAAAGATAGACAAGCTTAATATCTAGCACAGCATTCAGAAATTAGAAAAAAGGCAGTAAAATAAATGACTTTAATCAGGCATTCTTGAAAAAAAGAATAATAATTTATGTACAGATAAAATATATAATAGAGACGTTTAGGCAGTGAAGGGATTTTTTTTTTAATTCAAGAGATGAAAAATATAATCTACGATTATATTTCTATTGAGATTCCTTTAGTGTATATTATAGTTATTATTATATATATATTTTTTTCAATTATTTTGGTCGATTCGAATTGATCTGGTTTTCTTCTTAATCGTACTTCTTTGGATTTATTTTATAGTGGACGACGAAGAAATTTATTTATTTATTTAGTTTTTGAGATGTAGTCCTCCTGATGATTTTTCTTGCTTCTACATTTTTGAAACTGGTATCTCTGTCTGAGTGTATTTTTTACCTACACCCCAGTACAAATACCGATGCTTTAGTTTTTTTTTTTGAAAAATTAAAATAGAAAAAAGTTCCCAATATCGGCTACTGTCTATTTATATACCAAAACATGCATTTTCAAAATTTTCTTGTTGAAATTCTTTTTTTTTTATTTCTATATGATTTTAATAAAAAAAATTGTAATAATTTGAAAAATTAAAGAAAATGCCTCTAAAACTATTTTGTAGGATTCAGAAGATGATTCGAAAAAAATTTGTGAATGTTTTCTTTGAACAATATCTGATTTACAGGCAGTTTTCTTTAATTTTGAAAATTATTTTCATAAGATTAAATGTTAAATTAATTAAAATTATTTTCTATATTGAATTTGAGATATTTTACACATTTTATTTGTGTGTATATATTTACAAAAAAGATTGTTTTTTTTACAAGAAAATTAGAACTATATAGGTATATAGTGTCATGCATTCATCAAACTATAGGCAGAAAGCGTAGATTTGTAAAATGTAAAATCTAATTTTAAGTTGCATTTTTTTGAGAATTTTTAATTTTTTTTACTTTATCAGAAAACGTCTTATACACTGAAAACAATTTATTTGATTTGTAAAATAAATATTTACTTGAACCAAATAATTTTTATTTGAGCCAAATAAACTGTATTTGAACCAATAATTTCTGTATTTGAAACAAATACCATTTAATTGACTCGAAAATTATTTGGTTTAAGTAAATATTTATTTGTTAATAAAGTAACCGATTATTCGAATCAAATATAATTTTGTTTTTCAGTGTACTTTGAGATTTATTTAATTTGCATGTTTTAAAATAGGATTTTTATTTTACTGTTTGTAAAAAAAATCGAAGATTAGATATATTTGTGTGTTGAGGGGGTAAAAAAAAGCTGTATAGTATTTTTTAAGCTTCTGTACAGGAAAATAGACAAATAGTATTCACCACCACCGTAGAGAGTAGAACGCGTGTAGACATCACCAGGAGGTGATAATTGGCGAGGCTACTTGGCTTTCATATGAGATTTTTGATGTTTGAATTGATCGTTACCCCAGACCAGATGATTCAATGTTTCTCCAGTGAAGTAGAGTATTACTGTAAATAACAGTAATACTACAATAAAGGCTATCCTCAACGGTAGAATCAAAACTTCCATCACAGGGTAGACCCAAATTCCACTCTTCATGTAAATCACATGCATCCTGTAAATTTTGCAGTTATTAAGAAAAATTTCCTTTAGATTTCTTGAATTAAAATAATTATTTTAATTCTGATTAAATTTTCTTTTTTAATCTCTTTCATTATAATATTTTTTTGTTCCAAATATCGTCCACTTATTAGATAGAATGAATTATTATTTGTAGATATAATATATAGAATCAGTTGTTTATGTACAAAAGGTATTTTAATTTATGATTTTTGGAAATTCCTCATTTATTCGAAAATAGAGATGACGCTATCAATTTTTATTTGACGAAACTTACCAAACTAAATAGGTGAGCATAAATAAAAGAAGTCCTCCGAGGCCTTGTATTCGTTTAGGATATTGTCGAGGTGCTATAAAAATTTCTATAACTGTCGTCACTACAATTAGCGTGTGCATTAAATGATTCAGCCATGATGGAAAATAGGGATCCAATGCCCTTGGCAAAACTAATTCACGATCAACAAACATTAGAGACCAAAATGTAACACCTACAAACTGAATTTTAATTAAATTAGGATCACATTTTTAATAAAAAATATTACATATTTAAACATTTATCAAAAAAATTAATTCTTCATTTGAGAAGATTAATTTATTTTCCTTTTATGGAAGAATGGGATAGATACTCAAATCAAATTCTGTTTATAATTTTTCTTACAATTAGTGAAAGTTTCAACAATTTTATTTTTATCTTTTTTAACAATTAAAATTTCCAATTGGATAAAGGTTAAAAAATTTCTGAGATTAAAAAACAATTCCAGTGTAACAACTTAAAAATTGTATCGTCTCTTAATTTCAATAATTTTTTATATTGAAAACAATTTTTAATAGTTAAAAAATAGCTCAAAAATAAAATTATTTATACATTCACTAAAAGACTTTTTTATTATTGCCTTCTGACTCAATAAAATATAAAGTTTTGACTTTTTGATTTGACTGTCTATCCAATTCATCGTAACAAATTATACTTTTCTCCAATATGTGAAACACTTTAAAAAAATAATGTTAGCTATAAAGTTAAAAATATATTATTTATCTTGAAAATACATACCATACCAACGGGAAAACTTAATGCAGCATGAAAAAAGTCTTTCAATCGTCGAATAAATGGAGTTTTTTTTGGACTGCTTTTATTTGTTCCATACACATCATTTAACATACAGATGAAAAAGAATATTGATTGCAGAATCTGTATGAAAAAAACAAAAATTAACACAAAATTAGAATAAATAATTAATATTGTTTGATAAAAAAAAATTAAATTATTAGTGTAAATAATTATATAATTTAATTACTTAACAATTTTTTAATAAATATATAAAAATAATTTTTTAATTGAAGCGACATATATATGCATGAGTTAATAAAATCTAATATTCTTGCATTTGCATTTTGCGAGCAAAAGATAAGAATTCAGGTTTTGTTTAATAACTGTCTTGTGTGTTTGTAATAAAATATGATGAAACCGCAAATTAAGAGGTACACATTGCCGTTTTATTATAAACTTTCAGAGTATTGTATTAAGATGCTGTGTTATTATATATATAGACTTTTTGCCTTTGTTTTCTAAGTAAATTAAATAGTTTCATTAAATTACACGCTGTTGACTCTTATTTCAGATGGTTTCATTAGTTTATGAAACTATAATTTATTTTCAGTTAACCAATATAAATATCAACTATTGCTTAATATAAAATATTATCCTTCTCGAAATTAGATATTAACCAATTATAATTATTTATATATATCATATTTAATGATTTGTTAATAATATAAGAATGTTTTGTTTTAAATAAATAAATTATTATATACTTTTTCATGAAAATTAACTTTAAGATATATGGAATTAATTAATTATTATTATAATTAATTTATCCATCATTGTCACAGTAATATCTTATATATAAGCTTTTACTATAGTCAGATTTCAAAGGTCTCCCATAGCACACAGTTTTCACTGTTACATAAATAGACAGTATCACATGTATGCAATGAGAAAAAGTATAAATTACCACTTTAGAATCAGTAATATTGCAAAGAAAACCGGATTGTCAACATTTATTTTTTTTAATATAAATTTCTTTTTTATTGAATATATCATCTGCTTTCTTTAAATATTAATTTTTAAACAAATTTCAATCTTTAAATTAGGAAACTTTATGTTAATAAAAAATATGAAACGATATTGTTACACAGACAAAATAACTGATTCATATATATGTTGCTTCAAATAATTATGTTTAATTTGATATTTAATAAAACATATATTTTATTAAATTATTTAATTATTTTTATACATCATAAAGAAAAGATTTTTATGTAAAGAGGTAAAATAAGGAAAGAGATTAATTTAATTTTTTATATTTTAAATATTGTTTAATTGTAACTGTAGATATCAGTTATTGTTAAAAATTACTTCTCTTGTTTTATTTTAAATAATATTTAATAAAAAAAAATAATAATAATTGAATTTTAATAAGGAAATAGTATATTTAAATGGTAAAAATTTTCTTGTAACTTTCTTGTTCATTTTTTACTATCGAACATTTTTAATTATTTCTTTAAATTAATAATTTACATTTAATTTAAAATAAATACTCTTTTAAGTATTTATATTGATAATAGAATCTCCCGTAGATAATTTTCAGAATAATAATAAAACCAAACCAAAAAATGTTAACGAATTGTTTACTAATGTAAATAAGAATTATATTATGAATTAAAATTTGAGATACGATTTTATTATTCCGAAAATTAGCTACTTTTATATGATAGAATGGTTAACAAAAAACAAGTTTTCCTTATCAAAAGAAATTGTTGAAATTTTAACAGTTTTTTTTTGTTTAAAAAAAATGTTAATATTTTAATAAAATTAATTTTTTAAAGTCAAATTAATTTATTTTTTTTTAATAATAGAAATTTTCAAGTAATGAATTAATATGAATTTTTTTATTATATTATAAAGTTGAAAGACAAGTAAATGAGTATTTTTTTTTTAATTTAATACTAACCGCATCCCAAAATGTGAGGAATTTAAATTTTCCACCATAAGCACCATGTGTTCTACCAGCCTCTTTTGGTATAATGACATGAGCATAATCATAATAAACTCCAAATGCAAAAAGTACACATGCAGTTGCATGGAAAATAATGTAGAAGGTTTCTTTCATTTTTGACACTGTGTTTTGAAATTATTAATTTTTAAATCTCACTTTTGAGATGTATATATATATTTATAAGTACTATAAAAAATTGTCTTTTTTATACTACATATTATATATATATACATGAAAAAAATTTACTTTAAAAATTAAAAAAAAAAAATTTTTTTTAAATAAAAATATAATATGAATTTACAAAAAAAAAGACGCGAATTGCAGACCGTAAAAACTACTCCTTTTATTTTAATTTTTTTTTTACATTGCTGGCGTCAAAATTTAGTCATCATATTTTTATGTATCATCATTCAACCTTGAAAATGTTTTTTTTTATTTTTGAATATTAATTTGGAAAATAACTTTTGTGGTATTCATGTGAATATATTATTTGTGGAATATTATTATATTTATACTATTTTATATTATCATCTCTTATATTGAATTATAATTATATTATGTTATATTATATATAACAATAAAATTATTAATTGAACATTAATAAATCTGGATAAAGATCGTTTGAAAATTTCGCTAATTTCTATTAAAATGGTATTTGCAAAAAATATTTGAAATAACATTTGAAGTGAGAATAAATCTACCGTAAATGGGATTTTAATTACTTTTTGAAATCCATTTTACTCAGTTAATATTATTCATAGTTTAATTATGTGCAATTAACACTTTTCAATAATAACTGTGTTTAAAAAGTATTTTCAAAATTTTGTCTAAAATTTACTATAATAGGAGTATCATGCAGATTATTATATAATAGATATCTTTCAGTTTCTTGACCTTTCGTAAATATGCGAGAAGATTCTTTGCAATACTGATGTCAGTGTTAGTTTTTTTTTGTACTTTTTTTTCTCTCTCTTTCTCAATTATTTTTTGCTTCTATTTTTTTTGTGACTAAAATGCAATCCATTTGAAACGTCTTCCTTCGTCTTATGAGAACAATTTTTCTTTCGTAAGATTGTAATAAACTTATCATAAAACAATCACGAAAGTTATTGGCTAATGTTTACCGCGCACACGTTTTTAGATTGTATATTACTACACGGTTTACATTGTAAACATAATGAAATTTCACAGCAATTTTAAAGGAATTTTTATTTGAGAAAATATTTAACTATAATTGTATAAATATATATATATATAAATATAAGTTACTAATTGAGCATAGTACAATTTGAACAGAAAAAAAAATCAGACTAATTTTAATTGTTTATTATGTGTCAATAATTGATTAGAATCTTTCTTTTCTTTTTTTCCTTGTACATAATGAAAAGAAAATTATTAAATATAAATTAATTTTACAATATTTTCAAAATGTGATAAATACAAAATATTTCTTTAAGAAATTCTTTATAAAAAGGAAAGAAGAATAATTATATTTGTAATTTAAAAAAAAATTATTGTAAGAAAAAAAATTTAAGTTTGTTTTTTTAATTTTTGGAATTATTTTTTTATTTTTTTCTGTCTTATGGACGTTCCTCCCTATTGCAAACTGGTTTTTGATCCCCTTAAATTTTCTTTTTCTTATTTCTTGTTCTGTTCATTCTTCACTATAACTGAATCTCAGTGTAGTCTTTTAACGAGTATCTAATTTTTTGCAATCTTTGGTTAAAATGAATATTAGTTATTAGAAAAAAATGTTTATTATTAAACAAAGAATTATTTATTTGACGAAGGTTTTTTTTCTATAGTATTCTCTGGATTATTATTATTTTACATTATATAATTATTACAATTTTTTCCAATGAAAATTCCTTTGAAATTAAATCATTTTTTTCTCGTATTTCTAATTTTTTTGTTTTTTAGTTAAACAAATTGTTAAATATTTACATTCACGTATTTTCGATATAGGAGCCATCTGATTCTTAGGTTATAAACAGATAATAATGTGCCCTACCTACCAAATCAATACTCGTGTAATTTAAAAAAAAAATTTCTAGAACTCGATATTCTAAATTTTCAATTTTGCATCTGTTATCTTTATTATTCAAGATTTTTAAATGTAATTTTTTTTTATCCAGTGTACTAGTACCATACGAGTATATATTGATAATAAAAAAATTCACTATACTGAAAATATTGCACATAATTTTTTTTTTTTGCAACGATCTTTATCTTGAAATTTTATTCTAACATTTGCAAACACACATATACACAATTCCACTAAAAAGAGGATATTATCTAATTTTTACAAGAGACATTTTTTTCCTCTCTTTTCTATATTTAGCACCTTTTTTTTAATATCACAAATTTTTTTCGTCTATTTTTAAACAAGAAATTAATTTTTTATCATTTGATGTGTGGCATTTGTCCACGTGTGTAATGTAACGTGTTCAATTACCACACAGGAAATGATGTTTTTTTTATCACGTTTCGCGCTTCATAAGGTATATAAAATTCACACAACCTATCTTGTCGGGGGCCGGTGAGTAACTGACACTGTGTAGTTAGTGACAGGGAAGAGGGGAAAAAAAGAGCTTTTAGGTTGGCGTATATATTTAAAAGAAAGTGTGGGTGTATGAAAATAGAAATGTAAAATGTATATGTATGCATCAGATGTTGAGAGATAACTGATAACAATTTTGACTGCAAGTCATTAATCTAGTATCACTTTTTTTTTAATTTAATCAAATTGTTATTGAACAAAATTTTTTTCACCTTGAATTATTATCATTTAATTGAATTTGATTTTTATCAGTTTTCATTAGTAATCAAATTTTTATGTCAATAAATTTACATTCAAAATTTTCATTCAAATTTTGATTTAGCCGAATTTTTGTTTAAAAGAATTTTTATTTAACCAAATTTGCATTCAATAGAATTTTCATTTTATCAAATTTTAATTTAACCGAATAATTTGTTTCTGAAAAGATTTTCAAGGAATTTTCTTTGAACCAAATTTTTATTTAACCGTATTTGTTTTTGATTCAATTTTTATTTAGCCAAATTTTCTTTTAAGAAAATTTTTTATTTAACCGAATTTGTTTTTTGACCCAATTTTTATTCAGTCGAATTTTCTTTTAAGAAAATTTGTTATTTAACCGAATTTGTTTTTGACCCAATTTTTATTTAGCCGAATTTTTATTTAACCAAATTTTAATTTTATTTTCTGAAACCATTTTTGAAACTTGTATTTCTTCTATTTTCTTCTCGAAAGAATTTATTTAAAAAATTCTAAGTCTATTTTAAAAAAATTTTTTTTAATAAATTTTCATCGCGCAAAAAAGAGCATATAACTCCCAAGGAATTTAGAGAGTAAACAATATTGTTATTTGTGTTTACACTATACACGCATATAAAACTTGCAAAATAAGAAAGTTTATAAATGATAATGAGAAAAATATAATGTTATATTGAAGAAATCGATTTTTTTTTTGTTCGAATTAATTTGATTTGAATGTTGACGGAAATGCGGTGAATATATTTTCTTATAGCTTATAGAACCTGCCTCTCTAGAAACTGAATATTGCAACATCGAAAGATATATATCTAGTACATATGAACAGTGTTCGTATAGATTATATGCGGAAATTCTTATGTTACCCGCGCCGATGTCTTCGCGGTTTCACTTGGCTTATTTCATTGAATTATTCGATCAATTGATTCACATTCCATACGTCAAACAATATATATATATAAACAGTCATTCAACTTGATTAAAAATAATTGATTGGTGTTTGCATTTTATTTTTCATTACAATGCATTCTTTTCGTACATTGTTCGTATATTGTTCTTATTTATTGACGATATTTTGTTAATATATGGGATGGACAGTAAAATCAAAAGTTAGTCCAACTCTTTCTTCTTTGTAACTCAAAATAATTGAAAAGTGTGTTTAGTGAAAGGGTAAACAATTTAATTTTTGATAAATTTCTTAAAAAAATCAAAAATGATTAAATAACACATAAAATTGTGAAGCTTATAAAAGTACGATTATGACTGAAACTATAAAATCATTCGGTTACAACCAGAAAAAAGATTTCTTTGACAAATTTTTCTTTCATACAATGAAAATTTATTTGTTTCAAACAAATTATCTTTGATTCAAAAAAAAATTATCTTCGTTTCAAAGAAATTTTTTATTTAATTCAAATAAACGTTTCTTTCTCCCTATATCAATGTTAGAATTTCTTTGATTTAATGCAAAAATTTCTTTCATTCGAAGAAATTTTCTTTGAAACTAAGAAGCTTTTTTTGATTCAAAGAAATTTTTTTTTTTAATGAAAGAAAACAAGTCAAAGATATTGGTTTCTTTAAATCAAAGAAATCTTTTCTCTAGGTATATATGTTACTGCAATCGTTTCTTAATCTTAGAAATTTTTAATTTTTATTCAAGGGCAATTTATGTTTCAAAATGTCAAAAAAATAAAATTGTTTATACTTTCACTGAAAACTCTTTTTAAAAATTATTACTTTTTGAATTAAAAATAAGAAAATATGAAGTTGGACTAACTTTTGATTTGATTTGTATATCCCATTCTTTCTTGGTTGTGATTCGATAATTCTTTAAATTTTGGGGTGTATTTCTTCTTGTATATAGGTTTTTTTACCCAATTGTTGTTAAAAATTTTCCTGATTGATGAGAATTTATTTTCATTTCCTGCTATTCATTAACATATTGTATAAATACTCATAATGAAGTGAGAAATTTTTTTCATATAATTTTGAAACTGAATTTGATCTGAGTCAAAATTTAAAGATAAAATATGAAAAATTTAAGATTAAATAAAGTTCTCTAATTAATATACAATAATGATTGATTTTGAAACACTTGTGTCTTTAGGAATGAAATTTTGAATATATTTGATATATTAAGCAATAAAAATGAAATACATGATTGGAGAAAGCTATGTATGTGAGAAATATTTTAGAAATTAAAAATGAAAGCAATTTTAGCAAGTTTAATCGATCTAATATAGTTATTTTAGTTTTTATATTTGGAAAAATGTTAAAATTCGTAAATGAATTTTCGAGACAAAACATTCATTTTTATACATTTCTTTATCTTTGCATATATAATTTAAGTATTTCAGAGTAAGGTCAGTTACATTTTTTTAAAAAAATATTTAAAACTCTTTCATAATAATTGCCAGAGTAAAATCGGTTATTTTTAATATAAAAAATTTTTTTTATTTAGTTCACGATAAAATATTTTGCATTAAAATATGTCTGTAAAATGTGTCATAAAATATTGATTAATTGACTGTAAAAGTGGGTCAAATTTTTCTTACTTTTATGGGAAAATGATTTAATTTAATTTTTATTATTTAAAAATTAAAATGGAAATTCAATTCTTTCAAAATGAACTAAATTAGTTATAATGATAAATCCATTTGAATATTTGCTATTAGCATTTTGCCCGAAACTATTTGTTAACAATTTCTAACGTATATATATATATTATATAATGTTTAATGAGTGTGTATAGCGTAATATACTAAACTGTGTCGGTTTATGTGCGTAACCAGTAAGACAACTACTTTATATCAGGGACGTGCATGTGTAGAATATATACTTTCAAAAAAAAAGTAAACTAAACCTTGAATGAAGAAATCGTAATAATGAATATATATTTCTGAAAAGGATGGTAATTTTTTTTAAAAATACATTCTTTTTTTTATTCTTTGTTCTTTTTATTAATACAATAAACCTTGGACAATTTAAGTACCCATATCCTTTCGTATGTGTGGAATTTACATTTTATGCATATATTTTGTTTATTTTAGATTAAAAAAAGAAACAGAAATAGATTAAAATATATATTTTCTGGTTAATGCAGAATTTGAATATTCGATAGAATTATAATTTTTTTCTATTTTTATTTGAGACAAGTAAAATTTTATTTTGTAATTTTGGTTTTAACTAATTTTATTTGAAATATTTATTTATTGTGAGACATATTTTTTCTCTGAATTATGTATATATTTTGTATTAGAATATTGAATTTATGAAAGTAAATTATGTAATCGTGGTTATTACTTTTTCAATTTGAAACAAAAATTATTTAATATATTATTATAACTTTTTTTGGTATTTTTTTTATTGGTTATTATTTTATATAGATCTATGCAATTGTTGTTTAAATTGTATATAATGAGATTTTTTTAAAAATAAATTTTATGTGTTTTCCAAATAGTACATATAAAATTTGGAAGTATCATAAAAATTATTAGTTTTCATAATTTGTGTTATTGTTGTAATCGCATATAGAAAAGAATAGTTTTATTTCTCAATACTTTTTTTTATTCATTTATTTTCAAATTGATAAAGAAAAAGAAAGAAAAATTGATGAGATAGTATTACTAAAATGCTCGAAAGCCATTATGACATAACTTCGAGTTATGTGAGTTATATGACAAAAAAACGAATTACTGTGTTTTGTGTATATCTAGGCTATTGTGTCACGAGACGTTTCATGACCAGAGATTCAATTCTTTTTTTTGTTTTTAAATTGTTGTTAGGGATTATTATTTAATTATTAATTGTTTGATTTTGTTAATTAATTAATAATTTATATATTATTATTATTATTATTAATTTATTAATTAATCATTCATACATAATAAGAAAATAATAATTAATTAATTGTTGTTAAAGTTCAATTTTTATTGTTGTAATTTATTTATATTAATAAATCTATTTTTATTTATGTAAAAAATTATTATTTTTATTAAATTTTTTGTTTTATTAATGTAAAATCAGAATTATGTTTGATAAATAAATAAATAAGTAATTGCAATATTTAAAAATAGAATCACTTTTTCAATTATGACTTTACTGATACATGTTAAAGTAAATATTTAATGAGATATTAAAGAAGTTAAAATTTGCATATGTTTTGTAAATGTATAACACACATATATATTTTTACAAATATTGTGCTAAAACAATTTATTAGTTATTGATGAGAGGAAACTAATTTCTAATGTAAAGAGAATAATAATTTTGAATATACTTACCACATTCCACACAGTGAGGTACTTAAATTGGCCAGGATCGAAATGTTCGGTACTTTTTCTTAAAAATGGTATATCCAGAATAAAGAAAGCATAATATGCCGTGAATACATATATTCCGGACATTGCCATGTGGATTAAACAGTAGGTTGTAGAAGACATTTCTTTGGTTTCTGTAATTGCAAAAGAATCTTCAATAAAAGTGAAATCGAGTTATTATGAAATCTTTTTTTTTTTTTTTTAGAATTTTAATTTCAAGGCTAAATCGTAATATTGACTATATGTATATAGTTTGAGACAAAAGTTAATGTACACACCTTTTTTTTCTTTTCTTTTATAATTTATTATTTAAAATACATTGTTTTCTAATTAATTAATAATTTTTCAAAAAAACAAAATTTCATATATTAATTATTTCTAAATGCACTAAATCAATAGTGAAAAAATTATTTTGATTAAAATGAAACAAATTTTGTTTGTCTTGCAAAAAAATTTTATTATTTTTTATAGAGTAAGCAAATTTTTGTTTGAGACAATAAAATTTGAATTTTTCTAATCAAATATGTTTTGTAAAGTAGAAAAAAGTGTTTTTTGTTTTATAGAATTTTTGCAGTCGAAATAACATAATTATATATAATTAAAACAAGTGTAACATATATATATATATATATATATATATATATATAAAACTTTGATTTTATAACTGTGAAAGGAACCGGTTATGGAAATGTATACATTTTATTCTGTCTCAAGTTCAAGACTTCAAATAGTGCATTGCCTCTAGACAACTGACAGACTCACGTGACGTGAAAATTTTAATTTTGCAACGAGAATTTTTTTTCTGATTATTTTATCCAGATTTCATAAATATTTGAATTATTTTTTGTTCCCTTGGATTAAACATTTTTTTTTATTTCAAGTAAAAGTGGTATAATTTTTTTTTATGATTTCTTCATTTAAAGGTATATAATTAGTCAAAGTTAGAGTATATAAAACAATGATGTAATAAAAGTACAATGGATGAATTAATAATAATAACAATAATAATTAAATTAGTAAGGTAAACATAATCAAATATTATGAAATGGAAGCAAAAATGTCGAAATAATAAAATGTAATAATATAATAATACTAAAATCATACTAAAATCATACTAAAATAATAATAATAAAACAATAAAAAAAAGTAATAAAATAAAAAAACATAAATATATCCAAATAATAAAGCAATAAAATGAAAAAGTCATTAAAAAATAATTCAGTTGCCTTCAATTAAAAAAAAAAAAAAACATAAAAAAGATACCAGATGCTATAAGAGGTTAAGGACATTTTTGATAAAAAAAAATGTGCTAATGACTATTGTCTGGGCGATAATTATATCACATTTTTTTACATGACCTGAACCTTAGATTGACTTCTCGATTTAGAAATTATCAAATTGAAATGAAATGCATAAAATTTTTGCTTCTTTTGTATGTGTCAATTTAAAATTTACTTATTCTTTTTTAATGACTATTAATTTCTACTAATAATTGTTTATTAATTATATCAAAAAGTAAATGATACAAATTACTGTATTCTATATGTTAAATTATCAGAAACATGTTTTAACCTATTTTGACCTAAAATAGAGATAAAATAAATTAATCATGATGAATTGAAGTTTATACAATGATTATTATATAGATTGATTCGGAGTTCATAGTCTATATATATGATGTTCATAAAAAAAAATTACTAATGATGACAGCATTAATCATTTTGATTAAAAACAAAATTTTTCATTATAGACATAATATAAATAAGAAAACAATGATTATTTATCATATTGTAGTACTTTATTATATAGTAAGAAGGAAAAATCTTATTTTATTTGAAACAAATTAAATATTTATTTTACTCTCAGATAGATTTTTAAAATTAAATAATTTTTCATAAAACTTAAAAAAATAGTAATCAATTAAATTCTTTATGTAAATAACAAAAAGTTTTTTAATTAATTATTTATGATTATGAAAAACAGTATAATAAGATATTGAAAAGAAAACGAAGATTTTGTTCGTTGATTTCAGTATTTCCTTTATCATGATCAATTTATTGTCTAAGCGAATTATGTTAATCAGGATGAATTGCATATAATGTGAGATACACGTGACTTACAATATAACTTAAAATTGAATAAAATCACACCTATTTTTTTAATTTTCAATTGTAATTTAAATTTTATTCTAAAGTTAAAAAATTTTTATATATATATATAATTTTAATTTATTTTTTAAATAAATAAATTATATTTATAAATTATTATTATTATTAAATTATTAGTTATAATTGTAAATTTTTTTCAATTAAAATTAAATTTAATTAATATTATTACATTGTATTAATATAATGTTAGAAATTTATATATAGATTCGAAATATACATAAAATTTTATCAGTTGATAGAACGAGTAATGATGATCGAGCCCATGAACTTCACACACTGAACGACAAATTGTAACTAATTATTAATTGCAAGACAGTACGGACTTAAAAACGTAACCATGACAATTCGATGATGTCATCTATATAGAAATAGTATATAGGGTATCTAGATACATTAATAAATAAATTAATAATGATATATAAATATATTTAAATAATAAAAAATAAAATTTTAAGAAAAATTAATTAATCATTGAGTTAATAACTAATTAATTAAATTATTGATTTGTTTAAATAACTTTTATATTTTGTTATTAAAATAAATACTAAATAAATGGATTATAAATTAATTAAAATATATACTAAAAAATTTATTTATATAAACAATATTTGTACAAAATTATAAAATGATTAATAATTAAATTATTTGATTGAGAATTTTTTTTTGTTTATACAAAAAACGATGCGCTTTCTTGATAATTAAATACTATTTTTATTAATAATTTACAAAAATTAATGTTGATTAATGTTATACAATTATATTTTTGTTCATTGTTTTAAAAATGAGATATATTTAATTTGTGTGAAATTTTTTTAAATTCAAATCGATTTATACCAATTTTCATATATAAAATATTTGTTTTTTTCATTCATAAGTATTTAATGAAAGGGTTGAAATTATATTGACCTGCGCTTTTGAATGCGCATACTCACTTGTCAGTTTTTTGTTATTTTATATATATTTTTTTTATGTTAAAAGAATGGCACACAGGTTTAAAAAAAAAATGATTTTGTATAAAAAGAAAATTCTCACACGACACCTTTTTGTTGAATTACTCTTATTGTAACTTGACACGAACTGACAAGTGCGGTAAAGATGTATACTCTTAACAGGATGCTTTGCAAAAAAAATGATTGTGTCTGCAGCGCCCCTCTGACAGTGAACAATATTAGTACTGCACAGTCATGATTTTCAATTCGATGATAGCTTATCAGGATGTCTGTCTATCTCTAAATTCCAATTTATCTTAAAATATTTCACAAAATAAAGGTCAATTTAGGTTAAATTGATGTTCTCAATTTTTTTCTTTTACTTTTTAAATCGATAGTGATTTAATTAATATTTGAAAATCAATTTTTTTTTTGTTTTTCAAATTTTGGTTTTTATGAACTAATTAAAATTTTTCTTATCAAATTTTTGTTTCAATTAAAAGTATATTTTAACTTAAAAAATATTTTTAATTGAATCAACAAATATGATATAAGTTAAATGAAAAATTTATTATTATTAACTGAATGAATAGATGCTTTTTTTATATTTTCTGTATAATGGAAAGTTTTATCTTTTTATAAAAAATTTTAAATATTGAGAAAAAACTTAACGATGAAAATGAAAAATCATGAATAACATGTCTTAAACTTATATTTATTTAAAGGAGCAAAAAAAGTTGATTTTAATTTACATTCTATCATGCATGACATATTTTCCAATCATTAATATGTTTTACGATTCTATTTTTTTATTATTTAAACTATTAATGAAAATTTATTTATAAAAAATTAATTACAATGTTTATTTAAAATATTTATTATTTAATATATTTCAAATTTTATTTCTAATAAATATTTATTAAAATGATACAAATAAATAAAAAATTGAATTTCAAGTGTTAATTGTAAATGATTATTTGTTAATTTTAATGTTGTGTAATAATTAAGAATAATAATAATAATTTTCTTTTAATTACCATTAAAAATTAACAATTACATTTACAATTAATAAAAAATATTAGCAAACTGCACTAAAAAAAATTATGTGATTCAAATACATTATTTGACTATTATCAAATAAATATTTACTTGAACCAAATAATTTTTATTTGAATTAAATAAATTGTATTTGGACCAATAATTTATGTATTTGAAACAAATACCATTTAATTAACTCAAATGATATTTATTTAATGCAAATTAAATATTTATTTTATAAATAGTGAAGTAACCGATTATTTGAATCAAATAAATATTTTTTTCAGTATAAGACATTATTTTAAAAAAATAGTGAATTACCGTTTATTTTTCAAATGATTTTTGTTTTGTTTTGTTCATTAACAAATAATGAAAACTGTAATTTTTTTAGATGTGAAAAGTTTCTTTCATTTACCAACTAAGTTGGTTCTTGTCTGTGATAAAAAGTAGTATTTCTATCAGTGTCTTGGGTGGTGGTGACCTCTATTATCAAGTCTGATAATCAAAACTGCATTTTATAACTTTATGTACGATTTAAAAGTTAAAATTTATATTTAAATTTTTGTTGTCTGTAAATATTTAAAAAATATTGCTGGAAAAATTTATATATTTTTTAAAATATTTAAAATGATTTAAAATTTTTTAGTACAAACATTTTTAAAAATTATTTTAAATTTTAGATAATTTAAAATAGAAGCATAATTATTAATAAATATATATCTTTGAATTTCTTTAAAATTTCTGTTTAAAATATTGCATTATAATTCGTATATCCTTTAAAATAGTATTGACTATTTATACGAACAAAATTGTATAATAAATGTTGATTGTTGAATAATGCATTTTTTATTGTCCGGAGACGATATTTTTTTTTTATAAAAATGAAGATTATCGTTTCCTAATAAGTAAATTGTATTTTCTTATGTATATTATGAATAATTCTGATGTGACGAAATATCTCGAACTTTGGTTTTTTACTTTTTAGTTCCTTCATTGCAACCTTGCACTTTCAATTGTAGGCGAGAGAGAATGTACAAAGTTCGATGACGAATGTGTATTTTAGAGTATATATACATATATATATATATAAAGCCGGTAAATAAAGGATCAAAATAGCATTGACTTTAATTTCAGGGACGATTTTTGGAATAAAAAAATAACATAATAATTTTCTATAGAAAAAATTGTTGAAATTACATGTATCATATTGTAATTATTTAAAATATCACTGTTTAAAGATTATATCTTATTTTAAGGAAAAAAATTGGTCTTATTTTAGGTTGCAACATTTTTAAGAAAGCAACTTTTTGGTTTTCTGATTGTGAGCAAAAAAAGTTAAATTTTTATTCAAAATAAATCTTTTGAGAAAATAAGATCTTTGTGACTTAATTTAAGTAAAATTATATCTTAAATTTAGTGTGTAAGTTAATGTTTTAAGATCTATTTTTCTTAAATTTAACATATAATATTTATATAAAATCTATTAAGAAATTTAACAAAAATTTCATCTTAAGAATCTTAGAACTGAAAATAAGACTTCTTTTTCACTTAAAATAAGAATTTAAAGTCTTAAAAATATTGCATATTAAAATAAGACTTTCTTGATGTCTTAAAATAATTTCTTTTTTACTGTATTAGAATATTTTATGTACAGTGAAAAGAAAATCTTATTTCAAGCAGAAAAGAAGAATTATTTTAAGATGCAACATCTTTAAGACAGCTTTTGCTGAATTTCAGACTTATCCTAAAATAAGACTTTTTTTTATTTTTTCTCGTATTTTCAAAATACTTTAAATCGTTATTTGTGATGCAGAAAAGAATCTAATTCCTTTTAAATAAGCCTGAGGCTGATCATTAAGAGCTATAGTTAGTGCATATATAGTATGTATACTTTGTTAACTTCAATAGGCAATTGCTATCGTGGTTATACCTTTAGTTAGATACACATTTCGTTTCGCGCCGACAATGTTTTTCTTTACTATCTTGAATTATAGTGTATAAATGTGACAGAAATTAATCCAAACGATGCAAAACTTTGCAGATAAATGCATTATGTTTCAAAATTAAAATTATATTCATTATGTAATATTTTTTATAGGATTTTCACGAGATTAATTCTCAGGTATATATATATATATATTCAAAACATTATTTTTTCGCTTTCATTAATTCTATTAAAGGTTATTTTTATCAAAATTTTGTATTAAAATTGTCATTTTGTAAAGTTGAATTTTATTTTTGCAATATAATGTTTTTTTTCGTTGTGAAGCATTATTAACTCTCAGACCGGGGATATATACTATTATACGTGTTTGTGTTTACCTTCTTATCTATCTTAGCCCTGATTTGATTCGGTTCTGAGAAATTAATAAGTTCAAAAATGTGGTTGAATGACCATAAACATAAATGTTTATATATCAATCACCCACGTTACGTAACTTTATACAAAAGAAAGAATGGCTATTGTCTAAATTTAAAGAGACATTATATTTTATAATTTAATTATTTGATACAATAGGCACGTGCCAGCTAAGTCAACAGATATGATTGTAATGATATAATAGAATAATTTAAATTAGATCAAGTTTTAAATTTATTGTTCTATAGATATGTTTGAGAGAAAATATTTATTTTGTTTTTAGAAAACTTGTTGCTTGTTTACCAAATTAGAGGAATCTTTCCTGTAATTGTTCGGTAGATCAGCTGTTTATTTTCTTATTCACTTTTACTTTTATAAATGAATTAATGTCATTTATCGTTTCAAAGCTGAATATTTTTACTTTACAAAAAAAATAAATATTAATTATTAATAGAAAAATTAAATATAAAATCAATCATTCAATATAATTATTTGTCAATTATTTTGGTTTAAATAATTTATTGTGAGTTCGTTCTGAATGAAACTAAATGAAATCTTTTTATTAATTAACTTAAATTTTTCACCTTTTAATTAAACTCCTTTCTAACAAACTTATCTTTCCTCTATTGAGATTGTAAATAATCTCGTAGGCTTATCTATAAAAAAAATATAAAATAAGGTTTAAATAAAATAAAAGAAACTTAACAATTCCTAACAGCTATCAAGGTCAAATTCCCTATTCCCTAAATTAAATAATCTATTATAAATAAATTAATCTTGCAGATATTTTCCTCAAACACAAATTTATTTAACATGTTATTAATTTAACAACATATTAAAATGATTTAAGTTAGACAGAAAATAAATGAAAAATTTATTTATTTCTCTGAAAAATTGCTAAATAAATAATTTAAATAAATTATTTATTTCCTAAATTAACTATTTGTGGGAGGACAGGGATTCATAATCAATTGAATCTTACACATTAACAAATTGATCGCCTATTGCAATGAATTTGAGATATATGTATCTTCAAGAGACTTACGATTTGCTTTTGATACCACTTAAGGATCCAGATAATGAGGTGGTACTCCGAGTTATCAGAAACCCCTCAAGTCTTTCACCATGGCGTGACTTTGTAGATTATGCGTTTTAAATTAAAGTGATTATACACTTTTTCGTTTCTTCTACTTTCCTAATGTTGAGTTTAAATTTATTATTTGTTAAAATGTTTTACTTCTTATATAATTCTGAGTTGGAACGGTTGTTACACCAGCCTCTCAGATATCATATAAGATTCAAGAAAAAAAATATAAATAATGAAAAAAAATATAAACGATAAAATTTTAATATTTTAAACAATAAAAAGATTCTATATGTGTCACTTGTTCTTTGTTCTCAAAACTTACTTTATATTGTTAAATCCAATTCCCGATTAATTTCACAAAACTATCTGTCAAAACCAATAATAATGATATATATATATAGACCGATTGAAATTCAGAGAATGAATGTCCAAATTTGGGTCTCCTTCTCTATTTATTGACTCGAGAAGACGCTTCATCCCCCAAATTTCTCTAAATCCCTTGTATATTTAAATTTAGTAAATGTGTTAGAGCGACTCTGACAGCTGATTGCTTGACAATCCGCGGTTTTCCCTTCCTACCTTTCTTCGTATACTTTTGCTGTATATTTCTTACCGCCAAATTTTCCCTCTAATCGCATTTTTCGCGGCGTCCTTTTTTCTTAGCCAATAATATTTAAATTGTTTTGGTAAGGACAGAGCGATTTCTCTCTTTCTAATTCCGTTGTAACGTATACAGGGAACAATGCCATTGTTCAGCTGGCAATCATTTCTCAATTATTACTGTAATTTCTTTAAATCTTTAATATCTTAAAAAATAATAATTTGACAAAATTTTTACCTTTACCATTAATTTTTAAATAATTTTTACTTTTATTTAACAAATGATTTTTATTTTAATATTATTATTTTAAGCAATTAAATAAAATAACTTACATTATTTTATGTAAAAAAAAATGAAAAATATCGTTAATTAATTTAATAATAGTTTATATTTATTTTTAATATTGTTAATAAAAAAAAATATTTAAATAAAATTAAATTAGTAATTTCTCTATTTTCGAAATTATATCTTTCATCTCTTACTATTATTTTTCCTTATGTATTCTTATATGGTGTTATCTATGAATGTCTTCTGTCTCTTTCTATTATTTCTGAAATTCTATTTCTCTAGATTTAGATTTATTTCTTAATATTTCTTTTCTTTGATTTTTATTAATAATTTATAACTTTTTTCTTTTAAAATAATTAATTAATTTTTTATAATAATTTTGCAAAATAAAATAATTTCTATTATTTTATTTATTAATATTTAAGATAATGTAAAAGGGTGATTTGTTTATTTATTATTAATTATTTAATATAATATTTAAACCTTAAATTTATTTTATCTATGCATTTTTATATTTCTAGGATTTCTATATTAGTGTATAGTTTAGGCAATCATATACACACACATATATATATATATATACTCATTCTCCTGAGTGCAAGTGTACTCATGAAAACAGTATTTCTCTTTCTTATATTTTTCTTTAGCCATGTATATATATATACCTGTACCAAAATATAACATTATATTTTTGAAATTAAATGATACTCTATTTTTTTCTTTACTTGCATTTAAATGAATATAATCTATTGACTATTGGAATAACTCTTCAATGCCCCCCTAAACTAATCATATTCTTTTGGCATAAAAGAATTGATTTGTTTATAAAATAGAAAAATATTCTCAATAGGCAATCTAAAGAGAAGAAAAAAAAAATAAAATTTTGATTACCCCCTTATTGCCCCCCTAAACGAATAAATTTATTAAATCCTGTAATGAATTAATTTGTTTAAAATAAAAAAAAATCAAAATTTATGTTCTTTTTAAAAAAAATATCTTTATTTAACCTCCAACGGCTCTTATACGGACATTCTCTTCCTCCTCTACATCCTCCTCTATCACTTCATCATAATTTGGGAAAATTTGAATTGTTCCAGGTGCTAACTTAGCTAAATTTAAATCAATTAATTTGTCATCAACTGACCAAAGCCTGTTGAGGATTCCCCAACCCATATTTACATCATTGATTCTATCTTTGAAGTGGAATTGGAATGTTCTATTTCGCATTAAATTATCGAATGTATCGATTGCCTCTTTGTCCCAATAGATATTGTTATTTGGTAAAATGTCTGTGAGAGCTACTTTTGTTAAATTTTTTTTTATATAGAGAAATTTGTATATTAAATAAAAGATATTTTCCTTGGCTATGTGTATGTATATACCTGTACCAAAATATAACATTATATTTTTGAAATTAAATGATACTCTATTTTTTTCTTTACTTGCATTTAAATGAATATAATCTATTGACTATTGGAATAACTCTTCAGTTGGTTATTTTATCAAACATTTAAGCAAATTAGAAGCAATTTTCTATAATCAAACTTATGCAATATTCGTTAACTACACTTAAAAGGAATATAAGAAAGGCTTAGTTTTACTGTTTAGTTTTGCCAAACATACATTTTTATTCATCATAAAATTTTGTCATGAAACGAGAATAGATTTTACCATAAAAGTATATTGCAACATGCGGGACAATTAATTTTCCTTTATTTTTGCGTTCTGTTATATATTTTTTGTGAAAAGAATAAAAAAATATACTTTATTTTTATATATAAAATATATTTAGTAACTTAATAAATATCATTTTTTCTAATTTTTCACATGAATATTTGTGGTTATAAAGTGATATCCTTACAGATTTCTATTTGCGCCTCATAAAATAACTTACGTAAAAAGGTGATAAAGTTATATAGGATATTGTAAAATTGAATTTGAAAGTACGGAAATAGAAATTAGAAAAAAATTGTATTTTATAAACAAAATAAATAATTAATAAGAAAATTATGTTAATATTACATTTTTCGATTAGAAAAGATTGATTTTTTTTAAATTCAGACAATTCTTAATTTAAGACTCTTTCCAAATTTAAGTTATACCAGTATTCTTAAATTAAGACTCTTTCTGAATTTAAGTTAGTAGTTTTCTTAAATTAAGAAAATCTATGCATGCAGTTCAGGAAATTTTTAAATTAAGACTCATTCTGAATTTCAATTACCAATACTTTAAAATACCAATATTTTTTAGATTCAGATTCAATCTGAATTTAAGTTTTTAGTTTTCTTAAATTAAGAGTATCTCTTTCTGGAACTAAAAACTAAAATTATAAGATTCGTATTCTGAATTTAAGTCACTATGCTCTCCTTAAATTAAGAATATCTCTTCTTAGAATTTTTTTAATGAATATTTTAGTATACAGTAAAAAGAAAGTCTTATTTTAAGACAGAAAAGGTGTCTTATTTTAAGAGACAACTTTTTTAAGACAGCCCTTGCTGAATCTAAGCAATGGATTTACATGCAATTTGAATTTAAATACATTATGGCTAGTACTGCTGAATTTAGAACTCATATTAAAATAAGATTTACTTTTTACAGTGTAATTAGAATACTTTAATTAAAATTTTTTAGTATTTAATTGTTAGTTTAATGTTAATAAACAATTGTTTATTCATTGCTTTAAATTATTGAAGCAAATATTACATTAAAATGTTAAAGATTAATTATTATTAAAAATAATAATTACTTTTTAATTCTGTTAATTTTTATATAATCGTTTTTAATTATAAATGAATTTTAATTAATTAGCTAATACTTTCATAATAAATTTTACTTAGATGAAAATTTATTTGAATGTAAAATTAAGATTCTTATTTATACATTTGAACTTTAGTATGGTTTATTAATTTAATTAACAGAAAATTGAAGCAAAATGTTAATGAGATAAGATTTACTTAATGTAAGACTGCAATTAAAATCTATATTTTGAGATTCTAAAAAATCTGAAAAGATTAAAGAAACTTAAAATCATATAAAAAAAAGTTTAATTTAAGTAATAATGAGTTTTGTGAAAAAAAATTCTTTTTTATGTTAGAAAAATATCAGTAGTTGGTAACATTCATCGGGTATGAATACACCTGTATATCTATTTTATGCGTCTTATTGTTGGTAGTTGTGCATATAATTATGTTTAGTATATATATATATACTGTAGGCAGGTATATACGTCAAAACAAAATGGCTGACAGCGGAAACCGTATAGAGAGGAGGCTTGGTGTTCTTTCGTGGTTCACGTTACTCAGTTATTGCAGTCTGACAGTTCAGAAGTAACATGAACCGCGAACGGTTTTTAACGACACTCTGATTCACTATTTGTGATCATATTTTATTTATTTATTTATTTATTATAATTATGACTATGTCAATTTTTTATTGTCCTCTTTTTGCAGTTTAACGACCCCCCATGATTTCTCCGTCAATGATCATGAATATCGATTAAATTTTGCGCGGATTATGTGTGGGTGATATTCAAGTTTTTTTTTTCTTTTTTTTTATTACTTTTCCTATATACCGGTCACATACAGTTTCAGAGAAATATCAGTTTACCAAGGATTTCCTTATAGTAGAAAGTTGAAGTTGAATAAAGATAATATTTGTTTCGAAAAAAAATCAGGTATGATTTAAAAATAAAATGCATACATAAAATTAAATTTTTTTTGGCACTGAAAATAATTATCTTTTTTTGAAAAAAAAGGGATTTTAATGTTAAATTGAAAAAAATGTATATTTGGAGTAAAAAAAAAGTTATTGTTTATTAGGTTAATATTTTCAAAATTTGACGTTAGACAAAACAAAAAAAGGATAGATATTATAATTTTTTATGTTTAGTTGTAAATTCAATACTATATGTAAATTTTTATTGTTTAATGTAACTGTGTTAAGTGCCTATAAAAATTTATATAAAATGTTAATAAATTAAAATACAATAGAGAAGTGAAGAATATATATAATATAAATGAAAGATATAATTATAACTAAACATTTTTTTAACGTGCAACGTGACAATAAATTCATGTAATAAGTGACAAAGCATTCTTTACTTAAAAAAATAAATATATCTAAGATGATTGTAAAAAATGTTATTATAGTTATTTTTATTATCATCTTAAATATTTTTTAAAGTTCTAATTAATTATTATTAAAAAAAAAATGTTATTTTTTCATTTTGTGCGAAAAATGAAGCGCAATGGATTTTTTTCTTTCTTCTTCATCTTTTTTTTCTAAACAAATAATAAGAATGCATGGAATATAAATGCATTGGGTAATCATTGCAAGGTTTCGCCACTTAATTGATGAATTATTGTGCGCGTATCGTTAACGTAATTACTGATATAAAAGTGATCACAATTTTACGATAACAATGTATTATAAGAGTTTAGGTTTCCCACGTTGCTTTTTAATCGATTACCCTTGACCAAATTTATCTAGTACTTCAAATACTTTAATCCTAATAATCATATATCAAAATCAAGTTTGAATATTGCGTTCTTCGATTTTTTCCATCATTCAAAATTATATTTATATAAAACTTAGGTACATATCGCATTAATTGTATATCTTGTAATCGGATTTTATTTTGTATTCTCTTCTTTTATTAATTGGTTTTTCTATTATTTTTTACCATTAATTTACTTTCAATTCATCATTGTTGAGGATAGTTAACTATATCGATATTAATTTTTATTAATAATTATTGTCATTTAATGATGATTTTCAAAAATATGAATTCTTTTTTTATTAAAAAATGATTGTCACTAAATGACAATTTTCTAAAATTTTACATTTTGTTTATCTTAAACTTATAAAGTGAAGAGCAGAATGAATAAGCCTTGATTTAATCTAATAATTATTAATAACAAACAAAAAAAAAAAAAAAAAAAAAAATGGACAATAGTTCAAGTGAATGATTTAAAATGTAGTCATTTTCTGTTTTGCAAGGCCGCATTTGCAAAACATTTTATCGCTTCCGCGGAATTCTTTGTTGCTCCGGCTTTTTATGATTAAAACTTCAATATTCGTCAACTGAAAATTATGTTAATATTTTACAATTTATTTAAAGCTTTTATATTATGCCGAGTAAAATTATTTTAATTAAAGGAATTTGTATTAAATTTTTTTAAATTTATTTATTATTTATTTATTATTCACTTTTTTACAAGAATAGATAATTTTTAATTACAAAAAAATGATACTTTGCAGTAAATAAAATTTTTAATGCATGTCGACAGGATATTTAAGATGGTTAATCGAATGAGTCAGCAAAAGAGTCATTGACTGTTTTTTTTAAACTATTTTTTTTAATCCTCCAACGTGATTGCATATATATATATATATATATATATATATATATATTGACTATACAGGAAATTTTTTTCTTTCTCTTAGTGGATTTCCTTCGTTTCTCTTTCACTTGTCTCAGCATTGATTGCTCAATATTCTTTTGTCATTTTAACTACTATTAAGATTTTTCTGTATCATTTACATTGTACTACTGCACAACTAAAAAGAACTATAATTATTCTTTGAATCATTTTTAAATTAAATTCTAAATTATTATTATAATTATATTATTTATTGCTATTATCTTATGTTTTAATGTCTTTGGTTTGCTTTCTACATTAAAAATGGTCCACTTTATTGAAATCGATTTGGAAGCACAGACTGAGACGGTTTCGTAAAAAAAAAATAATAAAAAAAAGAACAAGTTAGTAACGGTACATGCCTTATTGTAAAAAGACAACGGCCTATTCCGTTCTTGGTTCTTGATGACTCAGACTTTGAACGTCTAAAAGTAACATGATGTCCTCGATTGTCTTGAAAGGTGTTTCGATGAACCTGAGATCATTGATCAAGAAAAAAATCCTAAAAATAATTTTTAATCTCGTTTTTAATCATTTTTTTTTATAATTAATAATTTTATTAATAAATTCAGAAATTTTTATTTGGGGGAAAATTATGATAATTTGTACACCTATAACAATTATAATTTTGTATAACAATTATTATTATTATTTTATTATTGTATTATTTTATATACAACAAAATTTAGGAAAATATGTTTAAAGAAACAAAAGAATAAATATTTATAAAAATTACATGGAGTTCAGAGCAATAATATAAATTATATAATATAGTAATTGATTGAATTTTGCAGCAAGATTAAAAGTGAAGTGGACTTTCACTTTCTTGCGAAAAAATTCAATTATATAGACAATTAAATTTTAATTATAATTAAAAATGTGTTTTTATTCTTTTTCTCTGTTACAGATTTATAAATATTGGATTTAGTTGAGAAAAGAAAAAAAAAAAAAAATTCTGTCGCAATGGCAGAATATTGTGAATATCTTTGGGATCCCTTACGTGGACACTCGAGTACAGCTCTTGCACGTAGTCTTTATGATGAACAATCGAGAATCAATAAAGGTGACAAAAAACTAGCGATAAAGACTGTTAGGGCCATACTACGTGATATGCCTGGCGTTGGTAAATATATATATATTTTTTTTCTAATATTTATTTTATGATTCATTCCAAAATATAGAAAAAGTGATTGATTTATTATGTTTCCAATTATCACTGTATGAGAAAAATTCGTTTACTCAACTCTTTGATAAATTATGATTTATATCATTAAAAAAATTTAGTTATCTTTAAAATTTATTAAGTAAATATTATGTTTGTAAATATTTAAAAAAAGCCCTTCTGGTATTTAATTTTATTGAAAAGCCAAAAAAATTAATAAATATTATAGATGCTTTAGTGTTTTAAATAACTGTAAAAATAAAAAAAAAGAACCTTTTGTGGTAGATTTAATTTTATAATTGAGTGCTCTTGCGTAAAATACTAAGATGTAAAAATACGGATTTTTATAATTATCCGGGAATATAAGTGGATCACTTTCGTATAAAACATTCTATATATATGTTAATTATTTTTTTATAATAAAGAATGAATCATAAATAATTTTTTATAATATATAATTTTGTCCTAGAAACTCTAAATCAAAAATATAATTATACTGAAGAACAATGAATTTTTTTTTGCAATTTAAAATAGTATATATCTTTTTTTGAATTCTAAGGGAATTTATGGTTCATTTACAGTCTGTAATGGACTTACGTCCGGAAATAAATGCTTCCTGAATGTTCAAACCGCATGGCATTACAATCATATAATATATATATATTGTTTTCTTCTATTGTTATTCGCAGATTTAATGCTTTGCACCGATGAATATATTACACGCTTCCTGTTGGCCCGGAAGTACAGAACTGAACAAGCAGCTGCACTGATAGTAGCTTATCAGGCACAAATTGCACACAGACAAGATATTTTTGGTAATCTCACAGCTCGCGATCCTGCATTACAACGTGCACTTAGAGCCGGAATTCCTGGAGTTCTTCCTGCTCGCGACAAGTAAGAAGAAATGTGCAATTTTCATTTTCTTCATAACTTACATTTCTTTTTTGAAAAGTGGAATTTTTAATTAAAAAAAAGAGAAAAAAGATTTTTAAGAATTTTAGAATTTTCATTTAATAGAATTTTATTACATATAATTTTCAATGAAAAAAAAAATCTAGAAAAAAAATTTCAATTTTATTTGTTTAATATTTTATTATAGGAAAGGAAGGTGTGTTTTGCTTATCCTAGCTTCACAATGGGATCCAATTGCTGTTCCTGCATTGGCAGTGCAACGAGCAATTTTTTTAGTTTTGGAAACTCTTATTCAAGATCCCAGAAATCAGGTATTTAAATTAGTAAAAAAATTTAACTAATTTGAATTAGTGACGCACTTTTTGTTTTTGAATTAGTTAAATTTTACCAATTTGATAGTAAAAAAATTTTTCTTCTATTAATTAGTTTTTAAAACCAAAATTAGTTAAAATTTCTACTAATTCAAATTTAGAGAGTAAATAAAAATTAAATAAATAAAAAAAAAATATAAACATTTTTTTTACTATATTGAAAGTATTAAGTATTTTGTTATCAATAATTATTTTTCATTTGAAGAATTTTTACTTGTGTATTTATAAAAAAATCGTGAATTCCAAATGTTATGCTTGTTACGCAATAATTGTTATCTTCCGTTGTTTCTTGAAGACATTGGCAGTCTTGAACATCCAAGTTCTTTTTATTTACTGATATTCAAGCTAAACACGCTCTTCCCGTTTTAACAGAAATAATGACTAGGAACTTTTTTTTCCTACAAATTTCCAATTAAATTTTTTTTTTCTTTTTTAATTTGTGAAAACAATTTACAAAATTAATTTTTGTGTAAATTATTTATCTTCTTTTTTATTTTTAATTGAAAATTTTATTTCTTATTAAATTTATTTATTTATATGTACATTATATTTAAAATATTTTTGTGATAAAAATTATGAAATTTAAAAAAATCTATTTTTAATGTTTTATAATTAATAATTGATTGTGTTTTATGGAAAAATTGTAGCAATCTGGATTTGTGGCTGTGGTGGATTGGGGTAATTTTTCCCTGAGACAAGGTGGAGCTTTAGGAGCTGCAGCTTTGAGAAATTTGGTAGCTGCCTTACGAGGAAGATTTCCGGCTAGATTTAAAGCAATACACTTTTTGTCAGCTCCACTTTATGTTCAAGCGACACTTGCACTTATCAAACCATTTCTCGATGAAAAAACACGAAGCAAAGTGAGTTTTCATTTTTCAATGATAAAATTTAAAAGACCTTTATTTTATTTTATTTTTTTTTTTTTTAAAAGAAGCAATTATTTGAAATCTGACTTGAATCTGCAAGGTCGAGCAAGAATTTCACTGAAACAGAACCTAATAACCGCAAACGAATAAATTTAATAATTTTGTCCTTGTTTTCATATATTAATACTGACGGAAACGTAACACTTCTTGTAATTTGAGATATGTCATTTTTATCTCTTTTTATATTTAAATTGCTTATTCGTTATTTAAAAATTAATTTTTATTAAAATAAGTTCAATAAATTAGTAAAATTAAAAAAAAAACAATTATTATTGAAAACAAATAATAATAATCATAATATATTAATTATTTATATTGCGAATAATGAATTATTTTACAAGTAAGAAATTTTTATAATTTATAACAGGTGTAATTTGATAAACTTTAGTATAAAAATATTTTTCTTAATTAATGCTTATGAGGAGTTATGTACATATTGTGAAATAGAACAATATCACATTGTATGTATAAATTCCAAGAAAAAATATCAAGAAAGCAATAAAAAAAATAATTACTATAATTCAACTGATTCATCAATTAATTAATTAATTAATTTTCTATTATAGAAAAGAATCAATTGATTTTTTTTAAATTAATTTTTTAATTAAAAACTTTTTTATAATTAAATGCGAATTAAATTTTTCTTTTCAAAAATTTAAAGTCTTTAAATAATAATTAATTATAATTCATTGAAAATAATTAAAAATTATTTCTTTTTCAGATATATCTTCATGGAAATAATTTGAGTACTTTGCATCAACATTTACCAACTGATATTTTACCAGCTGAATTAGGTGGAAGTGGTCCAGCATTTAATCCAGGTCTTTGGGCCGAACCTGTTATTCATTCAGCAATGAAAGAAGCTGAATTGGCTAACATGAAAAGAGATAAAGAATCTTCCTCCTCGGATGATGTGAATAACCTTAGAAATTCCCAGGAACAATCAAGGACGCAGGATCAAAAGCATTACGAATTTTCAGACTCAGCAAGAAATGAGATGAACCGATCAGAATCCACAGAACCTGATTCTGTTTTTGAAAACGAGAAAAACTTGAATTACTCCAAGGTCAGGAATGAAACTTGTCCTTAGGGTTTTTGTTTTATTTCTATTTAAATAATTATTTTCAAAAATAAATTGATTTCTTTCTCCAGTTTCTTTCAGGATCAAATATATTAATTATTATACATTTTATTGTATTTATTTATTATTATTATTATTTTTGTTGTTGTTGTTATTAACATTTGGGTGATATTAATTGAAGAATTATTTTTCCTAAACAATTTTTTTTCTTTTTATTTCAACAGGTACAAATTTTAAATTTAAATGGAAATTGTTCAGAAATGAAAAAAATGAAATCATCAGTTTTGGAGCCAATACATAACAATTCAAGGAAAAATCAAGAAATGCAATTATTAATAAATGTTGAAGCATTAGAAAAAAATCGTGGTTTATCAATAAATAATAAAAATAGAAAGTCATTTGATGAGCAGGATGCTGAAAATTCTGAATGTTTAAGCTTTAGATCAGACACAAATTCAAATGAATTTGAAATGGTGCCGAGTCAAGCAGATAGCGAGGATAATTCACTGGAAATGAAAGTTGAAAAAATTGTCATTAGAACTGGAAAAGGTGAACCACTTCCGGAAGAAGCTAATTTAATAGCATAAGAAAATAAGAATATTAGATGATTGAAATTCTTATAATCTAAAGCAGGAATATAATTTCAAGCTGAAAATTAAGATGAAAAAAAAATTTCTTTATACTTAAGAGGAAGCAAAAGAAAAGACAATTTTACCATTTGTTTAGACAATTTTACTTATGTAAATTTATCAATTTTATTGGATTTTCTACAAAGAGATTTAATTTACGAATTTGATGAAAAAGAAAAAAAAATTCGTAAAAATTTGTTCAAGTTTGATGAATTCTCCATTCAGAAACGAAACTGATTACAATTTTTTTTTTATAGAAAATTAAGGAATATTTTATAAACACTGGAATCAATAATATCTCTAGTCTACTACTGATTTATATATAGTAGAAGACTAAATTGGAAAATTTATTACGATACATTTTCATGATTCTGGAAAATCGTGCACTATAAAGTGAAATGACAATACCATATATACGAGAATCATGAATTCATTCTTTAATCTTATATACTCTTCTCAGAGAAATTTTTCCAAAAAAACAAAATGAAGTGAAAAAATAAAACGATCAAGGACAAATTTGATAATTAAAAATTATAAAACTCAAAAATCTCACAATCTGAACAGTATTCGCCCCTTATACAGGCAGCAAAATTTTTTCAATAGAAAAAAACCGTCCTTATATTTTTCCATCCAAAAATTCATTTGAAAATGATGAATTTTCAAAATACAATTGGCAATTTTTTTTTCTTTTTAATAATATTATATCTGCCAGATCTGAAGAGTTCTATAGAATTCTAGAATATATACAGTAAGGTCATTGTGATTGTGTAAAAATAATATTTTTTAGATTTAATAAATTTTGCACCCACGTAATAATTGTGTTTTTTCTCAATAATATAACATTTTCATTCAGTTGGTATACCAAACACAAAAATATTTCAAAAAAAAAAAAATGTTATAGATTAAACAAAACATTAATATTGTTATTTTTACATTTAAATTTTTTTATTTTTTTTTACTTTGTAAAATAACAATATTATTTATGTTTTGTTCAATCTAACAGTTTTTTGAAAAACTTTATGTAGTTTTGATACAGACTTTTTTTAATTTATTAGAAATGTGAGGAGAAAATAAAATTCTTCTTGTTTATTTTTGATAAATAAAATAAATTTATTTATCGTCTCAACATGCGTTATTAGAGGCGTTGATGAAAATTTATGCGGTACAATTAATATTATAATTATTTTCTTTTTTATAAAATCAACCTAACACCAGTTTAAATATTATTATAGTTGATAGTATCAAAATATAAAATTCTAGAATTTAATATAAAAGGAACATTTTCATGGACATCTTTTTTTTTTTTTTTTTTTTGAAGATTACAGAAAAATTAGTGGCAAGAACTTTTTTCTGAATTACAATCATTATTAATATTAATTATTAATGTAATAATAATAATATTTATTATTATTATTATTATTATTATATTATGATTAACAAATTTAAATAATTAAAAATAATTATTAAAACTATTTGAAATACTTTCATACGTGTAAAAAATATTTAAATATATTTCTCGAAATTTGTCATGTCTTTAAAAAATTAAACACGCTTATGATAAATAGATTTTTTTCACACGTTAAAGGCATCAGTTTTATCACGAACAGTTTTTGTACAATATGTTAAATATTTATATATGTTTAATAGGTACATATATAACAAAAGTAGGAAAATCGTAAAAATAGAGTTTAGTTTAAAAAAATAGAAATAATTGTCAGACGTTTTTTTTTATCGCTTATTTCATTAATGTTGAAAAATTTCAATATCTTATTTCTATTTGAGTGGTAGGAAGTTTTTGAAAATTTAAATAACTTTATGATATTTATGCCGTTATTGATGGAGGAACCCAGCCTCCGAATCCACGTTCTAATTCCTCGGCAACTGCTAGTGTTAGGCGATCTTGATTGAGACCACCAATTATCTGAATTGTAAAAAATAAACATATTTATTATTTTTAATGGAGGGATGAACAAATTAAAAATTAATTAATAATATTAAAAAAAAGGATCTTATTTTAAGGGAGAAAATGAGTCTTATTTTAAGTAACATTTTTATAAAAAGTCAAAACAAAAGTTAGTCCAACTTCATATTTTTGTATTTTTAAATACAAAAAATAATTTTAACAGTAAAAGATTTTTTTTTTAAATTTTTATTATTAAATTTTAATTAAATTTATAGAAATGTTTTTATTATTAAAATTTAAATTATTAGTATTATTAATTATTATTAAAAAATTTAGTAATTTTTTTTTACCTGAATGCCTATGGGAAGTCCTTGTTTATTAAGACCTAATGGACATGCGGTTGCTGGTAATCCAAGAACATTTATTATTGCTGTATAAATAAAATTAAATGGTTTTATAAGTGGTTCATGATGCAAAGGAGCTGCTGTTGGATGAGTTGGATACAAGAAAATTCCATCTTCTCCTAGCATATCCTAAAAAAATTAAATTACCTATATTAATAATTAAATTATTAAATATTAAATAATTATTTTTCAAATTAAAAAATTTTACTTTTAGATATTTTGATGTAAATTAAATATTTTGTCATATGATATACGTATTGAAGAGTAATTTCAATGTAAATAATGATTTAATCATTTGGTCTTCAAACACTGACATTGTCAAGGGCATATAATTTAATCTTGAATAATTATTATTGATAAGGTACATTATATCTCGTTACTATTAATGATAATGTAGAAAATATATTTTTTTTCATAATTATAAAGTCCCTTATAGAAATTTAACAGAATTTTAAAGAATGTTTAAAAATGTTAATAACTGAAAATAAGACTACTTTTCTCACTTAAAATAAGAAATTCTTTTTTTACTATATTAAAAATGAAAAAAAAATCTTACTCTAAATTCTTGATAGAGTTCCCTTCCACCTTGCATCAGTTTTGTATGTTTTTCACTTCCTATTTTCATGTTAAATTTCTCAAAACCTGCTGTACATAATGCAATTAATGTATGATTACTCATGAAAAAAAACCATTTTATCAATTCCCACCAAACATTAATTTGACCCTTTCGATTTGATAATTCATAGGAGAAATCCTTTCCATCACCACCAGTCATTGCTGCCATCCAATAGTCTAAACTCTTTTTCATTTTTTTAATTTGTATTTTTGTTGCTTTTATTTTGTGCGCTTTCTCAAGATAGTTGACAATTTTTGTCATTGATTCCTTAATTTCACGATCTACTGGCGATACCAAAAATTGACCACCATTATCTTCCATATAGTAAAACTGTAAAAAAAAACCCATTTTTTTCCATTAATTTTTCTGAATAGAGATTGAAATTGATTTTATTTTTTCATTATGTTTAGTAAAAATTCGTGTCCAAAAAAAATATTTACCTTGAGCTTTGAAATATCAACTTTTGAACGTAGATTTAATTTTTCCGCATTACTACCGGCTATTATTTCTAAAATTGGAAGCATATCCTGAGCATATCTACACATTGGCCCAATTCCCAGGAGTGAGTCTTGTTGATCATTATGTGTACTAGGATATTGTCCGTGATTTGAAACAATTCCTATTAGGGGGAAAAAACATTTTATATAATTTTTAACAATTCTCTTTGAAATTCCACATTAGATTTTCATTGTAGTTTATAAAAGTTATGATTTTTTTAAATTTAACATCGTCAGAAGCCGTATACTCATTTTAAAAGTATTCGGCTTCTGACGAAGTTAAATAATGTAAAATTTAGTTTAAAATAGTTTGAACAATTTGACTCAATTAAAATTGATATACCTTTGGAAGGTTTATGTCCAAAAATACCATTAAAAAAACATGGCATTCGAATAGATCCTCCAATATCTGAACCTAAACCACATGGAGAACCTGCAGCAGCCTGCAGACAACCTTCTCCACCTGACGAACCTCCAACAATGTGTCTAAAAGTTAAGAAAAAAAAGTTAATTAATAATAAATAATAATTAGTTAATAATATTCGGTTAAATAAAAATTTAACAGAAACAAATTTGCTTACATGACAATTCGGTTAAATATTCCTTTCAATTAAATATGAGTTTGATTAAATGTGAATTCGGTTAAATAAAAATTCGAATAGAAGGAAATTTTTTCGCTTATATGAAAAATTCGGTCTAAATAATAATTTATTTTCTATAAAGAAAATTTATGAAAATTTTTACCTAGTATTGTAGGGATTTCTGCTTGTTCCATATAAACAATTGCTAGACTCCCACCACATTGCACCTTCCGATACATTTGTCGTGGCAAGTGGTATAGCCCCAGCATTTTTCATTAATTTAATTACATTTGCATCCTCGTTTGCTATACAATCCTTACGGCATACAATACCAGCTGTTTGTTTCATATTAGTAATAGCTACACAATCCTGGAAAAAAAAATTAATTTCTTTATATAATTTAATTTAAAAATTTCTTTACTTTTATAAATGATACGTCTATTGTTCTGTATCGTCATTTTAATTAATTACATTCATTCTATACTTTAAAATTAATTAATTAATTAATTTAATAATTTCAAAAACATGCTCAAATTTTCTTGGATTCGTTATCTTTTTCTAAAAATTTAACATGCCAAGCATTTTTTTAAATGAAAATATATATATCCCATGTGACATGTTTTTTATATATTTTATAAATTTGCTATATATATTTTTTTGTAATATGTCACGTGGGATAAAAAAAATAGGGGCTACAAACTATTATATATATATATGAAAAGTGCAAATTATGTAAGTCGTCAGTAAATTGTACCTATATTGCAAACCATAAAAGCACCTTTGTTGTAAATGGAACTCCAAAAAGAGGTTTTTCTTTAGCAAGAAAATCAACTGTAGGTGAATTAGGTGATTTCAATAGTTCGTCACATTTTCTCGCATCTTCTATTGCTTCCTTGAAACGATCTTCAACCATTGGATTTAATATCGGTTGAATTTCTCTTATCCTATCGATGTATGATTGTACAACGTCTTCAGACGAGAGCTGAAATTTTTATTTTATTGGCTCTTTTCTTGTTTGATTAATTATTATTATTATTAATTAATTAATTAATTAATTAAATAGTTAATAATAATATAATAAAAATAAGTAATAATTAAAATTAATTAAATTAATAATAATTAACAATTATTTTTACTGTGTAAAAATGATACTTACTTGTTTGTTGCGAATTTTTGTTGCTAAGGCTGTTGCACTGTGTAAAAGTGTTAAATCTTTAATTGGCGGTTGCATTTCCGCTGGACCACTTATGTATGCAACTAAAAGTAATAATCCTCTCACTATAAATTCTATCAGCTTATGAATCACAGACAATATTTTCCCAATGATTTTCATTTTTTCCTGTTTCTTTTCGTTACTCGCCATTTAGCTGAAATTAAATAGAATTTGAAAATAATTATTATTGTTCTTCAGAAAAAAAATACATATTAATTTTTCAAAACATTTATTATAATTAAAAAATATTTTATAAATATTTTATAATAATTTTTTTTTTATTTTTATTTTCGTTTATATCATTAATTATATAATTATTAATTAATTAATTAATTAAAATCTATTATAATTAATTAAATATTAGTAAAAGAAAAATATAATAATTAATTGTTTATACCTATTCATTATTTATAAACATTAATTAATTATTATTATAATAATTAAATTATGTAAAATTGTAACTTTCAAGGGTGGTGGCTTATCAATTGGAAAAATTATATAATTTGATATCAAACGAAAGAAAATATTGCTAACCACTGAAATATAAGACGAATGTTATATGTATTCAAAGCAAATAAAATAGACGACCTCGTTTAACTTTAACAGCAGTTTAGTTGTAATTGAATGAACGAATGAAGAATAATTTGTCATAAACTGGCCAAATTGTGATTCTTCACTCAATTTGTTTCGTTCTAATTTTTATAGAAATTTTTTTGTATCAACAATTTCATGTTTTGATATATATATCAAAAAAATTTTAAATTAACAATTAAAAAAATTTATAGAATAATTTTTAAAAGTGTTTCTTTTATTATTTTTTTTCTGAATTTTCAACCTCGGAAAAAATGCATTTTTTTTAATTCTTGAAGATAAAATAATTTTGTTTAAATATAATGTGTGTTAAATAAATACATGATCCATTAAGCAAACAATTAAGTACTTTACACACGTGTGATAATTGCAGAAAAAGGGTATATAAAAATTTATTTTTTCTCTTAAGTTTAAAAAATATAATTAGAAACACAACATTTAATTTAAAAAAAGTAGATTAAATCTAGGAAAAGTTCATTGATATATAAATATATACATTAAACGAGAAAAGTCAATAATTTTTAAGTACACGGAAAATTCACTGAAGAAATATATTTTTATTTTCTTTAAAATTTTTTTCCTTTTTGAAGATAATGTTAATTATTACTTTTTGTAATTAGCAAAATTAATTGAAATTTTTCAAACATTTTTTTTACAGAGTTTTTTTTTTATTTTGAAAAAATACGAAAGTTGCTAAGCGAAAGATATTTTAATCTACCTGTAATTTAGATATACGTATATATACACTTAAACTACAAAAGTATAAAACTAAAAAAGTTTAGTTATTTATCTTATCATCGTATCATATTATACAGGGTTACTTAAAAAAAAAATTTTTTTTATTAAGGGCGGAAAACTTTTTAGACACACTATATATTTCTTAAAGGGGAAATTTTTTTTTTACATTTTTATATACTATCTTATTTAATTTATTAAATTTGTTTTTAATATTTATTTATACAATATCCAAATATATATTTTTTTAAATTATTAATAATAATTAAAAAAAAAACTTTTCTTCGAAATCATGAGTTTTATATAAATTTTGTATTTTTACAAAATTATACATTGTAAAACAATAAAATTTACTCAATTTTATTTATTTATTTAACTGTAGTATTAAAGAAAATAATGTTGACATTTCTCGTTTTTAATATTATTTATTTTTCTACCTTTTTATTGTTTTAGATTATTTTTACTTTTTTTAAATTATTTTTTTATTGGTCTTAAAAAATCATTTGACAAAATTAGTGAACAATTAAAACAATTAAAACAATTCTGAGTATACTGTTATTATGTCATGTGACTTAATTAAATTGTTTTTTTTTAAGTTTAATAATATTTGACTTGGTCAAAATTTATTTTTAAATCGAATTAATTTTTTATAAAAGAAAGAAAAATTGTCATTAATAAACAATAATATAAGCAAATTGTTAATTCGATTGACACATCTGTCTGTTAATGGAATACTGCTATCAATAATAATTGGTCTTTATTTAACGGTACTTTTACCAATTCCGCAACGAGGCGGTGTCATTTTTAATTTGATACAAAGTTTTTTTTTCTTCATTTTTCCATTTTTTCAAAATGGCTCGTAATATGTAGTGATTTTATTCTTCAATCACATTTAAAGTGAGCCTTTTTTTGCAATATCAATTTACATTTCCTGTTTTTAACTTCAAGGATGTAAACTTCTTTCTTTTTTTTTTTTTAAATTTTACAATTGTTTTTTTATCTATATATTTTGTTTATTGAAAGTGCGTAATATTAAAAAACAATGAATAGATACCTATTCCAAGATGTCCTTTATAATTGTCAATTTTTTTTTTATATAAACAATATCACAATGTTGAGAAAATTAAATTACAAATCATTGAAACAATGTTCCGGTGCCTCTTCTTTCCGGCACAACACTTTACTGACTGACTGTGAGTGAGAGACAGTACATTAGGCTTTACTTGTATAACTATATAGAAAACTTTTTCTATATGTAAGAAGAGCGATTGGCCGATTACCGCGAAGAATATAGCGAATTTTTATCTATAGTTTGCGTCGAATTTTTATATTCCTTGTCAACCTATAAAAGACTGAGAATTTTAATAAAATTTGCAAATTTTTTGCAAATTTACTTTTGCTACAATTTTTTTTTTCGTTATTTAAATTTATTTTTATATTATTAAATTGAAATTATTTTATTCAGTTATAAATTAATTTATTTAATTGTTATTTAACTTAATTGTAAATTAATATTTATTTATATATTTATAATATTATAATTTATAAATAAGTTTTAATTTGAAACTGAATTAAATTAATTAATTAACAATTTATTAATCATCTAACGTATTTTGTTTTTCTATCTTTTTTTTATAATAATCAACTTTTTTTTAAATTTATAAACAAAAAGTTAATCTGCTATCATTAAGAATGCAAATTGTGATATTTAGATTAATTTTTTAAATTAAAAACAATTTTTAATTGTGAGCAATTTTTTCGCAAACAAAAAATTATTTTTCGAAGCAAATAAAATTTATATTAATTATAATTTTTTTTGATATATAAATAGCTAAAAGTATACTTTTGTAAAATGTATGGAATGCGGTTGATTATGAATAGGAAATTCCAAATTTACCACTGGCATCATGCGCCCGCTATTCTCTATATTAACATTCAAAATATATTACACGAATTTCATTAGTTTATAATTTTATAAATAAAAAATTTATTTTGTTTATAAAAAATTATGTTTAAAATTTTATATGGAAATTAGAAAATTGAATATTATTTATTCTTTCAGTTCAATAAAGCATCATCATGTGAAAAATTATTAACTTACATAATTTAAGTCGTTAATATTTAAAATAGTTTTATGAGTGCCTTATTGATTTCAAGTAGATGAATTTTTTTTTATTATTATTATAAGAGTATGCATCACGCAACCCTCACATTTTTTTCTATTTTTTTTCTATAAAAGGGAGTCATTTATAAAAAAAAAAAAATGAAAATATCACTTTACTTTTAAAAAGTTGAAATTGCACTTTAGAAGATGAATACCATTTAAAATGGTATAATTATATCACTTTGCAAATGCATTTTTTTGTTCTGTGAGAAAAATGTAAAAAAAAAATTCTTTAAAGAAACGCGATAGTTTTATGAGATAAATTAAAATTTGCAAAAATATAATATTAGAATATAATTTATTTTCCTTTGGCAATACAAAATAGTTGTTTCTTGTCCAGAGATACCCATATTTACATTACACTATTTACAAATATAATATTTATTCTATAGAAATTTATATAGTGAAAAAAAAGTTTATTTTAAATTTAAGAATATCTTTTAGCTTTTATTATGCTTAAAGTTCGGATATTTTAAAAATTTCTTTTAACATTTCTTTTTTTACATAAATAGTATATTTTATTAATGGATCTTGTCCGTAAATTATAAATAAATAAAATTAGAAATACTTATCTAAATCCAATAAATATTTTATGGAAAAGAAAAATTTGCTATTTAATTTAACAGTATTATAATAATTTAATAATAAATTCAATTATTTGTTTTGAAAATGTAAAGAAAGCAAGTTAATATATTTTATTTTATTTTTTTTGTTATTAATGATTTATAAATGAAAATTATTTATGCAAATTTTATTGTATAATAATCTCATTATAAATTTCCGTTTCGAAATAAAAATGATATCAAAAACAATAATATTAATACGTTTTTATTATATAAAGTATAGAAAATTCACAAAATAAAATTGTTAAAAATAACAAAATTTATAAAATAAAACAAAGAAAATTTATAAAAATTATAATAAAATTTTATATAAAAATTTAATTGAGCCTATACATAATAATTTAACGCATTATTATTTTGTTAATTATTTACAAATTGCTTAAAAGGACTATTATATGATTTATATTCCCTTTTATACTTTTTGCATGTCTTACACTCATGAATATGTAATACTATATATATATGCATTATTGTACACTATACCATCTATATATAAATCCTAATGAGGAAAAATAAAATCTCTTAAAATCTTTTCCTCATATATAAAAATTTTGAAATAATGACTTAACAAATATTTATAAAATTTTAATTACATTAAAAATATTTTTAAAAAAACCCCACCTTAAAATTAATTGGGAAAAATAAATTTACACATTTTTCGCGCGCAAAAATTTATACATTTTTTTTTATTTAAAAAAAAAAATAAATAAATAAAAATGAAATTTTCTATTGATTTTTTGAAGATAAATGCGTCCCTGAGGGCAGTTATGTATGTGTGAATAGAATTGCTATCGTCTATCAAACGGTTTGCCTTTCAGTGCGACGATAGAGTAAATCTGACTTTAATAAACATTTGTTCCTCATATTTTTTCATATAAAGTCGATTGTTATTCATTAATTAAAAAAAAAATTTTTATAATGTTTTTCTTTGAAACAACAAATGTGATGTGATATTTTCATTTTTTTTTTTAAAGTGAAAAAAAGAGAGAGAAACTCTATTTGAGGTTAACATACTCAACGAATGACTCGCACACGTAAGGATTTTTATGACTTGGTTATAAAATTTATGTTTATAAAAATGCAATATTTGCAATCGCTATTAGAATCGTCAGTTTAAAAAAAAAATGACTCACATTGATTTTTTTTATCACTCATAAAATAGACTTACCTACTTTTATTTTATATATTAACTGCTTAAAATATATAACAACCTTCTCGTAGTCCTGATCAGTAATAACTAACCATAATTTAAAATTATTTATTGATATAATATATGTAATAGGAGAAAAATTTTATCGATGTTAAATATTGTCATCAACATAATGATAAATGTATAAATTGAATTTTTTTTTTCTTTCCTTTTTTTTGTGATAAAAAAGAGATAATAATTTTCATTATTTATATGATGTTCGGATTCAATGGAGCGTTAGTTGTTAAAATCGATGACTAGTCCTGTTCTTGATATATGAATTTTAATAAAAAAAAAAAACCATTTTTGTTTTATTTGAAAAACAATATTTTTAGTTTTTAATGTTTGTTTTTAAGAAAAGGAAGAGAATTTTTTTTAATTTTTCATTATTTTATGAACAATATAATTTGTTACTGAAAGAATAGGTAAATTGCAAATATATTTTGTTTTTAAAATGCGCATGTCTTGAAGTTGCAAAATTGGTCGGTAACACTTCAGTAACTGCTGCCATCTTGTGCTCTATTTTAGCATTATATTTTCATTTAACGTTACCAAAATAAAAAGTTATTATTAAAAAAAAATTTTTTTTTAAATTTTATTTATAGTCAAAGATCATAAGTGAGTAAAAGTGAGTCATTTACTATAATGATAATAATAGTAATTGTTCTATTATATTTATTTTTTATTTAAATTTTAAATTTTTATTAAATTTTTCATCATTTTTTTTTTATTAATTTCAATAAATTTATTAATTAAAAATACATAATCATAAACTAAATTTAATTTCAATTTAAATTTTGAATATTATTTAAACGTAAACAACTTTTTTAATTAAAATATATTTGAGCTTAAATATTCTTCAATTCAAACAATTTTTAACTAAAACGGTTTTTAATTAAAGCATATTTGAACTAAAAGGAGTTTTTTGTTTTAATTAGAGCCTTTTTTTAGAAATGTTATTCAGTTTTAATTATTGTTGAATATAATTAGTTTTTTAAATTTGATAAACTTGTTTAAATGGAAAAAACTTTATTAGTAAAGAAGTATTATTTTTATATTGTTTAATTATTTTAAAAAAAAAACGACTTTGGGTTTTTCGTTGTTTAACCCTTTGAGGTACCCTTGGCGATTTTTTACAGAATACATACTATGCGTTTTTTATAAGGAAGAATCAGACATTCAAAACAAAAGTTATTTCACCTTCAGAATTTTTAAATGTAAAAAAAAACAAATTAAACTTTAAAAGTGTTAAAAATTGAATTTCCCACACTTTTACAGAAATACTTTTTTTTTTTATTAAAAATGTGAAGTTGGATTAATTTTTGTTTTGACTGTCCTTACAATTCTTCCTTAAAATGTATAATAATATATATAATGTGTATATCAACGAAAAGCGCGTAAATTTTTATTGCGGCCACCAAAATTTGACCGCAAAGGGTTAAGAAATTATTTTTTATAATTTTATTTGCAAAAAAAATTTGTTTATATATATTTATATATAGCAATAATGAAATCGGGTGTAAAAGGGAAACTTCCACGATATGGAAATTTTGGTTTCAGGATGGAAAATTCGAGTGCGCAACAAGATGCTACAGGGTCAAAAGTCGACCCTTTTCTCACCCCCAATCTGGTTAAAGACAAGAAAGACATTTCGGATAAGAATAAAAAAAGTGACATGAAATTAAATTCCCCTACGAGTCTTTTAGTGCAAAATACAATTTTATTGCCAAGTAGTGTTGTTCGTGTTAAACAATCGTACAATGATGGAATTCAAAAACTTAATATACAGCCAACATCTTCAGGCTCTGCTACCGGTAAGTACATTAAAAAACAATTTTTAAAGTTAATTTTATTTATTTATTTATACATTTTTTTTGTCTATTATTTAACTATAATAATGCTCAAGAGATGATGAAAAATTGATTATTTATAATTTACACTAGAACTCTTGTTATTGAGACACACGGGATTTTCAATAACGGGAGTTTCAGTGTATATTCACTATTTGAATATATATTAAAAATTAAGCAGTGATTTTTCAATATTTTTATGATACTACTAAAATTTGTTATTAATAATAATAATAATAATAATAATTATTATTATTATTAATTTTATTATTAATTATTATATAATACAACTACCATTAAAGTAATTATAATATTCCTATTGTAATAATAGTAATAAATTACAATTCAGAGAGAACATGAATTCTGTTTAGGAAATTCATTAAATTTGATTAATCGACAATTTTAATGGTTCCTATTTGTCCAAATCGTCTGAAAACTCATTATTGTTTAATTTCCGGAAGGATTGTTCGTTACGGTTATATGCTCGTATTACCAATCAGTGCTTTACGGTTAATGCTTATTATTAAATTCAAAAAGAATTAATTTTATTTGATTGAAATTTTATTAAATCGAATTGACAATTTTTATAGAAACTTTTATTTAATTACAAAATTACGTTTGATCAAATTTAAATATTAATTCCAATTCGCAATAATAATTTTTATTTAAATAGAGATTTTTTATTCAGTAGAAAAATTCTTTTCATTTTCACTTTTAGTGAAATTTCACTCAAATTAATTAATTGAGTAATTAATTCGGTTAAATATTAATAAATTTTGTTAAATCACAATATTTATATATGTAGTTATTTGTCAATTCAATTAAATAATGTACAGTTTCGTTAATTGCGACAATTCGGCTGTGAAATAATTTCGTTTAATAAAAGTTTATTGACAATTCGATCAAGTGTCAATTCGGTTAAATACAATTTTAGTAAAATAACAATTCGGGCAAGTAGTCATTAGGTTAAATATGATTTTAGTTAAATAGCAATTCGTTCAAGTGTCAATTCGGTTAAATTGGATTTTAGTTTTAAAAAAATTCTTTTATATTTCAGTTTCCTTAATTTTCGATTCGGTTATGAAACGATTTTGTTTAATGACAGTTTATAGGTAAATGATAATTTAGTCAAATGGCAATTCGGTTAAATAAAATTGTAGTAAAATAAAAATGCTATATAAAATGACAGTTTGGTTAAATAAAAATTTTGTTCTTTACTGCTGTTTATAGTTTATTGTCAATTCGTTTAAGTATCAATTCGGTAAAATAAAATTTTGTTCTTTACTGCAGTTTATAATTTATTGTTATGTTAATTAACAATTCGGTTAAATACAAAATTTTAGTAAAATAAAAATTCTGTTAAAATTTAAATTAATTGTCAATTCGGTTAAATAAGAATTACATTTAATTAATTTAAAAAGAATTCTGTTTTCTCTATTTTATTTAACAAAAAAAAAAGAAACGAGTTATTTGTCGCACAATTGCGCTTCGTTAGAGAAACAATTGTTATAGGATATGACTTGTATGTACATATATAACATTGTGAAATTGAATTAAAAGCAAGAAGTTTTGTTATAAAACCAATATAACATGTCGTGTATATATAGATGTATATTTATTGAAAACAGAAACTATGTCTAAGAAACTTCTCATGTCATATTGGACAAGTAAGTTTTCCATTAAAGTTTGAAGTTTGTGGTTCGGAATTCGAGGCTTTTGAAGTTTAGGTTTCGGTTGGGGTTGAGGGGGGGGGGTTACACTATGAAGTGAGTGACTTTGAAAGAGGAGTGGTGGCTTTAAAGCTCTCTCTCTCTCTGTCTCTCTCTTGCAACTATATAGTAGTGGAGAAAAGCGCGCGAACGGGGTGACCTGGTGCTCGTCGGAGCGGTGCCGCGCTACTATATTGATCTATCTGCCTGAGAGTTTGTATGGTTCCGTGTGATATTAAACCAGCGCAGTTTCTTGCGATCCTTCAACGCGTCACCAGTGTTACATATCAATTATTTGTTTGTTTTTTTTTTTTGATAAATTTTTTGCGAAAAAAATCTTTTAAAAATTCATTGAGTTTGATTTTGAAAATGTATATATATATATATATATATATATATATATATATATATATATATTAAAAAATAGGATATTTTGTTGCATGTATATTATAATGCCGTTACGATTATAAAGAGAAATTCCAATATATCTCGTATAAACGTGTTCTCTCTTTCTCTCTCTCTCACTGCTTCCGACAAAAGCACGTGTGTCGTATATGCACGACATTTAACGAGCATGCCCTCGCCTAATTCACTTCCGCTTTAATCATTTATCTTTCCCAGTTTCAACCCCATCGCACCATCAAACACCTTTAAATATGTCATTCACGACAATTTCCATGGAACTTTCGTTACACTTCTAATTCGAGTTCTTGTTTAAGTAATGAGTTTTCCGAAAGAGTGATCAGTACTAATTGGAGTTGTTAGTTTTGGTGTCTTTTGTTTTTAGAAATTTCTTTTAGTTTTGTAAATTTTTTTAGTTTTTTTTTGTGAATAATAGTTTTTGAATTTTAAATATTTTTCTCTTCTCTCTAAATTTAAATTGGTAAAAATTTTAACTTATTTGAATTAATGATTTACATTTTGTTTTCGAATTAATTAAATTTTACTAATTTGATAGTAAAAAATTTTTTTCTACTATATTCGTTAAATTTTACTAATTCAAAAGCAAAAAAGTGAGTTACAAATTAAAATTAGTTAAAATTTTCTACTAATTCAAATTTAGAGATGAGTTAAAATTTATTAATTTATTTAATTTTAAGAAATTGTTTTCTTATTTTAAGAATATTATATACGTGGCTTTTCTTCTATATTTAAGGATATAATTTATGAATTTTATTCTTATGTAGTTAGAATATTAATAAAATAATTGAAATAAAAAAAATTCGAACTAAGAACATAGTATTATTAAAATAAGAATATATATTAAAATATTTTATATTAATAGATTATTTCTTATATTTCAATAATAAATAATATTTTTAATTAAAAATTAAAATTGAAATATTTGAAATTGAAAATTAAATTTTAATTAAATAGATAGAATTTTAAATAGAAATCAAAATTATATTCTTAAATTTAAAATATCCTTTTATCGGTGGGATTTAGAGAGGAAATAGTGAATCTGATTATGTTAGGTGAGGGAAAAAGCAGGGGATGTGAAATGCAAGACTCTTGGGACAATTTTCATATACTAACGTGGGTATATATTATTTGATTATTCTTTTTATTAAATAAAATAATATGTAAAGATTTTAATATATCATTTATCATTCGATTAAAAATTAAATTTTAATATTATTTTTTTTTGAATTTATCCAAATTAAAATTAGAAAAATGAAAAATTTGTTTTTTAATTTTATTTATTTTATTAATTAGTTGGTTAATGTGAAGAGGGTGTAAAATAATACGATTATAGATAAAATTTTCATATAATTTTATTTTTTTAAAATTTATCAAAATTAGAAAAGTAAAAAATTTGTTTTTAATTTTATTTATTTTTTTTATAAATTTATTTTTTTTTATTAATTAGATGGTTAATATGAAGAGGGTGTAAAATAATTGGACAATTAAAATGACGAGGTACGATTTAATAACTTTATGATAGGATATATAGTGAACGAGAAGGGAAATACTCTCTTGCTCGAGGGGTTGCAAATGAAGGAGAAAACTCATTACTTAAACGATTGTCATGATTATTTCACGTTATTACAAAATTTGTTATGTCTCAAGATAAAATATATATTGAAAATTTGATATTTTATTTATTTTTTTTGGTAAAAAATTTGAAAAAAAGAAAAGATAAAATAAAATGAAAATATATAAAATTTATTCTAACTTCTTAGTTAGAAAAATTTTATTTTATTTATAAAGTAAAAAATTATTCTTATAAATAAAGAATAAAATTGTTTAAGAAATTTTTTCATAGATGGGAAATAAAAAAAAAATTAATCATAAAAAATAGATTGATATAGGGCATTGAAAATGAAAAAGGAAATTTGATGAAAAAAGCGATTGTTGGAAAAAAAGGAAGGCAAAAAAAAAAAAGATTGATTGTTATTATAGCATGAGATGGAAAGAAGTGCCGCACTTCATCTCCTGAATCACGAGTTTTATTCTTCGATTTCCGGATGCTCCTATTTTCTCATTTACCGATGAAAAAAGGAACTAATTCACGACAATGTCCTTCCGTTTGGAAAATGGACTCGACAATAATTGCTTGGTTTCTATGAGACAATGCCTCGGTGCTGTGGGGCACCTTTGGCTTTCACCAGGGACCACAACGGTGGCTCTCCACAAAACCTCGGCCTCCAGATTCAGGACGGTCAGTTTATTAGAGTAATTGACAATTAGTCAAGTCGCCGTGTATATAGTTTTTTTTTATTTTTTTATAACCAATTATTTGAAAATAGTTTTCAAACATCATTAGCTTTGTCTGAAAAAGAAACTTTTATCACATTAATTCTGTATATCAATATTATTATTTTGTGACTGATTTTCTTTATTATAAATTAAAAAAAAAAAAATTAAAAGTTAAATATGGAATAGAAATTAAAATCCTTTCAATAATGAAAATTCTTTTTTGTCCCATTTAATAATTTAAAAAATTATTAAATAAACAAATTTTATTTATTTAATAACTTTTGAACAAAATGTTTTTTATTTAATAAATAAATTTTATTTATTTAATAAATTTGCGATTAATTAGAATTTTTTTTATTAAATTAAAATCTTATATAAATAAAACAAAAACCCTACCAGAAATTGTTAGTAATCAATTTTTTATAAGGAGTGTATAAAAATGGAAATAAAAGAGAATATAAATAAATTTAGTAGTGGAAATGGAAAAAAATTATGGTGGTTAAAATAATTGAACAATTTTTTTTAAAAAGAGAGAGAATTTTGTCGTATTCGGGGAAAAATTGTGGACCCTGAGGGGAATTTGGAAAAATAGAACATAAATTTATTGACAATTGCATCATTCCTTTTACATACATTATATATTCGACATGGTCTTATTATTAGAAAAATGTAGATTTCGACGAGAGTGGAACTGAAAGAGTCAATAAGAATATTTTTCGATCCCCTCCGGGCAAATTGCGCTCTACTTTTATGTTTTTGCACATCATTGGAGAATTTATTCTCTCTGTGTTTAGATAAAATGTTCAAAAAATATATAATATTATAATAAAAGGAGAGAATAAAAATTTAAAAAAGAAATGAATTTTTTTAATGTAAAATTATAAATTTGCATTATTAGTTTGTATTAATTAATTATTTCACTGGTTCCTAATGTTGAAATAATACCAAGAAAAAATATATTAATAATAAAATTATTATTAATTTTTTTTTATTTTAATTAATTTGTTTTTCTAATATATACGAACGGAAGAAAAGAAAAAAAACCCCTACAGTTTTAAATATAATTGTAAATTTTTAATTTACAATTAATTGTAATTTTTTTTAATCTTGATATTTTATTAAAATATTTTTTATATTATTTATACAACATTTGAAGCCTTTGGTCTATTATGTTTTCTATATAATTATAAAATAGTGAAAATCAATAAGTTCATTATCTCTTAGCGCATTTATTTTTAGCTGAGTGACAATGTCTTGAATAAAAATTTTTGTTTTATTCTCACAGGAAATCCACGTAATAAAACTGCTTTGGGTCCTGGTTATAGTCTCATGGATTGGATTAAATTGGGTGCAACTGGGATTGACTTGACTGGCGTTGATGGTATTCCTCGCGATGTTACAATGGCTGAATTAGCAAAACATAATAAAGAAAATGACGCCTGGATTGCAATAAGGGGTATTTATTTTAAATTACATAAAACTCATTAAATTTTAGATTAATTTGATTTTAAAATTAATTGAATATTTTTGTTTGTTTTTTGTTTTAGGAATAGTATTTAATGTAACGCATTATATGAAATTTCATCCTGGTGGTATTGAGGAATTAATGAAAGGCGTTGGTAAAGATGCGACGAAAATTTTCGAAAACGTATGTACAACTCACATTTTTTTATTATAATAAATTGTAAAATTTGTCATATATTTGGTTAATTGTTTTCATGTATAGTCGTAGATCTTTAATTGTAGATTCACGCATATGTAAATTATCAAAGTATTCTACAAAAATGCATTGTTGGAAGGCTCAATCGATCCACTTCCAATTTGGATCATACTTTGGCATTAGACAAAGAGGCCAGTGATAAAAAAGAAGAAGATGAAGCGTTTGATAAATTTGTTCTTCCATCAATCATTCCTGATCTTCCAAGTAAACTCTAATTTTTTCAAAAATTTTATTTTCTATGTTCATTTATATTTATATATTTTTAGCAGTACTTACTTCTTTCAGCAAAATATTGTAAATAATCATAATAATAATAACAACAACAATAATATAATAATAATAATTTAATTTTATTAATTAAGTAAATGTATGGTCTGGAAGAAATTTGATGAAAGTGATTTATGCATAAAAAATTATTGAGAATGATAAAATATTTCAAATGAAATTTTTTTTTTGTAATTAAAAAGTTTAAATGAATTTGTTTTTTTAGAAAATTCGAGAGATGAGTCTGCATTGACTTCCAGTTCAATTCCAAACGTACGAATGAATTGGAAACAAACCACTAACACCATAAAGTTTTTTTATCAGTCAGTGATTAATTATCCAGCGGCTAATTATCAATTAACAAGAATAAACGATTCGAAAATTGAAATAACAATTAATTTTGGATACTTGGAGAAAGATATTGTTAGTCATGAATTTCAATTAGCTGACGATATAAAATGGCCTCCACAATGGACAAAAAATCACGAAACAATGGAGGTATAAACATAATATAAAATAATTAATAAATTATTTATTATAAAATTAATTTAATTTGAAAGAAACGGTTTTACTTTTTTTTAATATAGTATTATTTTTATTTATTTTTTTTTTCTAATACAGTATTGGGTATTTATTTGTCAATTTTTGTCTATTTAGGTGAATTTCATATTAACAAAAAAGACTGGAGCTCTATGGAAATCGTATGGTACACGAACCACTGAATTTAAGGGAAAATGTAAGGAGAGATTATATAGAGAATACGAAGTCATCAGTAATACTTTACTTTGTAAAGTGGTTCATCTTATGGTTCTAAGAGCAAAAGATTATTTGGAACTTGTTCCAATTGGTCGACACTTAGAAGCTAAAATAAATGTTTTAGGTAGAGTTTTTCAAATATTTAATTATATTTACAGAAAAAAATAATTAAAAAAATTTTTTTAAATTAATTTTTATTCATTTATTCGAAAATACAGTCAAACCTGGTCAAGTGAGACTTGGATACATTTTTAATGAGAATATTGTTCCAATAATTTTTGAGTCTCGGTATTCCCGGTTGATACCTCTTTAAGTGGGAAAAAAATGTCTCACTTAACCAGGTTTGACTGTATTTTTTCTTCTCATTTGGAATAAAGGGAAGAAAATATATATATATATATATTTTTTTAATTTTTAGGAACTGAAGTTTCTAGAATGTATACACCTGTCCCTCCGTGCCTTCATCCTGATGATATGGCGCCAAATTACACGTCCGATTGTATATGTCTCATGGTAAAAAATTATCCCGAAGGCGCACTCACTCCGTCCATGACTGCATTACAGCCAGGGCAAACATTAAGTTTGAGTAGTGGGCTAGGCACCTTTACAGTCGAATCCTTTGACATCTACTCGACAATTCACATGTTGGCTGCGGGTACTGGTTTGACTGCAATGCTTGGAATTATTCAAAGAGCACTTTGCAGACGTAATGTGTGAGTTAATCAAATATCTTAACGAGTTTTTTTTTTATTTTTTATTTAATTTCATTTTTTTATATTTATAAATTTATAGCTATATTTAAATTGCTTTAGGTATGCAAGGAAAAAAATTATTTGATAAAATTTTTGGTGCTACGGGAATTTTTTTCTATTATTTATTTGATAAATTTACCACTCGGTATTTTTTAAAATTATTAGTTATACGTATCAATCTTTCCGAGTTGAAGATTGATATATTTTTATTAATAATTTATTATTTAATGTACTTTTTGGATTGGACGAACAAAAATATTTCGTATCTCCCAATATTACGGCAATTATTTTGTCGTCCCTGATGACAGCAATTATTGCAATTTCGACAAATTTTCATTTATTAATTAAAAAAAATTGTTCTTTTCAGAATTTTAGTAAATTTGATTAATTTTAATAAAGATGAAGACAACATTTTTTATTCTAAAGAATTAGAAAGAGTTTCTGCAGATAAAAAGTAAGTTTCGTTGTAATAAATTTTTGTTGTTTTTATATACATAAAAATATTGAATTTTGTTTTTTTTGTCTTAGATTGAAAGTAACACAAGTATTGTTAAAACCCAATGATACTTGGACTGGTAGAAAAGGAGAAATTTCGAGTGAACTAATGTCAGAATTAATTGGCAATTCAGTTCAGCAAGCTTGTATCTTTTCATGTGGTCCAAGAGGTTTTATGGAAACTGCAAAAAAGTCAGTTGTATTTTTATTTTTTTTTATAATACACTCGAACTCGAATTAGTGATGAGATTTCGCAAAGGTGTCTCAATTACTCAAGTTTTAGTGTATTTGTTTTTTTTATTATTTATTATTCTAACTTTATTATTAATCAATTTATTTATATTTAATAATAGTGTGAATATTTTTTCAGATTACTGTTAAATCTTGGATGGAACTCAATGCAAATGCATGACTTTGATGATTAAATTTAAGGCAAAAAAAAAAAAAAAAATTAGAGATATTAAGAAAAAAAGGACCTAAAAGTCTGCCCACTGTATCTAAGAGAAAAATTTCGCAAATTTTTAGAAATGAATACTTTTAATTTAATATACAATATATACATATAAATAGTAAATTAATACGTGAAAATATTATACACTTCTAGTGAGCATTCTCTCAGGTTTTTTACAAATAGGTCCATTAATTTTTAAGTTAAAATAAATACTGAACAATTTTTATCACAACTTTTTATATTTGTTTTTTTTTTTAAACTGTGATTTAAAGTTATTCAGAAAATAATGGGAACTAGAAATAAAGTTAATTTATCATTTAATTGATATTTTAATTAATAAAAAAATTCTTTAATTTTTTTATAGAGAAATATCTTCCATGTTGCTCATAGAAAATTTTTTTTTTTTTTGAGCTTTACAATTATAATTATTATTTGATAAATTTATTGATGTAGCGTATAAAATTCTAATGGACAACCACTCAGAAGCACTTATTCTAAAAGCAATTTCAAAATTTGTTAGTTTATAGTGAAATAAATGTAACACAAGTACCTGGAGGAATTACGGGAACACGATAACGTTAATATAAATGTGAAAAATCGTATATAATCTATTTTAGTATAATTAATAAATTATTTGACCATATTCTCTTTGAAAGTGCGAAAAAAATAACAATCATTATTCTAAAAATGCTTACATTTTTTTATCGTTTTGTTTTAAACAATTGCTTGAAAAAAAACTTTTATCTTGAATTAAATTTATATCTAAAAAAATGAATAAATAAAATAACAATAAAATATAATTAATTTTAACGTTATTTATTTATTTATTTAAACATATACTTTTTAACTTTCAAAGTTTTTATTTAAATTGTCAAAAAATTGTTAAACAAATATTTGAATTGTATTACGATAAAAGTTTATTGAGTATAAGAAAAAGAAATGAACATTTTTTTTCATAAAAATCGTATTATAAATTATATCTTTTTATAATGTAAATTTAATTCTATTATTATTATTATTTAAAGAGAAGTGGACAAATATTTTTAATGTGCACAAAGTTTTAAAGTAAAAAAAATGGGGGGTAAAAAATAAAATTATAATTAGGCGGAAAATTGACGTTAAAATATATAATATTTCTAAAAATAGACTAACGATACATAAAATTTTTTTTTGTTTACCTGAAAAATAGGAATTTTAATTAGTCCAAATAAATAAGCATACGACACATGTAGATTGTGTAAATATATACATAGATTTGTACATATTTAGATATATTTATTAGTGTGTTTAGTATACATGTATTGTTTTTTGGTCATTGTATTTATGTGTTTATTAAATAAAATAAAAGAAATAAAATAAAACATGTGTTATTTTTATTGTTTGTTAGTTACAATTATTTATTATAATTATTTATTTCATTATTATTACTGTTATTAACATTATTTTTATTATTATTATTATTATTATTATTATTATTATATAGTTTTTATATTTAATTATGTACAATTTGTCATTATGATATATTTTTATAAACTCTGAAAAGAAATTAATTTTTCAAAAAAGAAAAACAAATCAATTTCGATTGAGGGAGAACTTTATTTCCGGAAAAAGTTTTTGCGGAGCTATTTTTTTTAGGGGGTGGGAATCTGGAAAGGTTGATATAAATCAATCATAAAACTTTTTGATCGTAGTGCGTTTAACGTCACAATAAGTCGACTTATAATTTTTGATAAATGCTTTAAAAACTCGAATGGAAGTTAAAAAAATTTGTTTTAAAAAGTATTTCTTTGTTCTTTTTTTTTTTTAAGGAAAATTTTGATTTGTTTATTTTGTTAAATATGGTAAAAAAATTTCGTGAAAATAATTCTAATTTTACTGAATATAATACATCAATTTTTTTTTATAAAATAAATAGAAATTCTAGTAAGTATTGGAAATTTGAAACTCGTGCTTTTTCGTAAAGAGCTTTTCACGTTTACATAAAGCTAGAATTACACTTTTAAGTTGAAAGGTGTCTGTGTGTGGGTATGTTTAAGAGTTTGAAAGAATTTTTCTTAAAGTTTGTTAAGAAGGTCCTTTTTTATAATGTAGAATTTAAATGTAGGAAGGAAAAAATTAATGTATTCTAAAATTGAGATCCTTGGACTAAAAAAAAAATTTATTTGATTCAAATAATCTGTTAGTTGATTGTTATCAAATAAATATTTTTAAATAATTATTATTTTAGTCAATTAAATTGTATTTGTTTCAAATACAGAAATTATTGGTTCAAATAGTATATATATTTTTTTAAATAAATAAATTTTTATAATAGAATAAAATTATAACAAAATATTCTCAATTTTATAATATGTTGTTTTTGATGTTTATTTATATATTTTTTTGTTACTTGCAAATTTTTCTTTACTTATTATATTATTTAAAAATAGAAATGCAAGAATTTTTTCACTACTTATTTTGTATTCTTTCAATCTTTGGTTCAATGACCGTTGAATACGAAGTTGCACAATAGTTGGGTTTTTTTCTTTTCTTTTTTTTTTGTTTAGAAAGAGCCGATACCCATCATATTTTGAGCTATTATATGCCGTATATGACGAGTTTTTTTTTTTTTTTTTTGCTACTTTGATTTATGCTTGTGTGTGAATCTGTGTACTGACCACTTCATATTCGTAACAGTTCATTTGTATATAGAGAACTTTGAGCATTACCTACCTCTCGACTAGATCCGTTTTGAAAGCTCATGTTCTCATCAATCAGTTGCCGGGTAATCATGTTTAATGATTTTTTTTTGTATATTTTAATCTAAATTATTCATATCAAAAATAGATATTATTTATGTAAATACTTTCTAAAATATAAATAAATTTAAAAATGTTTAATTTTTAGAAATATAGTAGGTTAATTTTAAATAATAATACAGTAGAACCTGGATAAGTGAGACTAGAATTCTTGGCTTTTTAGAGTCTCACTTATACAGGTTCGACTGCAACAGTAATAATAATATTGATATTTTTAATATTAAATTTGTTAAAAATGTATTATTAATAATATTTTTAATTTCTTTAATTTTTGGCTTGAGGGTAAATAAAAAAAAAGATCGATTAATTTTTTAATACAAACGTAATAATAATAATAATAATAATAATGATATTAATAATAATGATCATAAAAATAGTAAAAATAAAATATTAATGAAACTTAATTTTCTAATACGATGATTAGAGAATTAACATTTTTCATTTTGATTGCAAGTATGAGAATATTATTATGCTGACAATATTCTTGATAACGGTTTTAGAGACGATTATAGATTACATTGAAGAGATTATTTACGGTTCCGTGAATAATTAATTAACCAACTTTGGATATACCGGCAGTAAATTTATTCGCAAAAGTAATGCAATCATTTTGCAGAAATTTTCGTATGAACGTTTCCCATAGATTGCAATGTAGAAACTTTTCATTTTGTTTGAATTTGAACTTTTCTCGACTGGCAAAATTAATGATATTATATTGAAAGAAAGAGAGAGATAGAGGGGAAAAAAAATCTGCAAGCTCGTGAAATCTTTGTAATTAATATATTTCACAATTTTTTAAATTCGTTATAATACATATAATGTCATATTTTTTGTTTAACATCATTTCTTTTATTTTATCTAAATTTTCCCCCTATAATGAGAAAAATTGAAAAAAATGATAATAATAATAATAATATAAATAATCAATACAAAAGGTTTATGTTTTATCGAGGTTCTACTGTAGAAAAAAAAATGAATGAAAAATTTTTTTCATTATTTTTTTTTCTATTTTTTTGACAATGATTGATAGTTATTTGTAATTTTTTTTTGTTATTAATAAATGATTGAGTCATTGTTTACGAATTAAAACTTCTATTTTATATATAATAAGTCCTTTTTAGGAAGTCATTGTGCGATCGTTAAGGGGTCACGTATATATCAGATTTAAAGTCACAAGCCTTTTCAAGTATAACTATCCTACTTTAGCATCATTATTTCTGAAATCCGAGGTCGTGACACCTGATCCTCTTCCATTTCGTTTTAAAGTCAATTTTATTATATACATTTGTATGTTATTGATTGCAAAAGAATTAATTACAATTTATTTAATTATTATTAAGACTTTTTTCTCTACAGTTTGAGTAATTTATAATTTGATATAAAATAAAAAAGTTTTTTTAAATTTAAATAAAAATTTTCTGAATAATAAATAACAATACAGTGATAATATTAATAATAATTAAAGGATTTTCGGTCTACTAGACTTCAATTTAATTTTTACCAGCTGCAGATAAGGTAAATTGTTACATTATTAGTATTCGTTCAAGCATAAATTGAGGTTTTCTACCTTACCTACTTAGAATAAAGTAGATTTCTATGTGATCAGCAGTTGGTAGAGAGTAAATTATGTTTTTAATTTTACCGACTGAAAATATGGTAAATTATTATGTCATCAACAGTAGGTCAATCTTAAATTCAGGTCTTCTTCCTTACCGACTGAAGATATGGTAGATTTCTGTATGATCAACTGTCGATAAATGATGAATTTCATGTTTTCTTCTCTGCCGAATATCAAATTTAAAGTCACAAACCTTCTTAATTCACTCAGAAAAAAAATTTTATTTTTTAACTAAACAGTCTGGTAATCTATACTCTGATATAGAATAAACAATTTTTGTTAGTTCAGATAAAAAGTTTCTCAATAATAATAGTAATGAAAAATTAATAATAAAAAATTAATAATATTATTAATAATAGTAATAATAATACTAATTATGAATTATTATTATTATTATTATTATTATTATTATTATTATTATTATTATTATCTTATGACTAATGTTTCAGTTACCTTTTACTGACACTTTATTTTTGATTAATTGATACAGTTAGAATTGTTTCATGGCTCTATTAATTATCAGTAGCTTTCTATCCAAGTGTAGTTGAAGAGATGAAGAAAACTAGGGTGTTTACTAACTGGATATTTATCAAAATTTACTAAAATGTTTAGAAGGAATTTTATTATTTTATTTACATAATAAAATAATTTTTATAAAATAGAAAATAATTATTAATGAAAAAAATAATTTTTTTTTCTCTAAAATTTCTCTTCTTTCTTTTTTATTTTAATTGTATATAGAAAATCCATTAAGAAGTGCGTATACTTGTTATTGGATTATTAAAAATTGCGTAAATATTAAAATTCGTTATTAAAAAAAAAGTCAGTAAGTACCCTGCGGAGAACATAAAATTTACCAGACATTCTGTTTTGAATTTTTTTGTATAATTTATATTAAATTGGAAAATTATATTTATTTTCAAATATATGTAAATTTTTGAACATAAAAATGATTTTATATCACATAATTTTTAAGAATGCACTTATAAAGTTTGCTTCGTACATTTTTTTTTATTCATAATATAAAAGTGATATATACTTTTTATAAGGGTGAAAAGAAGAAGAAGAGAAAAAAAACAAAGATCCTTTGCTAAAAAATGTATAACCATTTTTTTTTATCATATGTTGGCAAACATTAAAACTTATAGGGAATCAAAGGGACAGATATACGCGGAAGTAAATTGTATACATTAAAAAAAAGAAGGGTGAGACAGGGAGTATAGGATCCAAAGATGGAGAAAAGCAGAGAGTAGGGGATGACTAACATTTCCTGGGGAAGGTCGCTGATAGGGATGCTGCGAGCATATAGCAGTTTTAGTTTTCAGTCGCGCGACCGCTCTCGTACCGGACAGTCGATTGAGCAAAATTTCAATTTATTTTTTTCTTTCTGACAATAATTAATTCTTCAAGTTAAATAATTTTAAATTTCCATTAAAAAAAAAATAATTATAATAATTGTGATTTAATGTTAATATAATTTTTTTTAAATACATTTTTCGTACATCAAAAGAGTGAATTTTTTGTTTATTTTTTAATTAGTGAAAAAAAACCGCAGACGAAGAATGTGAAAAACAACAAAAACAAAAGTAAATTTATTTGATAATTTATAAAATATTTGGAAGAAATTAAAATTTTTTTTGTAAATATTTTTTGTTACTATATATATATTTTTGTATATTATTTAATTATATAAATTATTATTTTTATTATTATTATTATTATTATTCTTATTTTTAACATTATTTTTATTATTAATATTATTATTATATTAATATATTATTATATTATTATATTGACTTAAATTTGGAAGAAAAAATGTCAAAGAAAATGTTATTCTTGTAAAATATCGATGTGAATATATATATATAGGTATGAAAATTGAAGAAAAGAAAAAGCATGAGTGGTACTTTGTGGTATTTGAAAGCTTTCTTTGATTTGAAAAATAGTTTGAGTCAAACCAGTAAAATTTCTAGTCACGAAACTCGTGTGCAACCGGCTATGATGGTCGTCCACTCTACTGTAAATTGCTCGAACGAATTTTATTTAAATCGTCGAGAGTAAATCCCCGATCGGTGATTTTGAACGATATAACTTTTTTTTCAATAAATAGATTAGTTTACACAATGTGCCTTTTAAGTGCCATAATAGACGCAAATAATATGTGTTCTCTTGTACCATATATATATGGTTACATCCGCATAAATAAAATTATACATAATAGGTATATATGCATAAATAGGTTCTGTAAAAAATTTTCTTTTTTTTTATCATGTTTCACGACAGATCGATTAACGATGATCGATATGCCAGGGGGATATATAGCTACGCGAGATGTTTCATACCCTTAAAAAGGATTTTTACGAGATCATCATGTTACGTTACCCCTCAAGCGGCAATTTAAAACCGCACGCTGACACGAAATGTTACGTAGATAATTGCCATATGAGAGAGAGAGGAAAAAAGCAGGCACCACAAACTTGCTTCTCTTTCGAAGTCAAATTTTTTTTTTCGTATATTTTTACACACAATGTCAATGTGGGCCTGCCAATTTCATTTCAAATGTGGCAATAAAATTACATATATTTAAAACCCTTTTTTTATATAGGCACTCTGATTTTATATACCCGATTCTTTATTTGAAACAAATATAATTTGATTTGACTTATATAAAGAAATATTTTTCTTAGAACTAGAAATATAACTATATTTATTTTAAATTACAAAATTTTGTTTGGTATAAATATAATAATAATTTATAATAAATTTATTTAAATCAAATGAATATATTTGTTTGAACAAAAGAAATATATTTGTTTTGAATCAAAGACATAGATTTATTTGAACCAAAGAAATAGATTTATTTACAAAAATACTGAAAAACATTTTTTAAAGACAAAAATAGATTTTAATAACAATATTTGTTTTAAATAAATATTTTGTTTGATCCAAACAAATATTGAAAAGCATATTTTTTAAGACAAGGATAGATTTTAAAAATATTATGATAGATATTTTACGATATTTATATATTCCCCAATGATGAAAGACAATTTTTTTCGAAGCATATGTACATACGGGGAAAATGTGGTGTCACGAGTTTTTTTTTTTTATCAAAATTTAATGCATTTCCAATATTTTCCGGATTGCGTGTTCTTATACTTTGGATCGCGGTTTCGTTTCGATGTAGAAAAACAATCAAAATTTATGTTAATGCAATTTTGATGAAGTTATATACGCACAAAGTTTTTACGGAAAAGATTGATTAATTCCCCAGGTACCCATAAATTATTCTAGTGACGGTAAATTATTATATTTTTTTTTTCATTATAAATGATGTCGTTTAAATTATTATTTTCTGAATTAGTATGTTTTTAAATTAGTTTTTTTATGTAATTTTCAATTAATTTTTATTAAATTGTTCTTTTTAATTTATGAGGGAATTTTTTATTGTTTTTTCGTAATGATAATTAAACAAACAAAAAAAAAAAATTGTAAGAAGAAATTTAAAAATTTTTTTAATATAAACCTTTATATGAATTACTTAATGAATTTATATAGGATTTAAAAAAATTATTTTTAAATTGTGAAGAGAGCAAAAAATTGAATTATTATAAATGCTATAAAAAAGAATTTTTAAAAAAACAAAGTTTTCAAGTTGTACCATCATTTTGCATGGCAAAATACATAGTTAACTTTAAAATGTTTTTCAGTTTCTTTTTTTTTGTGTGAAACGCGTTTCTCGGGATCTCTTCCCTTTAAGATGCATCCAGTCGTAAAATGTGCTCTCTGCTGAATGTATGTTAAATTTGGAAAATTCACAAACTTCTGAAAATTGTTTAACTGAATTTCCCAAACACTGTCGCGGAATTCCAGTCACTGCTCATGAAACACACCTTTATCGTTCCGACTATATAGAGAGAAATTTTCCTTCGTTATAGTTAAATAAAGTCGTTATAAATTTTTTATTTTGTCAATTAAGGAAAGAAAAATTTCTGATTTTTATAAATTTAAATGTTTTAGAAAACTTTTTATCATAAAAATAATATTTAGGGAAAATTTCCTCTGCAATGTTCCATGTAAATTTTATATGTATAATTAATTTTTTATAATATGCTATTCACTTTGTGATATCATAAACTTTTAAAAACGAACATTAATAAAAATGTAGATCGTTAAAAAAAAGTTTCGATTATTTCTGTAAATAAAGTAACTGTAATTTTTCACTTATTTGCAATTAAAATGAAGTAATTATAAACTTCCTTATTATTATTTTTTTTTTTTATTGAAATAACGATAATACGACAGCTGGGATTTATAGCGACTTTAAACAACTTTTAATAGAACGTCTAGGGAATAAAGGACATGATGAGGTGTTTTTTTTTTTAAATAAAATTGATATAAAAATAATGAATATTATAGATACATTAAAATCTTTTGACTTTCGTAAATCCATTGACAACGTGTTTCTTAAAGAATATAATTCCTTTAGAAATAATTCCTCTTAAGCTTAAGTGACTGTACAGAGAAAAATTAAAACGACCGAAATGGAAGTATAGAATTTTTTTAAATATTAACAAAACTTCTTTAAAATCATATGAAAGAAAACCACAGAAAAATGTGTTTTATTACATTTCAATTTAATTTATTTCACTCATTTTTTTTTTAAATATACAGAACAAAAGTTTTATCTCCCTTACCGACTGAAGATAAAGTAGATTTCTATATGATCAACAGTCGATAAAAGTTTTTGTTTTAATTCAAATTAATTTGTTTTAATCATAAGTATTTTTAAAATATAATATTATTATTGGAAAATAATTTTTTTTTCATCTTTGTTAATAAATTTTCGTTGCAAATAAATATAGAGGAAAAAAAAGTTAAATGATGTCGCTTTTTTTAAAGGAGAAATTTGAAAGTAGTTTGTTAGTGAACTTTTTTTTAGAAAAGCGTGCGAGGCGTTAAAATTGAAATTCAAATACATTCTTATTACAATCACAAGTGACGCATTTCAAAGTTTTATTAGGTGCTCTATTGCCATATACTATATATATATATATATCTACTACTTGACGCGAAAATCACGATCGAAAATTCCTTCAGGCTCTTGTGCACCTCACGTATTCGTAACTAGTGACCGAGAAGCGATTCGTTGCATACGAAAGGCTATTTTCATTCACGGTAGCTCAATAGAATAAGGTCTAAATCAACCCTCTGCGAAAATATATCGATGAACCTGTCAAAAATTGCAAATTTAAAATGCAAAATTTCAATTTGTACATATCATACATTCTTAACTATTAATATAGGCTATCAAAAAAATGTTACAACTTTTTTTTAAAACAGCATTTATTATTGAGTTTCTAGACAATTTTTTGATTGGAGTTTTCGCGCTTTTAGAATTATTTTCAATTTAGGATAATTATTTGAAGGTAAAAATGGTTTTATTTTCCTTACCGACTGAAGATAAGGTTGATCTCTACATAAGTAGCTGTTGGTATAGGATAAATTGAGGTTTTCTACTTTACCTACTCAATATGAGGTAGATTTCAAGGATAATTAATAGATTTTCAGTATGCTAAGCACCCTGAAAGCATTACTTTCGTTTTAATTCTTACTCATTGAAGATAAGGTAAATTGTTATATTATTAGTAGTCGGTAAATCATAAATTGATGTTTTCTATCTTACATACTTAAAATAAAAAAAATACCTTAAAAATAAGGTAGATTTCTATTTGATCAGCAATCGATAAAATGTAAATTATAGTCTTCTTCCTTATCAACTGAAGATAAGGTAAATTTCTATACGATCGACAGTAGGCAAATCATATCTTTCGGTTTTCTTCTTTACCGATAATAATAATTATTATTATTCTTATCATTATTAATTATTATATTAATTATTAATATAATAATGTTTCAAATGCTCTTATTAGTATTGTATATGAAATTTAATATCTTTAGGAAATACATACCTTTATGTATATGTTGTTCACATTTTGTTTTGTAGATTGGAAAAATATATTTGTTACAATATATATTTTCTGTTTGTGTATATACCTTTTGTTTTCTGCTGGGTTTGAATTTGTATATTTTTGGCTCGTGAATCGAACACGATTTATATACATGTAGGAATAAAAATGTGATATGGTAGAGTGTTTTCAATGAAGAATGATTTTTTTTTCTCTTTTTGTAGTAAGTTAATTAAAATTTTTATGGTGAAATGGCAGTTGGGACTGTATGGGTTCAATGATTTTTTTTTCTACATTTATATAAAAAAATATTGTGCTTGATTACGTTTGCACAAAAGTAATTATTGTTCGTCACATTTAGCGTAAATGTACAGATTTTGTATATGTACATGTGTTTGTCAATTGATACGGAAATTACGTATCACATTTTTTTTTCTCCCCCCGCGAAATGCCAATGTGTTTCACGTGCGTTCCAATGTGATAACATATTTTCATCTCAATTCACTTATTGGCACTCTTCCAATTCTGAAAATTCAGTGAAGACAGTAAATTATTGATGGAGCTCAAATATTTTTATTTGCGGATCAAAGCGACTCATTTTATCTTTCCTTTTTTCT